CATGTCTTAAAAGATTTTCTAGGTTATTTAAGTATTAATTTTCAAACTAATTTCTGATCATCCTATGGATTCCAGTATCTGTGGTGATATATCCTTTTTCATCGTGGATTTTAATAATTTGAGGTTTTTCCCTCTTTCTTTTGGTTAATTTGTTGTTGTTTTTTGTGTGTGTGGGGGGCGGTTTTCATACATTCCCCGTATCATGTTAAGTTCATTTTAATGTTTGTGAGTATATCTGTTGGAAAAAGTCCCAGAAGCTTAAGTGCTAGGACAGAGTTTGTACACATTTTTTTTCTTATTTGTTTTTTTTTTGCCAAATTACATTGCCATCAATAATATATTAAAGTGCCTGTTTCCATATGTCTTTATAACACAGTAAATTTATTAAAGTTTTGAACTTTTAAAGAAAAGTTTAATAGTTGCAAAACATGTTGTTAAAGTATAGTTCAGTTGACATTAATCAGATTATCTTCCTATATAGAACTGTTGAAAAACTGTTTACTATTTGATTATATCCTCTATCCCTTTTTCTGCTGTGTAATTGTTAAATTTTTCTTATTCATTTGTTGAGGAGTGCTTTCATATAGCACAGGAAAATTATATTATTACTATGTACTTTTCTCATTTTTATTACTTTTCTTGTTTGTCTTTTGTCCTCAATGATTTTTCCTTATGCAAAAAAATATGCCTTTATAAATTAAAAATAAATTTCCTAGAATTAAACTTCAGAAGTGGAAATTTCCCAGTACAGAGAAATTATACATGAATATTTCCCAAACCTTAAAAAAAATCAGTCTTCAGTTTGAACAGGCCCATTAATTGCTGAATTAATTATGAATTAAAATAAAAGCCCACATTTTTTCTCATGAAAGTTCTGAATAGAACATAAAATCTAAAAGCTGCTGAAGAGAAAACAAAGCTACCAACAGTAACAAAAACAACCACATGATCTCTAATGGGTAAGCATGGAACTGCCCTTGAAATCCTAACTGATTGAAGATGACAATACAACAGTTATCACCAAAACTGAAAAATTATACTGAACCTACAGATGGAATGAAACTATTATTTTTAATTGAAATAATTTCATAGAAAACCCAATCAAATAAAAAATTGTTAGAACACTATTCTGCCAAATAACCAGTTAAAAAGATAGCATAAAACAAGGTATGTTCCCAAAAGGAGATTGTCAGAACCATCAGAGAGTACATAAATCTTCCATGGAAACAAATTTAAAGCTTTTACTAGGTTATAAAATGTCTTAAATAGTAGGTGATGTTCAAGCTCTTGAATTAAGTTAACCTCAAAGTTTCAACTAGATATTTTGAAACTTCACTGGCTTAATTATAGACAAATGGACCCAGAATGAGATTTTCAGAATAATTATATCTCTCTCTCTCTCTTATATATATATATTTTCAATGTCTTCAATAATAAAACATATAAATAAAAAGTGGAGATAAAATACATTAGAATTATTGCCAGTGGAGATAAAAGGGAATATTAGGGGAATGAGGATTAACCATTGTGTGACTACATCACAATTAATTCATCTGCTCTTGGACACTGGGTTGTTGTTACTTTAAGGGCTATTATGAATAAAGCTGGTATTAATGTTCTTGTATACAACTTTGTGTCATTGTTTTTGAATAGTATAATTTTACATTACCATGAACAATACATGAGAGTCCCAGTTTTTCCTCATCTTTGCTAAAACACAGTATTATCAATTCTTTTAATTTTAGCCACTTGTATCATGTGAATGTTTACTTTGGGCTTAATGCCTTTTTTGTCTTTTTAATGTGAAAATTTAGAAAAATTTTTTAAATATAAGCATATAATGCTTTAATTTCCATTTTGTGTACTTTATCACCCCTAAAACTATGAAATGTTTTCCAGTTCAAAATATTTATGATTTCTTCACAATTTCTTCTTTAATCCTGAATTCAGAATTGTGTTTAATTTCCAAATATTTGGGGATTTTCCCAAACACCTATTGTTGATTTCTAATTTAATTGTTTTGTGATTCATAAAATCCTCTATGATTTCATTTCTTTTAGATTTGTTGAGATTAGTTTTATATAGCATATAGTCTATTTAGGTGAATGTCCCATGAAGAATATAGTCTGCTGTTTTGGTATAGTTTTCTGTGTTAATTAGGTTCACTTCGTTGGTAGTAATGACATGACTTTATTATATCCTTATTGATCTGGTACATCTATTCAGAACTCCTAAGAATGTACTTCTTTTTTCTTTTAGTTAAAGGAAGCTCATTTAGTTACCTGCAACCTGAACAGATGCTGTCTCATTCCTTTCTCTTTTTTTTTTTTTTTTTTTTTTTGGTGCTGGGTATCAAACTCAGGGTTTTGTGTATGCAAGGCAAGCACTCTACCAACTGAGCTGTATCCCAGCCCTTTCTTCCTGTCTTATGTCACTTTTCTATTTTTTTCTTTTGGAATAGGAGTATCTATTCTCTGAATGTCCCACTGTTAAATTTTGGAAGCACATAACTTGCTGCTTTCACAGGTTCACAGCTGGAGAGGAATTTGGATCAGGATAAACTGTAACTTGAATCTCACCCATTTTTTATTTTGATAATATTTAGATGAGACTTTTTCAATTGATGCTAAATGAGTTAAGATTTGGAGGAGTAGGCTGGGCGTAGTGATGCACATCTATATTCCCAGAGGTCACGAGACTGAGGCAGCAGGATTGTGAGTTCAAAGCCAGCCTCAGCAACTTAGTGAGGTCCCAGGAAACTCAGCAAGACCTTGTCTCTAAATAAAATGCAAAAAAGACCTAGGCACATGGGCTAGTGGTTAAGCGCCCCTTGGTTCAATCTCTAGTACCAAAAGAAAAAAAAAATATCCAGAGGACTGTTGGGATGGAATTATTTTTCACATGAAAGGAAAATGAATTGGGAGAGGGGGCAGGTGGAGAGCTCTTTACTGAATGTGTTTCCCCCAAATTCACATTTTTGGAAACCTAATCTTCAATAGGGTAATAGTATTTGAAGGTAGAACCTTTGGGAGGTCCTTAAATCATGAGAGTGACACCTCAGGAATGACATTAATACACTTTTAAAATGGGCTGCACTTTGCCCCCCCTTCTTCCATGTGACATGCCAGAGAGAATATAGCCATCTGGAAATGAAAAAGCAGACCTTCACCAGACAAAGGATTTGCCAAGACTGTGATCTAGGAATTTCCAGCTCTGTGAGAATAAAATTTATAAACCATCTACTTATAAATGTGTTTTTAAGGAAACACTTTTAAGCATGAAGTGAAAACACAGAGAAGGCAGCTAGAGTAAAAAAGGCATTATCTTGAAATGGTGGCAACAGTTAAGACCTGCCAAAGAAAAGAAAAAAGGCCAACATAGAATTTTATGACCGTGAAAATATCATTAAAAAGTGATAATGTATGTTTATGAAAAATAAAAACAAAAAATTTGCTGATAGCAAATCCACAATAGCAAAAGTAATAAGTAAGTAGAGAATTGAAGGAAGTAGCTAAAAGCAGTGAAAAAGGATAAATACATAAAACATGTTGATGGTAAAAACAATAATGGTAACATATTATGGGGTTGTAAAGATGTGTACAATTAAAATGCCTAATGATGATAACACAAAAGCAAACAGGAGAGCAAATGAATTTCTAATGTCCCAATGTTTTCAGGGAAATGGTAAAAGGAATAATTTATATCCTACTGTGAAACTAATAGGTTAAGAATACATATTGTCATATCTAGGCAAACACTAAAAGAAAAGTGAATAGTGAATTCATAAATACAGGTTAACAGAGGAGGGAAATATATTTGTTTAATCCTAAAGAAAGCAAGATGTAAGAATCAATGAAATATAAAACATACAAACAATATAGAAAGTCAATGAGCCCCATTGTAGACCCTTTAACTTGATAAAACCCTACTGAAATTCCTGAAAAACCATCCATGTTTGACAATAATACGTAAATGCAATTTACCACATTAATAGGTTAAGAGAGAAAAGCCATGTAGTCATTTTGAATGGTTCAGAAAAAGCACGATTAAATTCAATATTAATATATATATTTAGGGCTGGGGCTATAGCTCAGTGGCAGAGCGCTTGTCTAGCATGTGTGAGAAACTGGGTTTGATCCTCAGCACCACAATATAAATAAATGAATAAATAAAAGTATTGTGTTCATATACAACTACAAAAATATTAAGAATATATATATATATATATATATATATATTTTGAAGTTCTTTTGGCCAGCCAGGAATATATTCTCATAAAGAACATTATCAAAGTTCTGTAGTCCACATCACTATTAATTTTGATAAATGAATATTCCTGTTATAATCAGAAGTAAAATATCTTCTTTGATAATTACTATTCATTAATGAACTGGCTAGCCCATCTGGTATGATTGGAATCCCCCAAATAATAAAAGTATTAGGATTGAATGAAAGATATTAAGCTGTTATATATAATATAACATGTTTTGATAACAGGAGACTAAAAGAAGTTATAAATATATTATTAGAATAAAGCGTAACACAGCTGTGGAATGTTTAATATTAAAAATCCATGGTATTTTGAAAACCATTTTGTAGTTGAAACAGTAAATACTGAAATTAGGAAAAAAACATTTTTAAGGCTTTTACAGAAGACAATTACAGAGTTTGAAAGAAAATAAATAGAACCTAAATGAGTGAAGATAAATGCAAATTGTGGATTCTTTTCTCTTTATGGAGATAAGATGGGAGAAAGGCCCATTTTCATGGACATTGCTTTTCATTTTGACAAGTAGAAAAAGGGTTGGTCACACCTTACCAGATTAATGGCTGGTTCTTCATTTGCTTCTCTCACTTATTCTATGTCATTTTAAAGCTTTCTCCCAGGTGACTTAAGCACAACTTTCTTTTGTTAGTTATTCAGATATTGTATTACAATTGTTAACTATCTAGCATGTAGTTTTGAAGCAAAATCTTCTCAATTATTTATTTCCTTATAGACTCTGCCTTCAAAAGAAACATTTTTAAACACTACACAAATGTCTTGCCTACAATCAACTTCAGCTTGGAGTAACTGTGAACATAATTCAAAATCTCAGATATTAAGAGAGCATGTTTCAGAGTTAGATTCTTCTTTCCATTCTGTTCTATCATTACCATCAGGTAAGCCTCCTTATAAACATTTTGTAAGTATCTCTGAATATTTCCTATGATAAAATCTAATCTAATAAATATGGGGAAAGATAAAATTTTATCCATTATTTAGTCATTAAAACTAAACAATTCTCATATAGGAATTTAATCTAGTCACATGAGGAGTTAATGTCCTGTGAAAATTGATAAATTCCATATAAACCAATTTACTTTGGGTCAATAACTAGCTTTTAATCTTCTTTGGTAATTTTTGAGCATTTTATTGGTAATATGGCTGTTGTTAAAATGTTTCTCAGTACTAATCTAATTTTTCTAATTTGCTATTTTAATGGAGTTTTCCCTATCATAACTTAATATTCATTACATAATATCATAACATAATATTCCTCCATTTATAACTTACATTGAATTTCTTCAAGTTGCATGAAAACTGTCCATCCACAGGTCTACTTTTGAACCTTGGGTAGATCTATAATCTATGATATATATACACATACATATATATATACACGTATATCTCTGTGTCCTTAAGGTGGTTTTAGATTTTCATTTCTTAAAATTTTTCTGGAACCTCCCTGGTTTTGTCTATATTGGATCTAAAGTAAATATTTCATGCCAAAAGGAAACATTTCTTACATTTGTTATCTCAGGTTCTTCTCTTTATTGGGGAATTTATCAACTGGGCTTTGTTTCCTTTTAAATTTGTGAAAATAACCATCTTTTAAGTTTTCAAAATCTGCTTAAAATCTGAAAACATTACTTTTTATAATTTGCTCTTTATACACATTTTCCCTGCCCTATATCCATATTAAAGTGGTATTTTAGCTATGCCATTCTTTAAAATAAGTTCCCAACAGGAATTATTTTAGTCCATCTTTGAGAAAACCTTCATAGTAGGAAGAAATATAACAATAGCAATGCAGCTAACATTTGGCATACACTGGGCCCTGTGTATATTACGCATATTACATTTTGTTGCTTTATTCTCACAACCCTGTGAGAATAGATACTACCATCCTTTTCATCTTACAGGTGAGAAAATTAAGCTTAAATATGCATCTATCATTATGCAGCTAGCAAATGATGGAACTAGTTCATCTGAGATAGTCATTCTCCAGAACCATGCTCCTAATCACTGCTCTTTACTCTTTTATTAGAAAGTTCATTTCTCTGTTGAAATAACTTTGAAAGCTAGTATAAGATATCCTTCGGGTCTATAAAAAATTCCAGACTAATATAAGATTACTTTCCTTACCAATTTACTAGTTAGGGTTATTCATTCGTCCCTGCACTCATGAGTATAAATACAAATAAATCCATCAGGGAACTTTTATTCTAGTTAAAGACAACTGAAATGTAAAGTAGTACTAAGAAAGGTTCATAGGTAGAATCTAGGGATCTTCTCAGGTTAAATCATGTTTTCCCACAATTCAGTGGTAGAATAGGTGATATTCTCTTTCTAGATAGTTATGTTTAGGCAACTGGAAAGTACCAGAACCCTGAAATATGTAAGGAGCATTGTAAGTGGAAACATTTATATATTCTCATTTTTGTCATCTGTCGTTTGGGACAAATTCCATGACATTTGTGAATAATTGTTTTGTTGTTTTTGCATCTTTTTATATTTCAGGAAGAGATACACCTTCTCTTCGTTTAAAATTCAGAAACTTCCTGGGTCTATCATAATTTATAACAAGTTTTCTTAAAAATGAAAGTTTTTCTTCTTTCAGTAGCAAAACTTTCATCAACTGCTTTATGAACTATTTTTTATTTGCATCTCAGGAAAAAGTTTACAGTCTCTCTAAATAATAGAAACATGAATAGCTTTGAAAGATGGTTTTTACATTCTTTTACAATTTAATTTTAAAAATTAAACTTTAATACACATAAAGCACATCTTTTTTATTATTTGGCTCCTCTTTGTGAAAGTATAAAATGAATTTCTCTTAAGTCCCTGAAGGAAGACAGTTTATCAGTATGTTTTAATCTTTGTAAACATATGTTCATTCAATACTAGTAGACTAAGGGAATGTGAAGTTTGATGTTTTCATAAAAGGTTACATCTGAATTATAGCAATGTTCTCCCAAGTAACTAAAAACTATGATCTCTTTTGGAATCCTCATTATTTCAATTACCGTTTATGGGGTTGAGAAGGAATTGATTTTGTCAGCCAGGTTTTGCTATAGATTTTCTTAAAGACATTTTGGGTGCATTTGTTTTCATTACCTATGAGCAATATTTATTAATACTAATAAATGCTATATTTCTTACCTACTATTTTAGGAAGTTCACAAATCTATCCCAATCAATAATTTCTAAAATATACCTTGAAAGGATTTTGCCACTTCTGATAGTTCTTATTTTTCAACTTTTGCATATTTTTCTAAATGCATGTGCTATTAACTAGTCATAAAGAGTGGTGTTCACTGAAAGTACTTTATTTTTCCAGATGTGCCTCTTCATTTTCATTTTGAAACATTATTTAAAAAGACTGAAATAAAAGGAGATCTTGCTGAAAATAAAACTGTGGGCGACTGTATCATGTCACCATCACCTGGTATGTCATATTTACAAATCTTGTACTTTCTATTCCTTTTTACCTCCTTATGCCTGTTATTTTTGCAGCCTAATAAAATTTAACAAAAGAATGAATGTAAATCCTTAATTTTTAATATTCACTTGTCACAAATCACACAAACAAAAAGAAAATACATAGCAGCTATATAGCATGTCTGGAGGTACCCTGGGTTTCATTCCCAGCACCAGAAAAGGAAGAAAAGGAAAAATACATAAGAATCATTGAACAAGAAATATGTGATAACTATTAAATAAAAATTATGAATTATTAATAATTTAAATAAAAATAGTTAACCAGCATTCCTATATGGTAAAACTAACAAGCATTTCAGTTCTCTTTATTACTTCCTGTTTAATGCAATGTAACCTGACATTCTACTTGATTTGATTAACTTAAAATAATCCCACAATTCACTGGGTAGAATAAGCAGCGCAAAGTATAAAAAGAATTGCTGGAAATTTTCAGAAAATCTCCACTGCAACCACATATAAAAGCATGCCAAAAAAAGCCTATAATAACTAATTAGCATAGATTTTATTTTGCTTATAATTATGAAAACAAATTCATAAGGCAGACAACATAGTTTGTATTTTATGTTCAGGATATCAATGGGAAAATGGAGAACCATTCAGTAAACAGTATATTTAGTAAAATATACTGTAAAATATACAGTAAATTAGTCTTTGATTAAATATTTTTTACACATTGTTTTCACTTGAATCAGAATAAATTTTAATTCATTTGAAGAATTTTTAATAAGATTAAAATCACATAAAAATTCTTAAATTATACTCAGAGCTGGGGTTGTGACTCAGTGTTATAGCGCGCTTGCCTAGCATTCGTGAGGCACTGGGGTTGATTCTCAGCACCACATACAAATAAATAAAATAAAGGTCCATCAACTATATATATATATATATAAAATAAATAAGTTATACTGAAATAATTATGAGTGCTCCAAAAGGGTGTGAAGGTTTTAGCTATGCTTGGAAGCAATTACAAGAAAGTCTGCAAAGTTAAAATCTTAAATTATCTGCAGATGAAATAATTATCTACCTCAAAAACTCAAGAGCCAAATGGATGCCAAATTCCAAAATAATGGAATTTTACTATTAAAATCAGCAGCTTTTATAAATACCAATAACTAGATAGAATATGTAAAGGAATAAAGTATTCTAAGCATGTGACAATGAAAATATACCTCTGACTAAACTTAAGAAGCTACATAAAGAAAAGGGTTAGAGGATTTTCCTATATGGAAATATCCCATTCTTACTGGAAGACAGTGCTATAAACTTAAGGTGTCAGTTTTCCCAAAATTAACTTATACACAGAATGTAATTCTAATCAGAACCACAGGGGTATTCTTTTTGAATAAAAGTTATTCTGAACTTTATCTCAGAAAATGTTGAAGAACAGCCAATAAAATTCTTTTAAAGGGGCTGGGGTGGTGGCTCGGTGGAAGAGTGCTCGCCTTGCATGCATGAAGCACTGGGTTCGATCCTCAGCACTACATAAAAATAAAATAGATTATGTCAACCTAAAACTGAAAAAATATTTTAAAAAGATTAAATGGAGAATGTGTCAGATATCACAATGTATGATAAAGTTCTAATCATTAAAATTTGTTGATATTAATGAAAGCCAGATCAAAGGAACTAAATAAAAAGTCTACAGACAGACCCAAAGGTTGAATGTATGATAAAAAGTGGTATTTTCCTATCAGTGTGAAAAGGGTGGCTCAGTTAATTGAATACTGACAAAAACAAATTCCTATGATGCATTCTTTGTATGGCAGCACTGGTTGAAGAACTTTGTATTAGTTAATTCTTTTAATCCATGGGGTAGGTGTTATTATCCTTAAATATCCTGTCCCAAATCACAGTTGAGTAGTGGCAGAGCTGAAACTCAAACCCAATCATTCTGGCTCAAAGTCCATGTTCTATTTAAACAACCAACTTTCACACATAATCTGTGGCATCAAATAACTCATTAAATGAGATTGATACCTCATACAGCAAATCAAGTTTAGATGAACAATGAAAATACATTTGAGATGGATTAAATGTTAAAAATGATGTCTGTTTCAACAATCAGAAGAAAAACTAGGTATGTTTAGTGATAACTGTAACAGTAATGAAAATGACAATAGCCAACATCTACTGAAAACTTCTGTCAAGTCACTGAATGTTTACTTTTTGTCCACGATATTGATACTACAGTAAAAACAGCACTCTCAGATAACAATAACTGACACAAGCCTTTTGAGAAGCACTGTGAGATGCATTAGAAGGTCTTTAAACTATATATATTTTTGTAAGTTGAGTGTGCGGGGAAAAAAAGAAAAAATGTCCTTTTTACTTTTATACCTGCTCAAAATAAGTATTTACTGAACTTAAACTTTGTATTCTGAACAGTTATTCCAAGAATGTGGTCTAATCCTAAATATGAAACCTTTATCCACAAATATATTTATCTGAGCATTTTTTTGTGATAATTAAAAACCAGCAACAACTTGAAGACTGATACAGTAACCTGTATACTATAGTAGAATATGCAAACTTAAAAATATTTTAAAAGTTCATGTAAGGATGGAAATGTTACTAATCAAAAGAATATTTAAAATAAATAGATGAAAATATTTTACTTCCATATTTGGTACAATTATAACCATGCAAAAATGTTTATTCTTCCATCAACCAATTGTGATATGTGGGCCTTGTTGGGGTTCTGAACAAACCAGATCTATACAGACATACATTCATGCTCTTTTAAAACAATTTGAAAAATAAGAACACTGATGGAGATATTAATGAATTGTTAGTTCTGTCATATGTAATAATGCACAGTTTGTTAAGAGATTCATGCTGACATATTTGATGAAATTATAGCAAAGAAGTTATATAGAGAGAGATGAAACAGGATTGGTAAAGCTATCATTTCTAAAGCTGAGTGAAGAGTACATGGGTATAATTCATTTTTCTAGTCTCGTTTTGTGTATGTTTAAAATTTTTCCACAATTAAAAGGGGGGAAAAACGCACCAAAGGCAAGGAACAATCGCCTACACTTAGAGAAAAAAGACTAAAGAAATACTGGAAAGTATAGGTTATGTTCAGGTACTTTTTCATGACATAATTCTACTTATTGGGAACTATACATTTTTCAAAAAGGAAAACAAATATGTGGATATTTCAAGAATTTCCATAATAGCAACAATTCCATGATGATGACAGTAGATAAAACATAACATTATACATTATCCTAACTAAATTATGATTATGCAAAATGAAAGTATATGATGTTAGAGATCATATGATTACAGTTCTTCTAAAGTTACTGTACTATTTATCTGACTGAAATAAGGCACTGTAAATATTAGGCACAGAATTAACAGTAAATGTATTGACTGTAATGACAACGTATCACATGTAATAAAAAAATTAGGGTAGAAATACACTTTTTGAATGCCTTGGTAATATTATACAAATCAATGAAGTATTCTTTTGTATATAAATCTTTCATTCCCTATACTCTCATTCCCTACCATTCTTACTCCAAATAATTAAGCATTAATTAGGCTTCATCCTATATATCTTTAATAAAGTAGCTGCTCATGAGTTTCTTTTACTATTAGTTATTTCTATAAAATTAGGTAAAACTACAGAGTTCAACATTCTTTGAGCACCTCTTCTGTGCCAGGCAGATTATGATAAGAATAAAAGGTGAATCACAGGAGATCAAAGAAATTACACTGCATCAGGGGAAAGTAGACATGAATAACTATTATAGTATGTGTTCAATGCATATGGCAACAATATTCTATATATTAAAAAAAAAGGAGGGCAGAGGGCTTAGCTCAGTGATAGAGCACTTGCTTAGCACATGCAAGACCCTGGATTCAATCTCCAGTACCACAAGGGGGAAAAATAGTGGGAGAGTAGATAGCTTAGCACAAGCCAAGACAGAGTTAAAAGGGAATAAGATAAAGAAAGGCAGGAAGGAACTCCCAAGACAAACGGTGATGCCAAGTGCCATCTTGGAATCTAGAAGGATGAAGTGTTCCAAATCAATGCTTCTCAAAAGTTAATGTGCAAACATATTCCTCGAAGGATACTGTTAGAATGCAGCTTCTGCACTTTAACAAGATCCCAAATGTCTAATGTTGGCCAGACTGTGTAACAAGGCTTTAAATAATGGAAGCCAGCATGATCATAAAAACTTAAAACAGTGTGATGTTACAAATAGCTTAGTATTCCTGCAGAGAAAATTGTATGAAGGTAAATAGACAGATTTTTGTTTTTACTATATGGCACTGCTAACTTCAGGCAATAAGGACATATGCACAAGTCAAAGTGCAGAGTTGAAAAGTAATACAATCAGTCTCATGAGGAAATATAACACAATCATTTCAAGGGGCTGTAGTTACCAGAATATTCAAGGATATGAAAGAAAAGCAGAACCATTTAAGACATGAGACTTTAAAGAGACTGAACACAATGAGCGACTGGAATTTTCTACAAAGAACAAGTTATTATAGGGATAATTGGTAAAATTGATTAAGGTATATACATTAGCTAGTGGTATTCATTTCTTGATTTTTGACAAATTTAGCTATATAAAATGATGTCTTTATTTTTGAGAAGTACACACTGATATATTAAGGGGTAAAGCAGCATCCGTGTCAGAAACAATGAGTTCTAAGAGGTAAAGCAAATTATGATAAAATGTTAACATTTGGGCAATCTGGGTAAAGGATATATGGAAACGCTGCACTAGTTCAGCTTTTTTTCTAAGTTTGACTATATCAAAATTAAATGTTATTAAAGTGGATAGAAGAGGAGAAACAATAGAACCCTAACCCACAATTAATCCAGAAACAGAGTTCAACCATTTTAACCCCTATTTCCTCCCATATGAACTAAGTTGTCAGTAAACTTATAAACTTGTTTCAAATCTTCCTATCTGCATTTCAACCACATTCAGACCAACATAATTTCTTATCTGTACTGCTGAAAGCAGCTCATTTTCATTTAGTTTCAATCACTTTAGACAGTGATCTTTTCAAAATGCAAATCTGAAATCCTCACCCGGGACTTTTAAGGGAATATTCTTCCCCTAAAGTGGTATTTACATAGGCTACTGGCTCCTGTTTCTTTGCAGGGGGGGGGGGGGGGGCGGGTGTATTGAACTCAGAGGCACTTGACCACTGAGCCACACCTCCAGTCCTATTTGTATTTGGGACAGGTTCTCACTGAGTTGCTTAGCAAGTCACTTTTTGCTGAGGCTGGCTTTGAACTCACTATCCTCCTGTCTCAGCCTCCCAAGCTGCTGGGATTACACATATGGTGCCACCACCAGGACGCCTGGCTTTTTCTTCACCATACTTCCTTAAATACCTGCTGCTATTCAGCTCCCAGATTTGTCTTGCTCCCTTGGACATTTGCCCAAGCTATTTTCCTTCTTTACCTTGCTGTCAGCTATTTCTGATAATATATGAAATCTCTTCATCTGTGAGTAAAAAGATAGCAAAAAGGTGAATTATCTTAGATTTGCTTAAAATACTCCACCAAAATGAAATTACAAGCTCCACAACTGAGCAACACTCCCAGCCCTCTAGTTACCCTTTTCTAATGAGTGTAGGATTAATGCTGTTTATTATTCTGTTTAACTTTTTCTTTTTTGGATGGTGGAAAATCTTAAGAGGCCATCTTAAAATTCTGCCCACCATTTTTTCCCCCTGGACTGTCAGTGATTTACAATTAATTTGGGTATGGCAAATGGATTCCCCTTTCTTTGTGGTAATATTAACCCTTGTCTTGTAACTTTTAGGGTGTTCTCACCTATGATATCCTGTTTGGTTTTTATTTCCTGACAAGTGAGTTCTTTGAAATATTAGGGTTGATTCTAGAAACATTTTTACTATCATTTTAAATATTATCTCCCCACACATTTTCTCTCCTTTTAAACACTCTTTTTCTTCATATTCATCATTGTTCCTTTCAGTTGTAATTCCTTTTCAAGTCCCAATTTTTATTTTTGGCAGTGTCCATTGTTACTCAGCTCATTCAGTTCATATTTTGAGCAATTATATTTTACATTTCTGAGATCTCCCAAGAAGACTCTTCCTTATTTTTCCTTCACATTTAAAGACCTGTTAATCTGTTTTCTGTGAATGTTCCAGTAATTATTTCCTGAGATGGTTTTTCCACTTGTAGATCTTGCTTTATGATGTTGGTATTCGAGACTTCAGTTTGTGAAATCATCTTTGAAACTGACATTCATTGTTAAAGGTTGTTTTTTCCACTGTTATTGATAAGGGTAGGTATTTACACCTTACATTACTTCAGATTTATGAATGAGTGGGACATTTAAAAGTAGGACTCTAGGGTATGGCTTCTTTCTCCAGCTGATTATCTTTCGGCCCAATGCTCTGGTTGTTACCTGTTGAGATAGGTAATCTCATTTGGTAGCTTGGCGGACATGGATATTGGCATGTATTGACAATTATCAGCTGGTACAGCTAATTGTCCTGCTGTTTTTCTCTCCTCCAGGTCTACAGCACCTTTCATATGGATCACATTTTTGTGGCAACACTTTCCTATGTGCTTCTGCCCTATAAATTCTGTTTTATTTAATAAGTTCGCCTTTCTGTTTACATTTGTGCCTATCTCCATGAACCTACATATACAAATTTTGTCTTATCATTTTTAGAATACTTTGCCATCAAGAAACTGTATGCCCTTTGCTTCAGAGTTTCAGAACTGTAACTAATGTCTACGTAAAGGGGCCAATTTTGTTATCAAATCAATACTGAAAATAGTTTCAGATAAATATTAGCTTCATCATTAGTATCATCTATTAAGCACCTATCATGCTAGATACTCATTCAATCTTCATAATCCTATAATCCCAAGATTTTATAGATGAGGATACTTAGGCACTAAGTGATTTAAAATTGTGCAGTTTTTTGTTTAAAGAAAAAAAGACTAGTGCTAGTCATTGTCTGAGATGAATAAAATCTAAAATCTGGCTTTTGAGGAATCCAAGACTGTTGTGACCCTGTTGAAACTTACTTGGTGGTCTTGAATTATTTCTGGATTTAAGGTAAGCAACTTCAGGATTCAGATCCTATTTAGCCCAAATTTGCAGATCTGAACTAATCCATACTAATTTGGAAGACTTTGGGAACAGATCACCTTCCCTTCTCATCCATCCCCTTCAAAATAACGAAGCAAATACAGGAAGTTGGCTATTTCCTGAGGTGGTTTTTAAGAAATCCCATTTCAGGTATTTTTAGCGTAAGGGGTATCCATCTTGGTACTTAAGCATCTACTAGTGGTTTTGAACTGATATTTTAAAATTCTGCATTGTTATAAGTACCAATTAACATGTCCATTATTTGTGTTAAACTAAAACTTCACATTTCCTTTCATTTGTTGTAGTACACAGTACTTCTCTGAATCAGTGGAGTAATGGATATTCACCTACATGTAAGCCTCAAATAAAGTCAGAGTCGTCTGCACAATTGTTTCAGGGAAGAAAGAAAAGACATTTGAGTGAAACAGCATTAGGTAGGTTAAAATGAGGATATGACCATTAGGGTTAAATACTGGAAAGAAAATCCGCTTTTCCACAAAGTTTATAATTGTCTCATAGGAGTTTATACTTCAGAATTATCACTTAATTAACTAAAATATTTATCATCCCATGAACATATTCAATATTCACAGTTAATTCAGATTTTGTAAACTGATTATTTACCCATTTTATGGCATTTTCCTTCCAGTGTTCCCTGACTAGTTCTCTTTCATCAGCTGCTGTATGGTTAGAATTTAGTCTCTAAGGTTTTTTTTGGTCTCAAACTAGTTCAATAACAGGTCTTTTACAGAAATTTATTACTACTTCTAAATAGTAATTTCTCAAGATTTTGAGAAAGTTGTAAAGATTCAACTAAGGCACTCAACCACCTTATTCAGGTCTCCTTAGAGTCTTTATAGTTCCAAGATAATCAAGATATATCACTTGAAGCTGGAACTCTTCCAATAATACAAAATTGATTTGTTGTGAAGATACAGGAGAAGACAATCATACCAGTCATTGTTAATGATAAAAAACAAAATTGACAAAATATGTTTTAATAAGAAAATGTCTACATGATTGGTGTTTGTTCATGTTCCAGGGAACATAACCCTATATTTTTGTTACATTCCCCAGATGTAACATCTCAATAATGTACTTAACAAATTATAAACTACTTACATCCAAGATGTACTTAACGCATTAAATCCATTGTGTATAGTTACAGTTATCTCCAGTATCTTTAGAAATTTTACCAAAATAGACAAGTCACTACTTGATAGTTACTACCTAATCAAGTACATTTTGGCATAAAATGAACAAATTCCCACTCATTGAGAACTTTTGTTATTCTCTGTAGTGTCTCACTCTTAAGAACAACCAAGGATCATCAGGCTTTGGAAGAACTTTCATACATGCACACCAAAACATGGGAATTTTTCTTACCTCTTAATAAGATACAAATTGATACTTTAGATCTCATTTTGAGTTTAACAGATACTTAGGGATGTAAGAACAAATAAAAAGATATACTGCAAAGAAATTAAGACAACTCCAAAAGTAAAAGACATTTAGTCCAGTCTGTATAACAAGTCATATCATGAAAAATGAGCTATTCCAGATCACAAGAAAACTTGGAGAGTAATAACCAATTTTAATATGTGGTTCCATATTTGAAAAAACTAACCAGAGAGGATATATTTTAACGACTTGAGAATATAAATGTAGACTAGGTATTAGATTTTATATTATTTGGGAAATATCGTTGTATTTTTTAAAATTCACACTAGAATAAAATAGTATGTAAATGAATATATAAATTTCCTTATTAAGAATAAAAACAAAGGAACTTGAAAGATAATATGAATTAAAAATCAATTTCAAATCAATATCATTAGAGAAAAACTTTATCCATGAAACAAGAAAAGGAAGGTATAAAAAAGGAATACGAGAGGACAGTAACTTTAAGAAATTAGTACTTTAATTGTAAGAATTTTTCAAAATAGTATTTTTATAAGAGCAAGGAAATCTCTCACAGAAAAGACAGACATAAAAAAAATGAAAGGATAAGAAAATTCAGATCAGTCTTAACAATGTAGCCTCTGAGAGGAGTCACAGAAAAAAAGGAAGTGGGTCATGAGAGCAGATGGAGTATTAAGTAATACCAACGTGCTGGAGAGAAAATGCCAAGGTGCCAGAAAATGGAAATACCTGTATCAAGACCAAGTGAGGCTCTTCTTTATAATTCCCCTTTTGTTTATTTTCAAAACATGAATTTTTTTGATCCATTGATAAACTATCAATTCACCTCTCACTGACTGGAGAAATAATTCTAATAATACTGGTCATGTTTAATTTATGACATTATGAATGGTTCTTTCCTTGGCAGGAGAAAAAAATAGATTTGAAGAATTTGCTTTTCAACGCACAGAACCAGGATCCCATTGTAATTTCACTACCATCTCTAATGTCAATGTTATATCAAGAACACAGAATTCATCAGCACAAGTAGGTTTTTACTATACCGAACTCTTAAGACTGCTTTATATTATATTGTTATATTGTGTGCACGTAGATAACAATGAGACCCATATTTTGAATAATTATAATGCATCAATAAAGAAAAAATTAAAAACTCCATATTATCAAATTATTTTTAAAACTACTGTATAGATTTTTTAAATAAAACCAGCTGATTTAAAAATTTGGATATTTTGCTAATTTATATCAGCCTTACTGGCACATTTAGAACTATCTTATTAGGAAATAATAAATTTGATAAATAAAACTTTTTTCTTACGTGGAAAACAATTGTTAATCTTCAGTTACAGATTCTTTTCTGTGTTAAAAACTAAATTTTATCATGACCATTTCTATTCTTTAACATATGAAGCTACAAAGAACCTTGCTAATAATGTGGGTTCAGGACTTGTATTGTTCTTAATCTGCCTTGTTTTTTGGCACAAGGCCCAGTAGAAGAAAAGTTAAAAAAGTGGGAAGTGTTAGAAATGAACAATTTGAAACTCAGGGACCAGAAACATATAAATGAAGACTATAATAATAATTTTTACTAAACGTTTCACCAAAACATGTTTCATAACCTTTCCTAATAATAAGTATATATGTTTGTGCACATAAATATACAAATTACAAACCTGACAAAACAGTTTAGGCATACTTCCTTAACTGGTTTTCTTAACATTTTATAGTCACATTTGAGAACAATGAATTTACAAAAATTACACAGATGATTATTATGAAACTAATGAAAGAAATGTATCCCCAGAGGTTAACTAGGTATGTAAACCATTACCATAATTCTATTTTGCAGAGTACAGCACGAAGGAGGTTAAGAAGTGAGAGCTCTTATGATATAGATAACATTGTGATTCCCATGTCTTTAGTAGCCCCAGCTAAGTTAGAGAAACTCCAATATAAGGAAATTATCACTCCAAGGTATGTATCCCTACATTCTTTCCTCTTCCTTTAATAAACTTCAACTGAGTGAAATGGAAATCTTAACTGAGAGGAGAATGCTAGCCTACTTTCTGGCCTACTTGTATAGCCACAGAGGGAAAACGGTAAAAGAAAGCTTTACATTACTCATGGTGAAGAAAAACTGCCAGAGTATCACAACTTTACTTCTTAGTTTTTATTAAGAACTGAGAATTTCTAGATTGATTTACTTCAGCATTCTAATCATTTTTTTTCATTCATTTGTATTTTGGTTCCTATTACGTACAATGGCACTAAAAGGCACTTTACTGATAGAAAAACTATAGCAACAAATTTGCCTTAAGAAAAGAGATGTACACAAGTTTGCTAAGAGTTCAAAGAAAGCAACTACCTTTGTAATAGTGTATTCACAACATGAGACAGTAATATCTGTCACAACAAAACTAAAATTTTGATTTGGCCAAGTTAACAATAAACACTTAAAAGATGCATGGGAAGGTCTGAGAAGACGTACAGGGAGTTATGGTATTTACAACAGGGAGATTATAACAAAGGTAGACTGGCAAATGTGTAAGGCTTAGCCAGATAGGTTTTGCATAGATTGATAAAGGCAGGTAAGCCTAGAAAAGAACCAGACTGTGGAGGTCCCTGAATACCATGTGCAGATCTGCTTCTATTGGCAGTCAGGTTAGCCCAATTTCTGGCAGTGATGAAAGCAGTTCCTAAAAGTATGAATATGGCACAGGAAGTAGACATAAAAAGACTAGAAATCAAAACATGAGCCAGGTGATAACCAATTAAGGCCTACCCATCTGTAGTTTAATTTCAGTTTATCTTAATTACTTTGAGGTATTAAGGCAAGTCTAGTATTCTAAGAGGTATTATGAGAATTCATATTTTAAAAGCCTGTTGAAATTTCCTACAAAAATTAGAAATATCATTTGTTCTGTGGCAACAATGTTTTTTCATTTGCAGTAGTGGGCTGGAACTAGCTGGTGGACCTGGCTATTAAATACAGAATTCTGTAAGTCGGTTATACTATTAGTAGCTGAAAAGGGGCCCTAGGCATTTTTCTCATCAAAGAAATTGGCAGAAACGACAAATCAGTCTTTTTTCCCTTCTTCTCTTTGGTCAAGTTGTTTATCAGCATACCACTGACTTATTTTAAAATCAGTACACGTATGTAACATCCAACTATACAGAAGAGGTTTCACTCACTGTAAAGGCAAAAGTAAAGACTCATCTTCCCTGTTGTTTTTTCTCATAATACAAATATTCTCTTAAAAAAACAACAAAGTATTAAGATAGAACCACATGAATTATGGAAATCCCAAGGAAAGAAATCACAATGTGCTTAAAAGAATAAATAGCTACATAGAAAAATTGATAAAAGCTATTTGAAACTGGTTTATATCTTCAACAGCTGGAGGATGGTTGTTCTTCAGCCTTTGGATGAATATAACTTAGGTGAAGAAGAGGTAAGCTACCTTTCATTTAATGAGATAATTACACCTTTTATATTATGAAGCCTGTTTAACATTTAAGGAAATAAAGGAAAACATAAACCCTTGAACATCTGACTTTTTTTTCACTTACCAAGTTTTTCAAAAAGGTTATTAATTCTATAGAAAAATATTTCTGTGCAAATTTGACTTCAAAAAGATAATAATGTTTAAAGAAACAGAGGAAAAGTAAAACATGCTATTTATGAGTTGACATTGATATAGACATATTCCTCAACATTAATCTTCTTTTTTTTAATAAAAAGACAGTGTCAATATTCACTCCTACAATTCCATTTTCAATATATTAGAACCAATTTACTTTAAAAAAAAAAATCTTTTATTTATTTATTTTGTATGTGGTACTAAGGATCCAACCCAGTGCCTCATACATGCGAGGCAAATGTTCAACCACTGAGCTACAACCCCAGCCCGAACCAATTTGCTTTTGAATTTGGAAAACTTTGGAATTTATTATGGTACATGTATCTTGTAATACCTAGCCTAAACAGTTCTTATAACATTAATCAAGTATTCGTAGTTCTGTAATCAAATGGGATAAACACTAAAAATCGCCTGATACCATTTCAGATCAGACTGGATTATATGAAAAATCTGTTTTTCAGATTTTTGGATTATGGAATTATAGGTAAGGGTTTATAGATCTTTATGGGTAAAATTACACTAGGACAAGTATAGGGAAAAATAATATATAACCAAACTAATATCAACGTGATGGTCTTTAAAAGCGGTATTTTATAGCAGATAATTGATTTCTATGAAATAATGGTATTTCTATGCCCTGTCATGTTTTTCAGCTACCCTACAACTTACCTTTAATGACCTTCCCTCTTGTAATGCATTCTATTTCAGAATGATCCTTGTCAAACCTAAATTCCTAAATATAACCAAATTGTCCAGGTTAGATTCCTAGATAAGGCAATAATTCTGACTTACAGTTTTACTTTTCTTTGACATTGACATTTCCTTAGAATAATGTGTGCTCCATAAAGAACAATCAATATAAATCCAACTGAATGAATAAAACTCTTAAGATTATTTCATGCAAGCTGTGGCTAATGGAAAGCACACCTATTTGCAATCTCAATAAATCTTCAAATGTGAACCAAGAGTAAAAAGATAAAAGTTTTGGACCCCCACCTTTTAGGAATTCGAAGCTAATCTCCTAACGTTCTCTTGACTGACACAAACTGCATTTTAGAGTCTGCTTGCTACTGTTCTCTAGATGAACCATTTGAAACCTGTTCAGAAAGTTTCCCATAAAAGCAAAATCTTTTTTTGCTAATTCCAGATAGAAGATCTTTCTGATGAAGTCTTCTCCCTAAGACACAAAAAATATGAAGAGAGAGAGCAAGCCAGGTGGTCACTATGGGAACAAAGCAAATGGCATAGAAGAAACAGTAGGCAAGTATTTTAAACTTAAAACTCAAAAACATGGAAACCATGTGGAATGAACAAAAATTCTGCATGAATTTTTGGGGGCCATTAAAAAAGAACACATAAGGATGTATCAGTGAGTTGTGTACAAGTATATGTACTGGTGTGTCACTTCATGTACTGCTGTATTAAAAATATATTGGGCTAAGTACATGAGGATAAGATGAGTTTCTGTATTTTACTCTATTTCTCAGGTTTTCTATCAGTAAGAGGAATAGATTTAACTAGCAAATAATATAAAAATTATCTCTATATTTAAAGTAGGTCATTTTAATCTATTCTAACAGTGGACCTAACACTGGGGGATAGAATTAGATAGTCCATTTTAACATAACTATTTCCAAATTAGCAAGATTTAAAAGAAAAATTCAAGAATAACTGTCTTATCTAACAGGCAAATAGTCTAAAATACTTTTAAAAAACACAGACTAACCTTTGGGGAAGGGAAAATAAATAATAAACATAATTAATAATTATGTATTTGAAAGAACCCCTAGTGTTTTATATTTACATTGATTATTTTTAATATATCCCAAACTCATAAAAACAAGATCATGTTAAATATAGCAGTCACTTCAGTGAAAGGGCATCTCTCATTTAATTAATACTATTAAAATACCTTTCTCAAGATATCCAGGCTTGCTATAAATCCGTGTTCAGAGTTCTCCTAATATAGATGACATTATGGAATTCTCATCCTTTCTCACATTCCAAAGGTATAACTTTCCAGAAATACAGAGGGAAAGATGAACTGAGACATTTCATGGATGACATTATAATAATCATAGAATACCCTGAGAACTCAAAGACTATAAGGATCAAGCAATTGCTGTTTCTTGTCTTTCGGAAAAAAAAAAAAAAAAAAGAAAGAAAACCAAGTAATAAAACCTGTTATTATAAGTTGGCTAAATATTTAATAAATATGTAAATATGATTTGACTAAATATTTAAGCGTTTTAAATAGGAAAATAATAGCACCAGAAAGGTAACAGATGAATTTTTAAAATCTTTTGGGTGGCACTATGTAAAGCAAAGATACTGTGTTTAACTTAGTGATACCTTTGGCTCATAAAATGTTAAGATCTCAAGAAATTAATATTCTCTTGCTAGGGCTTACAGTAAAAATGTTGAAGGACAGGACTTTCTTTTGAAAGAATGCCCTAATGACTTCAGTAGCAGTCAGCAATGTGCTGCTGAAAGTCCTCCTGATCTTCCTTCAGAGCACCATGATCTCTATGCACATGGCTCACCCTTAAATGAAAATCAAGAAATCACAGTAAGTATGACTTTAATTGCCTCTTAACTTTTGTGTATGTAGAAATTGCTTATTGTAAATTGTTTCATCACTACATATTGAATTCAGCATAGTTCATTCTAGAATAATAAGAATCAGATCTGTATTGCAACACTGTAGTCCACCACTAACTATAATCCCTTTTTTTTCTCTTCTGTCATTAGCAACTTCCACCTACCTACTTGTTAGGTAATGCAGATGTTTTCATTACAAAATAAATATGACTAATGGAGAATAGCACCTGCCATAGTAAATGTTAACTGCTATTTCTCTTCCTCCTCTTACAGTTTTTACTTGTCTCCCCATAGATCCAGTTCCTACCTTAAGGGGAGTGCTTTCTAACACTGCATCCATTTGTGCACTTTCTTCATAAATAAATAGGTGTTGAAAAGGAAGAACCATATCTAGAATGGAGAGTGGAGACTATATAACTCAGGGGAAAAAAAGTCAGTAGGTATCTTAATAACAGTGGGATGGAAATGAAGATATTGGAGAAATAAATTAAACTTAAAAGCACTTTGAAAGGGGTTTTCCTAAAATCCTCTTTAGGCTGAAAATGAAGACCAGTCCCCTGTGACAGCCATTTCCTCTTGACGACAGAAGCAAAGTGAAACAATGCCCCAAAGTCATTACATTTTCAGTACATTCCACTTTGAGAGATATTTAGGTCGAAATTTGCACATTTGCTAAAAGAATAAGTTAGTATATATTTGACATTTACATGTTACTTGACACATGAACTTAAACAAATTATTTGAAACTTAACTGAAAATGTTTTCCCTTTTAGTCTTTGTGGTGGGAACGACGGTCTTTTCCACTGAAGGATGAAGATACAGCAGCTTTATTATGCCACGAGGATAAAAACAATCAGACTGAGGTGTCAAGCACAGCTTTCCATGCTGAAGTCGTCTGTACCAGCGCACCAGAGAATGGCCACCCCAAAAAACAGCTAGGTGGAACAGAAGAGTATAAAGCCTTTGGTCTAGGAATTACTAATGTTAAAAAAAATAGGTGACAGGCAACAGGTGAAGAAAATGATGTAACTGAAGGGAAGTCAGGAGGGGAAAAAAAATAGCCCTGTTCTGGATCTCCCATCCACCTCTGGTCATACTTCCAGAATAACAGAATGTACTGCATGTATTTACCTTTCATGCTGTTTATGGGGAACAGGCAAGATTGTTTCTTTACCTTCTTGAACCACAGAAGTAGCTAGCTTTTCACCTATAGACAAATGCTAGGCATCTGTGTTTATCATATAAATTACAAGCACCAAGATATTAACTGCTGCAATTTGATGTCAAATGACATTATTGGCTAATTTTTAACATCACAAACATACACACTCACCCTTACATTAAATGAGAGCTATTTTCTTTCCTATTCACATGGTAATTCACTAAAATTGCCTCAAAATATATTAATATACAAATATACATATAGAATGTGCGCGCACGCGCGGGGTTTTCAAATTACACTGGCAGTGACCCACTCCACTTTAAACTGCATGTACCAACTTGCCCTATGAAATGTAAGCTGCAATAAATATAAAGCACGTGTTTCCTCTGATTTAAAAAAAAAAAATTTTTTTTTTTAAAGTCTTGGCTATGGAGAGGGAGTTATTTTTGTTTTTTAACATGTTTAACAAAAAGAAGTTATTTATGGAAATTCTTATCCCAGATAATAAAATACTCAATTTATTTAAAATCAATGATATCTGTTGGACTGACAGCAGGCTACTTTCTGTTACTCCTAACAGAATTGAGACAAGCAAATTAGTTATATATGGGTGCACTTTAAAATTATACATCTTTGAAAACACCAACTTAAAATGTGCAATAAACAGGAAAATCCTTCATTATAAAATTTAAACAATGGTTTAATTCTAGTCTAGAAATACTGTTATATTTCTAACTAATTTGATCCTTCTTTGTCATAGCCTAGTCAAATGTCTATTCTGACTTGCATCCTAGATTTCGAATTAGAACTTCTCAGACGCCAATACTTCAATATTTGATACTGAGATTGCACATTTTGAGGCTATTCTACTATATTTTTTCCTATGTGAAATATGAGGACAATTTGTATGAGTCACTTGGTCATGTAAAATGGTTATTCAAGTTATAACACTCATCTAACTGAAATCCTGACTATTTGGCCTAGACTATGAAATTTGACACAAAGTTTTTGTTTAGGAATGGAAATTATACTGGTCCCTATAAAAGGGGATAAAATTCAAATTCAATACTGACAAAACTTCTTGTAGTTTCACTGTATTTATTCTTAAAGAGAAAAAAAAAAAAGCCTGACATACAAGTTGTCCTGGCAAAAAAAATTCAAATCTTTGTCTTGTCTGATATTATAATCTTCTATGTAAGTTTTTTAATTAAAGTTATTTCTATATGCCTTGCGTTGTATGATTTGATTAAATACTACCTATTTATGGCACAAACTTCTCCTAAGGCAAAGTACAACTTTTACCTTGTATAGGAAAAAAGCCTAAGTAAGTTCTATTACATGGATAGATTATCAATATTCTTATTTTTTGAAACTCATTTCTCAGAACTCCCAGCAGCATCAAGAAATTTTATGATACTGATCCTATTATTTTGTGCCATAATTATTACACTGAGAATATTTAGAAGAATAAAGTAGCTGATACCTACTAATCTCTGTATAACTGGGAACAGTTATAAATACCGAGTTTATGGATTAACACTACCACATCATCTCTTGGCCTACTTGGTCTTTCTTAGAATAAAATATATATCCCTGGGGTAAAGATCTATAAACCCACATTATTATCAGTCATCTGAACTAATACAGTAAAGACTGACTGGAAATGAGACAATTAAGAAAAAGAAGCTTCTTTTACCTAATCTATTTCCCAAAGGTTCTTGGGGCAGGGTGTGGCAGGGGGATTGAACAGATCAGAAATACAACGTCATACTGGATCTTTCCATGATACTAGCCTATCACAGAGCTTTAATTTCATTTTTTAAACAGAACAAAATACCTGTCCTGCCATTTGTAGGAGTAATTCATAGGTTTAATAAGATTATACAAAAGTTACTTTATAACCATGTTCCCATAAACTTACATTGCTATCTACTATTTTGTGCTGAGCATCCTCTAAATTCTGAAAATAGTACTAGAAGCTTTCTATATATCAACAATTATCTCTTTTAATCTTCAACTCAACTCTGCTTGGTGGTTATTATAGTCAACATACAAATGAAATCAGAAGTGTGAAAAGGTTGGGTGATTTGCTGAGATCAAACAGCTAGAATGGCAGAGTCAGAATTCAACTCAATGAATACCCAAAGCTTTACTTTTTATCTATGGAGAGCTAATACAAAAGCATTATTTAATGTCCTTATGAATGCTGAATGAGGTTAAGAAAACCAGGATTAGGAAAGAATCACAAAGAAAACATCTCAATAAAAATCTATGCTTGCACTTTAGAACCCCTGGGTTTCATTAAGACATTGCCTTTACAGTTTTTGATTAATGAAATCTAAGGTGATAAGTGAAAAATAAATGTTCAGATCCAAGACCACAGTATGCCATCCTGCCTAAGCTTGTATTTTTTAGCTCCACACTACTCATATTATCAATCATATAAACAAATCACAAATGACGTGAAACAGGAAAAACAAAGGAAAAATGTAAGGGCTTCCTTTGCTTTTGGAAAACAGCTGGGAAACAATAGAATGTTATTTTTAAAAATATGGAAAAAAATTTTTCATAGTAGCTAATGTCTATCCACCTTAGGCGTTATGATACATTTCTTTTTTGTAACCTTAAGACAACCCATATTTTCACTCTTTATAAAAATCAATTCTATTAGAAACAGTTTTTTAACCACACTAACCTTTAAATTGGATCACTAAAGAATGTTGTATACATCAATTTCTAACCTCTTAGAACATTCTGCACAATAGATTTTAATCACTGGAATGAATAATTGCTCAGAAAAGCAGCACTGCCTCAACCTTGTATGATTTGGTAGTCAATATTCCTGTTTTCCAGTAAAAAGAAGGTTTCATGAACACAAACTCTGGATTCCTTATGATTTCATCGATCAAGAGACCGTTTTTGAGCAGCTTCTGAGCAAACATTTCTTAGTAAGTTGATCACAGATCTGGGGTCTTCACTCCTCATAATGGCACTGCCAGACACAATCATGTTAGCTCCTGCCTGGAAGAAGTAAACACTTAGGTTATGCCTTAAATGAAGAAGCAGAAGAACCTACAACAGAATTCTCCACTGCCTACCCCAGCACTTGGTCCAAAATCCACTTTCAGATGAACTTCTAGTTCAATGATGTAAGAAGTTATGATATTCAAAAGAATGTAAAATTATTTTTTTAAATGTGAATGTAAATTTATTTTTAAATGTATCTTAAGAAATCACTGAACTTTTTTGTTAAATCAATTCTTAATAAGTTACACAATTGTCTTTGCTAATAGATAAAATTTTCAATCCTTTAATCTAAAATTCTATTAAGGCTTCTTCCTCAATATATACCAATGCCCCCAGAGATACTAGAAACAATCTTTGAATTATTTATATGAATTTTGGGAAATTCTGAAAGGACAATTACCATGAAAATGTTAAAATTATCCATATGACATCAGCAACACTGAATCTAAATGATTTCTCACTTTGTGTCAGAAATATTTCTACCCTAACATTCCAGAATGGTTTTAATAATCTAGAAAAGGTTTTCAAAATGATGGTTTGAGATGCAAAAGCAAAGAAATAAAAATACATTTTAAAAAACAAAGTACGGTGCCTCCAAATTTAGTTCTGAACTTCCCAGGATGTGACATGAGAACGAAAATTCAATGTGTTATGTAATTCCTTGCTAGAAAGGGGAGGAGGGGGAGAACTACAAGCTGAGGAACATTTCTCCAGTGTTACACTATCACTTTATGACAAAACATCACATCTCTATAACATTCCTCACAGAAATAAGTTTTATAGGGTCCCCACTTAGTATGTCTCTTCATTTGAGCAGGAATAGCATAACAGCAAACAGTTAATACAAAGCAATTCCACAAGGGTCAAAACTTGATAGGTATGTATCAAGCATTGGGGGAAAAACCAAACAAAATCTGCTACAGTGGCTACTGTAGGAGAATCTAGAAGTGTAGATATACAATACTACTGGATAAGAGTAGGCCTCACAAGCATTTACTACCTACAGTGCTACAGAAGGGATGCCATTCTCTCATGAAGGTGAGGCCCAACTAAGCAGGCTGGTTATCTAGATAAAACAAAACTAGAACACTTCACCTCTATGTAGAGGACCAAATGTGGACCAGGCCTAGATCTTTGTCAAAATGGTCCTAGTCTGTTTTAACAAGGAACAGATTACAAATATATCTAAGTTCTAAAAATTAACATAATAACTATGAAAATTAAATATCTCTATTTTTTCCCTTTTCTTTCCCTGTCTTAGAAAAATTTCTTAGTCCTAAGAACTTAATGGTCTTCCAAAGGGCTAGTATTCAATATATTCTTTTCTACAAAGAACTTTCTTTAGCATTACTGATATAACCAAACTTTACTTTATTTAACAATTCGTCACTTTGAAAATTCACTTATTGGTCTTTAGTTTCTTAATTCTACATTTAAACAAACAAAAAGAAAGAGAAAAATACTTTCCTAAGGAACAAAGTCAACTTAGGAAATGTAGGGGAAATCTCTTTGGCCCATAAGACAGTGTCTTACAAATTTTATCTGACAAGAAATTGGTCTAGTAACAGTCAAGGAGCAGTCTCACCTCTGCACATTTATGGACAGTGTCAGGACCTACTCCACCATCGACCTCTATATCCAAAGATGGGAACTGGGTCCTCAACCAATGAACCTAGATATACATGAAGAAATAAGTGACTCCTAAAGTGGATATGGGGGGAAAACCAAACAAAATCAAATAGTTATACTAGCCATTATAACTCCAAATCTCCAAATAACTGTATCAAAACATACTGGGCACACTTGTTCTTTAATGTACTGAAACAAATTAAGCTTTATCAGAGTGGGTTTTGTTCTATTTACCAAATGGCATTCAATTTGCCATGTTTTTATAGACATGTAAACAAGATAAAGACAAACCCTCTATATTCAAAGAAAACTTTCAAGGGATCTAAAGGTTAGAGGACAGCTTTGAAAGAAAACTTCACTATAGGGATACATCAGCTCTGATTTTAAAACTTAAATCTACTTCAGTATTTGTCATCCTGTATTACAACAATCTGGAGGCACCAACGTCTCTTTTCCCTGTGATAGGATGACTTAATAGACAAGTCTTTCAATATATGTTTAGTGAAAGAACACATACAATAAAATTCTCATCCCAGAATCAAATATTTTTTTTACCTTTGGCATCATATCTTCCATGAATTTCTGCCCTCCAAACCCAGGTTCCACTGTCATAACCAAGGCCATATCTATTTGATTAGCCCATGGTGCCAAATACTCAACTGTAGTTCCTGGTTTGATGGCAAGGCCAACCTGTAACAGAGAAAAAATTGCTACATCACACTAACAATTATTTTACTTATTATTGCATATTTACTTAATATGCATATTGGGCACAGTATAAATACCATTTTTTTAAAAAAAGAATAATAAATGGAATACATAGATTAATTCATTTGTGGCTGTCAAAAGTAAATGGTTCTACACAGCAGTAATTTTCATAAAACATTAGTGGCATATGTAAATCCTATCTGATAAACAAGTCTCATTCTTAAAATCCTACTTTACAGCTGAAGCAGGTGCTTACATCAAGTCTTCTTTACCTGCCACTGCTTGCTTTCCATCAAATCTGCCAAATCCTGAAAGGGAATAGTATAAAACATTACCATCAATAACTTCTTACCTTCATCCCATTTTCCCGGATGTCTTTAATCAAAGCCCCTGGGTTCTCAGTGGCCTCTAGATGAAAGGTGTATTGATTGGCTCCTGCTACAGCCATTGGCTTTACCCACTGTTCTGGCTTGGACACCATCATGTGCATGTCTAGAAAGAAAAGACACAGCTTTTAAATATTATTGGAAAGAAAATACCTGACTCATACAGTTGAAATCAGTCTGTAGTCTTTGCCATTTTGAATGTAAACTCTCCTGGCATGACAGAGACTAAACAGCTATACTTCAAGGTAGTTTCCCTTTATCCTGAAGACAGGTTTGGTCAAATTCATTTGCAGAAAAAAAAAAGAAAAAAATTCCAAAGCACATGCTGCTGTACATGAGTGCCACTCCAGAAACACAAACAAGTCACACTATCTGTGCAGCCTTGCTTTCTCTTAGAGAGCTAAATTTTGTGATTCCATTTATTCTTTCAACAAACTTAATAAACATTTCCTGCACCATTAACTATTCTAGGCCGTAGGAATGGCAGAAAACAGGGTATTAGTGGCTGTTTCTCTACTATCATGGTGATTACATTTTTTAGCAGCAGAGAAAACCAATAAAATAAGTAAAATATAAACAAAGTTGGCAGTTAAATAAAGAAAGTGTGTCTGGGATCAAGGTTGTCCAGGGATGAGAAGATGAAGTCAGAGAAAGGAATGCAGTGAGGAAATACAGCACAGAGCTGGGCAGGCCCTCAGGTTTTATTCGAAACAAGAAGTGAAAAATACCACAGGATTTTATGTTAAGCAACAAGGTCCAACCAAGGAGGCCAGATGGACATAACCCAGGTGAGGAAGGAAGATGGCGGCAATTGAGGATTCTGGGTGTGTTCTGAAGGTACAGGCAACAAAAGGTCACAATGGATTTACATGTAGTAGACAAAAGAAAAGTTGAGATGGTACCAAGGATTTGGGCGTGAGTAAATAACAGAACTGCTGTTAACTCAGTGGCAGAAGATTATGGGCCAGAACAGATTTAAAGTTGACCAGAAGTCTGATATTCAACCTCATTCTATAGCACGGTCATGGCCTTCTTAAGAGAACTAGCCTTAAAAAAAACAATGTGGCTTGTGAGAAGGGGGGAGGCAGCTTAAAAGAGGCTGATCAAGAAACAAGCTTGTGAAGAATGACAGGTGGTAGTGAGGAGAGTTCTTTTATTTTGTTTGCTAGAGAAAGTACATTTCTAATATTTAAGTAAAAAATTCTAATATTCCAGAACTTACCTAAGAGTTAGTTCAAATAAAAGTTCAATAAAGCTCTGGAAAAAATGTTAGAAAAAGAGCACATGACTTAACTAATGAAGCCAAGATTAAATTAAAGTCTGCTATTTCTAAATGAGCAAAAGTAACTAAATTAGAACATATTTTAATAGGTAAAAATTTTTAAAAATGTATTCCTCTGTTGTGTCTTATTCTTTGCTATTACAAACAAGGAAAATTCAATCCAGCTTAAAATAACTAGTTTACTCATTCCTTAAATTACCAGACTGATTAGTCAACCTTACTGAATCTCTAGCACACAGTAACCATTAGCATCTCTCACTGGAGAATCTCCAAAAGATCAGGGAATCATAGTTCAGTGAATCTGCCTATAAAGAATATAAGACTGGCAGTATTCAAACTTTCAACCACCAGGCTTCCTTTGTATTCTTAAAAAATACTGAAGACTCCTAAAAACCTATGTTGATATGGGTTGGACTTTTTTCTTTCTTCTTTTAGTTGTAGTTGGGCACAATATCTTTATTCCATTCATTTAGTTTTATGCGGTGCTAAGGATCAAATCCAGGGCCCCGTGCGTACTAAGCGAGCGCTAGACCGCTAAGGGACAACTCCAGCCCAATATGGGCTAGATTTATAGATATGAAATGTATTAGAAATTCAAACTAATACATTTTAAAGTATCTACTTATTACTTTATTTAAAAAATTAATAAACTGAGTAGATACTCCTTATCCATGGCCTTACTTTCTGCAGCTTCATTTCTGAGGTTTTCTAGTTAACTGTAGTCTAAAACTTATTAAATAGAAACTTCTATAAGTAAACAATTCTCAAGTTTTAAAATCACATAACTCACACCATCCTGCTCTGTGAATCATTTCTCTGTCCAGTGTATCCACACTGCACACACTATATGCCCATTATTAGGCACTTAGTAACTGTCTTGGTGATGATTTGTACAGTATCACAGTGCCTGTGCTCAAGTAACCCATATTTTATTTAATGGACCAAAGTGCAAGAGTAGTGATACCAGCAATTCAAATATGCCAAAGAAAAGCCACAAAGTGCTTCCTTTAAATATCATCTCACATTATCCAAGAAGAGTAAATACAATAAGATATTTTGAAAGAGACCACAGTAACATAACTTTTATTATAGTATAAATGCTACAACTGTTAGATAGGTGAGGTGTAGTAAATCCATTTTCAACTTAAGATACTTTTACCTTTACAACACCCTGAGTGACACATAGCCCTATTGTAAATAAGGAGCATCTGCACTTGGAAACTGTCAAGCTCAGAGGAGTAAGAAACAAGTTTTCTAATATTCTAATTTTCTATCCAAGCTCTATCAGTGGCTATAAAACTGACAAGGTATTTTTTTAAGGACAAGTTCACCTTATGAATTTTAAAGAAAATATCATAATATTCATGAAAAATGCACCTAGTTCAGATCATAACTCAAACTATGGCAGAAGTGGTTTTCCTTAAGAAAACCATCATAATTGAGTATGCAACCACTACTTTATATGTATTTCCTATTCTGCCACACAAAAAGACATGTGCTCAGGGGTAAAAGTTATTAAAATCAATAATCTGTACTGTCTCACCAAGGATACTTATTGAAAACACACAGCAAAGAAGCATGAAGTTACTACTGGTATAATTCAATACCCCTCCACTGATTTGGGTTAAGCCACCAGCAAATTAAGTCACCATTGCTTTTGCACTATCAGTACAGAAAGTATCACATATTATGAAAATAGTTTTGATCTCACAGATAACCTGAAAAGATCTTAAGGATTTCCATGGGTCCCGATACCACACTTGGGAGTCCATTGATTCAGACAATAACAAGCACAGATTTCTAATCAATTCTTCTCAGATGCTTATTTGTACTCAAAACTAAGCATGAACAGTTAAGAACTTAAGAAGTTGCACATACAACCTGTGATCTAGTTCCTAAAATACATTCATGTAACAATCACCCAATAGTCAAGATCCAAGAATTAAACAACAACAACAAAAAAAAAATGCTTAATATAAAAAACAAAGATCACAAGACCTAAACATTAAGATGTACAGAGTTCATTCATCTTTATTTTAGACCAAACTCTATAGTGATTAATTAGCAAGCTTATCAGCAAACAGCTAAGAAGGAAAAACAGAGGGCATATGGTAGTAGCAAGAACTGGAAAGAGGAAAGTCAATAACAGGAGAATATATAGACAGTAACAACACATGACCCTAGGAACCCAAAAAAATGAAGAGAAAAGGAGAAAACAGTAAAAAAGTGTTTTTAAAATCCACACAAGAAAGCCAAAAGCAGAAAATTCTGGCTACCATAAAATGGGAGCAAATAATGCTATTTATTTTATCCACCTCTCATAGCAACAAAAATGATTTGAATTCATAAAAAAATGAGCATTTGTGGTACCATAAGTTGATTAAAAAAGTAATTTCAGAAAATTCAGAATCTTCAATTTGCATGAAATAAATGGCTTCTAGGCCATCTATGAGTCAACTGACTCATAAATTCAGTCAATTATACTGAGTCCTAATCATGTATCTATGCTTCGTTAGGAAAACCACAGTAAATGAAGTAGATTCAATCTCTGCCCTCATGGGCTCATAGTCTGGTTAAAGTAATCTCAGACCAGAAGAAGTTATAAGAAAATCAACATGGTAGTAAATGTATAAAGGTTAATTTACCACAGGTGCTAAGAAAGGCCTCTCTGACAAAATGACAAATGATCTGAGGCCCAAAGATGAGGCATTCAACCAAGTGAAGAGCTTTCTAAGCAGAGATTAGCAAATGCCAAGGCCCTGAGGCAGGAAAGAGTTTGGCTTGCTACTAAAGTCAGGCCAGTGAAGCCCCAACACAGGAAGAAGGGCTGGAGGGAAAGGGGGACAGGTACAGGATAAATTGGAAGCTAAAAAATCAATCATCCCCTTTTCTTTGATCTGAACAACATAATCCAACATCAGATGACATAACACTTACCAAAGAAAGGGTCCTGGCCTAGCTGCTTTCGGAGGCTTTCTACCACAGGGTGACCAAAGGTGATGTTGGGAACAAAATGCCTACAAGACAAACAAAATCTCATTCTGAAAATGTTTTCAATTCAGTTTTTATGTTTCTCTCAATATGAATTCTGATGGGGGTAGAAGGGACTGGCTGGGATTGCAATATTTTTAAATTTAATATCATCAACATGAAAATTAAACTAATAGTAACTGGACAACTTTGTTTTGCAAAGCAACAGCTCCTAGATATCTCAGAAATGTATAATGCCACATATATCTTCATAACAAATTAGAAGAATTTATAACCATAACAGGGAGAAATGGAAAAATGACTAAATAAAAAACCCAAAAGTTTATGACTTGCCCAAGTCACATACTAGTTCGCCCCAAGTTCAGGACACTGGCACATATTTCCTGAGTCATAGCTTTTCACAGAAATTTGTGGCTACTTCTAATGCAATTTCACTGGGCATTAAATGAAAATTTAAATTTTCCTGAAGATAACCAGTAAAAAAAATTGATGTTTTTTAATAATAACTACCTTTTAATGAGAGTTTACTACATGCCAGGCATTGTACCTTCATTTCATCTTCACAACAGCCTAACAAAATGGATACTACTATTATCCCCACTTGAAGAGAGCAGGATAAATAAAATCCTTCAGTCAATAATTTGTGGAGAAAGGATTTATACTAAGTGTCTGATATCAGACCCAAGGTACTTAACCTTTCACCTACCCCACTAACTACTATTATTCTACTTGCTCACTTAAACATTTAGCAAAATCTTCTACATGCAAGTAACCATGCTGGGTGCATAAAATATTGTGCTTTATAAAGAAGTACGCTAGAATTCCTCCATACCCTAAGAGAGTTCACATTTTCAGCTCCCTTTACCTCCATGTCAGCCCATATGATTAGTTCTTATCAATGACCCCTGAGTAGTGGTATAGGCTGAGCATCCCTAATCTGAAAATCCAAACTATTCCAAAACTGAGAACTTTTTGAGCATTGACTTGATGCCATAAATGGCAAATTCCACTCTTCACGTGAAAAGTTGCAATCAAAATGCAGGCAAACTAACAATACCATGTAAAATTACTTTCAGAAGTGTGTAAGATATACATAAAACATAAATGAATTTCATGTTTAGACTTGGGTCTCATTCCCAAAATAACTTCTTTTATTTACATGTAAATATGATAAGAAATCCAAGATATGGATAAGGGACTTTAGATAACGAATATTCAACATGTATTCCTTTCCTACTCTAATTTTACCTTTCTGATAACAAAGCCCTTTGGGCAGGAGAGCCTCAGAATGGAAGGAGAAGGACACACACTCAATGTTATATGAGTAAGAAATAAGATATAATGTTACATTAATGAAATCTGGGTTTTCAGAACATTGAACAGTAACAAGCAAGCAATACATGATTATAGGTAAACTGACAAAAGTTTTACACAACATTAAAAGAAGATCATAAGATTTAGAAATCAAGATTTGTAAAGATGAGAAAAGAAATGAAGAAAAGGTTTAAAATGAACCAAAGGAAGAATGAAGCAAGTTATGTTCAAAGAAGAGGTAAAAGGTGTTAATAAGTTAGGTATGAAAAACATAGGAGGTGGGTTAAATCACATTAAGGGAGTCAAATGCCAAGCTCAGCTTTTCAGACTTCATCCCACTGAAAATACAAAGTAAGATTTTTAAAGCAAGAATACTAAATAACATTTGAATAATAAAGCAGAAAGAGGATTGAGCAACAAATTTCAAAAAGAAAGATAAAAGGTGTTGTTAAGTGGCAAGAACAGTAATGAGAAGGTCAAGCAAAACTGACAGGATGTGTCAACTGATTAGATGCGAAGTGTTGGGGAGTAAAAGCAAAGAGAATAAAGGTTGACCAATGTAATTCTGCAATCTGTACACTCAGAAAAATGAAAAATTATATCCCATCTGATTCAAATGTATGATATGTCAAGATCATTGTACTGTCATGTGTAACTAATTAAAACAAATAAAAATTAATTAATTAATTAATTAAAAGGTTGAGCTTTTAAGTTTAGATGACAGAAACAATGAGTGTTGATACAAAACAAACTTACATATATTCCAGGCACAAGTTCTAAACACTTCCCATATATTAAATCTTTAAAATCTCACAACAACCCTATGAGATAGGCACTACTATCTGTATTTTACAGACAAGCAAGAGGCCCAAAGTCACCCATTCAATGAGTGGCAAAGGTAGGAGTTCAACATAGGTTTACTTAAATTAATATGTTCATCTGTCCCTACAATGACAACTAAGGGGAGAATGGGGGAAGGTCAGGATTCAGGATGCACCTGAGGACAGATAAGGTGGATCAGGACAGATACTTTTCGTTTACTGATATGTTGGCTCTAGTAGGCTGACTTCTAGTATTCAGACAATTACTCTAGCGTTTGCCTAAGAGCAATTACTGTCAGGATTATAGATAGATGAGGTGCTTAGGTTACTTAAACCAAAAATAAAGACCATATAAAAAGGCAGCAAATCTACTAAATATTTTGCAATGCTGGAATTAAAAGATTTTGATTCCCTAGTGTTCTCTGATTTTGCTATGTGGCCTTAAAGGTAATTTTGTTGTCTGAGCCTTAGACTTCATGTATCATGAAAATATGATAACATCATGAAAAAGTTCAACTCAATACATATTTACTAGCAAACACAAGCATAACAACTATAACGACTGATCACCAAATTATGTGACCAATTTGTGCTTCTGAAGATCAGTTTAATACACTGGGTTCACTAAGTATCCTGGAAGAATAAAATACACTTAATAGACTCAGAAAATATGAAAGGCTTGTGTCTAAGCCCTAACAAAACAAGACTACAAATTCAAGCCTGAAGTCAGAATGTCCTGAATTTGCCTAGGTAACCACACAGAAGCATCTGATACAAATAATTTACAGCCTTTACTTCAAGCTTACTGACTCCAAAGGGGACCCAAGAATCTGAATTTCTTAAATACCCCAAGAGTTCTTATCAGACCAGCATGGAAAAGACTAAATTATTTCACTCTCACAAACAGATATTTCATGAGAAAGTCTGATTTATTATTATCTCATTATGCCTTTTTTTCCCCTTGAAAGTAGTTTCTGAATTAGTCTATAAAAAATAAAATGTAATAAAAAAGTATTTCTTCTTCCCAGAGACTTACTGGAATTAAACTATAACTGTAGTACAGAAATAAAATTATTTTCTCTCTCGTCATCTTTAGCTTTACTTACAAATTCTGTAATAAATTCTATTTCAGAAAAACAAGTTGTAGGTGGACTAAGGTTGATATAAAATGTACCCAAACCAATACCAGAAAACAAATTTCCTGTTAATCAGGAGTCACAAGCCAATGGGAGTTGGCAGATAACATCAAGGAGCAAAACAGAGCAGATGAGGATGAGAAGCAATGAACACCTGGACCGACTAAAGGTATTTAGCTCTAGCCAACTGTGACCTTGCCAGAGTGCACCCAGGGCTGGCAAATCTTTGATTCCACCCTCCCAAGATTAATGTGAAATCTTCCAATTTCAAATTTTGTTAATAGCTTATTTGCTCTGTTCTCATGCTTAGGTTCAACACATTCCAGTCACTCTCCTGTCATGATGCATGTGCATTTTCCAAGGTATTTGTCTAGAGAATTAACCTGTTCTTTATTCCACACATAAGTATATAAGTGCCCCACCTTCCACAGTGATCTCCAAACTAGTGTCCAACTTTCTAGATCAAAATGTTTTAATCAGGAGAAAAACTGAGGGCCTGGGTGAGGGAGACTAGAAAACAAGCAAATACAAAGTGTGATGTTAGATGAGATTAAAAGGGCCAGGGAACAGAGAAACAGAGGGCTTACCTAGCACATGTGAGGCACTGGGTTCCATTCTCAGGGGAAGGAAGGGAGGGAGGAAGGGAGGGAGGGATAGAGGGAGGGAGGGGAAAGAAAAGGAAAGAAAGGGGCTATGTCCACCTACAACTAAAAAAATATTGGGGAAGAAAAAAAAGAGAGAGAAACAAAGGGAAACTAGGAAGGGAAGGTTCTCACTGGCCATCTGCAAAAAGGGAGTCTACAACCCCACTTTCATAACCCTGGCTTAGGAGACACTGGAGCACATGGTTTATGGGCACTGGCTGAACCTCCCTAAACAAATTTTCTCCACTATAAAAGACATACAACAGTTCTTACTTTTAAAGGTGTGTGAAGGTTAAAAGGAAAACTCTGCAAACTATATGCAGGTTTTATTTTTTCCAAACCAGTTTCCTGGCAAAAGAGTGTCAATATAAAACAAAATACTTAATCTTATTTAATATACTCAGGGTCTGCCACAAAGAGAGGAGTGATTCCTTAGAGATTTCTCCTATTATGATTTAACCACTCATTTATTTATCAATGATAATTAAATTTGTGATGGTGTTTACTGCAGAGAATACCTAGATGAGCAAGAGAGAGGGTAGACCCTGTTTCCAGGAAGCTTTTTCAGTGTAAGAAGAAAGGCAAAAAGTAACAAAAGTAAGAGTATAAATTATGAATTACTCTTTGAGGACAGAGAATGTCTTAAATCATCTGTCAGCCTAGGACTCATAAAAAGCATTTAATTGTTGAGAGAACACCAACTATTACATTGCTTCTAAGGCTGGCGCCACCATTTTCTAGTAACAAGACGTAACTCAGTGTCTTATTCCTCCCTATCAAAATGCTGGTGATACAATGGAGTATTACTCAGCCACAAAGAAGAATGAAATTATGGCATGTGCAAGCAAATGAATGGAAGATGGAGACTATCATACTAAGTAAAATAAGTCAGACCCAGAAAGTCAAAGGTTGCATGCTTTCTCTAATATGAGGAAACTATTCCAAAATAAAGAAAGAAAGAAAAGAAACAGGGGTGGGGGGGTTGACCTCTATCAAAATAGAAGAAAGATCAGTAGAGAAAAGGGATTGAGAGAGAGGGAGGGATGGGTTAAGAGAAAAACACTTGACTCAACTTTCCTATGTACACATATGAATATACCACAGTGAATCTCACCGTTATGTAAATTTAAAAAAAATTTTTTTTAGTTGTAGGTGGACACAATACCTTTGTTTTGTTATTTATTTTTATGTGATGCTCAGGATCAAACCTAGTGCGTCGCATGTGCTAGGCCAGCGCTCTACCACTAAGCCACAACCCCAGCCCATCATAATATTCTTGATTGGTGAACTGAAACAAATTATTTTCCTCATCCATTCACTTACCCATACATGGCTTATTTCAAACCAAATCGCTTTCTGTGTCACACTCACAGATATGCATGTAACCTGTTCCATCCTAAGACCCCTAGGTGTTCTCTTAGGATTAAAAATGTAATTAACATCTCTAAGGTACACAATCCAGTTAGTGTATTACCTGTGAGAGTTGAGGGCTTCCAAGCAAAGCTTTTAAAAGCATATACAGAATTACACATGATAGTAAACTAAAAATCAAGCTTTGAGAGAGGTAACACTTACAAACCTTCTTATACAATAAGCCTATCATTCTTAGTTATCTGAGGTCAAGGCATTGGCATCACCAGTTAGGAAAATTTGTAAGGTAAAATGTGAAAGAGAAACACCACATCCAACCACACAAAAGAAAGCACAAAACTCTACAAGTGACAGTGAAGTTAAAAAGAAACTGATTAATCATCTTTTGTAAATAACATCAATTTATAAATGTGAATGAGGGCATGTGGAGGTTTTCACCTATTTCAAATAAATTTCTTTTTCCTTTCTCTTTTCTTTTTGGTATTGGGGATTGAACCCAGTGGCACTTAATGACTGAACCAGTCACAGCCCTTTTTATTTTTACATGGGGCTTTGCTAAGTTGCATAGGGCCTAGCTAAGTTGCTGAAGCTAGCTTTGATATTGCGATCCTTCTGCCTCAGCCTCCCCAGCCCTTGTGATCACAAGCGTGCAGCACTGCAGTGGCTGCAATAAAAATCTTCTATCCCAACACACCGTAATGAATTGCGTAACAGTGCAGACCAGAGAGCTACAGATAATTCGGCAAAGGGAAGATAAAAGTTATTAAAATTCTGTCACAAACGTCTATGATCTTGAGGGCCTCTTACTGTTTTCTCTCCATTTCTTTCCTCATTCTGTAACCAACTTAAGAAACTTGTATTCTGATTCCAAATAATATGTTATAACTACAGTGCTTAAAATTTACTTACAAAAAACTGACCTCACTGCAGAGCAGGGTGCCTGAAGAAAAAATAGATAGGAAAATCAGAATTCGAATAATGATACAACAGTTACAGAGAATTTAATATGCGTCAGGCACTGTAAACTTATATTTGCTCATTTTGCCTTCCAAACATACCTAAGCATAGGTTCTGTACGTATGCCCATATTTTTCAAATAATGAAACTGAAGCTCAATGAGGTTAAGAGGCTTGTCCAAGGTAATCCGAGAAGTGACAGAACTTGGGCAATTTCCCTTCAGATGCCAAGCTCTTAATGATTACACAAATATGTCTCCCCAGCTTTGCCACTAACTAGCTATATGAGCTTGGGCAAGTCATGCCTATCCCCTTGGGCCTCAGTTTCTCTACTGTACACGAAAGGGCCTGGAGATTTAAGGTCGCTTCCGGGTCCTAAGACCACACGTTACGTGGGGGAGGGGAGGAGTTCAGGTTTGGGACTAGCCCGCAGCCCAGGATGCTGCGTCAGGTCAGTTCCAGCCAGGGCCTTCAAGCTTCCCACCCCATTCCCCACCTCAATACAGTGTTCAAAGTGAGGCGCCCCTCGGTCGTACAGGGACACCGTGCACCCAACAGGCATTCAATACAGGTGCGCCGTCCCGCCCCCGCGCGGCAAGCCCGACCCGAGCCCCGAGGAGTTACCCGTCCATTACATCCAGGTGCAGATAATCTGCCCCAGAGTCTAGCATCCGGAGGCACTCAGCCCCTAAATTGGCCAGGTCGCTGTTAAGGATGGACGGGCCAATCTTGCAGCCCGACGCCATGGTGCTAGTTCCGTAGTGCTAGTTACCCCACGAGTCCCCGGCTAGACGAAAGCGTCACCCCGATTGGGCGCGCAGCCGGGGCCCCGCCCCTTCCCCCGTGCAGTCTTCCGGACTCTGCCGGAAGCAGTGCCCTGCGGGAAGGAAGTCCCGCCTCCAGCCCAGGGGCGGGATCGGGGGCATAGGGGCGGGGCCTCATGGGAGTCCTTTTTCCTTCTCCCTCTCTTGACGCTCTTACCTTTCGCGGTACTCAGGAGTTTCTTGAACTTCCTCCGCTTTTCTTTTTCTATATTTTATTCTCCTCGGCTCTTGACCTTACTTCTCATTTTGTTTCTCCATTATTTGCTTATGCGTTCCTTTCCTCAGCAGCTCCTGTGTTTGCCCTTTAAAAACAATAACCACCTTTCCCCTTTTCTCATTCCTAGAACTTTTCTCACAAGTGGAGCAATTCTGGCTGTGCCAGGCTTTAGCAGGGTTACCCGGCAAGTCACCTCTCCCTGCCTTGGGTTTCTCATCTGTAAAGACAGTGCGCAGTGTTTAGAATTGTTGTGAGGATTAAATGAACAAGGCCAGGTGATGAGCCCAGCATGATGTCTGGTGCCCAGTACAAAATGATGTTACCATTAGTATCCACCTTTCCTGTCCCTCGCCCACCTTTGTTGTTGTTTTTCCCTCTCAGCAATACTCATTGACATAAGTGACACATTTGGTTACTGTTCAGACGCAATACAGAAATGAATAAGTGTCCTGCTGCCAAATGTGTGAAGATCCTGGGTCCTCAAAAGAGATGGAATTAAAACCACGTGGGGGAAAATGGATTTAGCAAGAGCAATTCTAGGGAGTAAGGAGAGAGCACTTCGTAATTTGTATTAAAGATATAACTGATGTGTTAACTGGGCCCCCATGGTTTTTATAGATTGTCAGAGGATAATCAGGTCTTTAACACCCCCACTAGGACATCTACCAGTCATTCCAGCAGGTCATAATCTGGGCAGTGAAGGCAAATTGGGGTACCTGACTCCAATGCTCTGGTTCTGCTTTGTTTGAAAGGATGGAAAGCTGGGGTAGAATAAAGCTGGAAGGGGTGGGAAAAGTGCCTAATTGGAAGGTAACCTCAGGCCAGACTGGAGGTTAAAGAGGGACAGCAAGACATTAACAAAGGCATACCCAGGGATCCAAAATGAACATTTTCCTGAATGAGCAAACGTTTTCTTCCTTATGGTGAGAAATAAAACTCAGGCATATTAAATGCTCTTAGATTTATTTTTATTATATGTGCATATTCAAACACAGAAGTCAATATCTTTCATAAATATCTTTCATAAACATTTCAGTATTTATTCATATGCATTTTTCCATGCTCTTTGGTCATTCAATATTCACAACAGATTTCATAGTCATCTGAGGGAAGTTGGCTGTGTAGTCAATCCTTTGTTTTTACCTATAAAATGGCTAATAAAGGACTTTCATCCTGTGGTCACAGTGACAATTAAAAAATATTATGGAGGTACATAGATCTGTAATCCTAAATGATCCTAAAACAATATAAGTAAATTTGTCTTAAGCTTTTCCAAACACAACCTGCCCTTGTTTTTATTCTCCTGAGTGTCAAATCAAAGTTTGCTTTTGAAATACTGCAGTTGAGACCCACTAAAGTAAATGAGGAAGTGGGATATTTTACTCACTGCAAGACTCAAGGCCATGGAATTGGAAGTGTGAGGTCACAGGGCAATAGCATGACTTGATGTGATAGCAGCAATTCCAGAGACTGTGCTCTATTAAAGTGTATAACTTGAGGAAGGATATTTAATTCATATTTTGGACTGCCATTCTATTCATTTTTGGCCCTTTCTTTCCTATAGTTCTCTACCTATGCTCTATTTTCTCAAAAACTCTCAGAGCTGGGCAGCAGAGTGGAGAAAGTTCTTTCTTAAAGGAACAGATGCTAAAGAAGAGATGTCATTCTGTCTAAGGTATTCTTGGAGGCTTGAAGTAGCAAACTAGCTACTCCCAATCTGTGCAACATACCCTAATCAGATCACCAGTACTGCAGTCTCTCCCCCCAGCAACACCATGTGCCCATTCATGCCTTTGACACTATAGTTCTGAGTATCTTGGGACATGCACCCAAGAACTAATTTCCTTTTCTGAAAAATCAAATAATTTATCTAATAGAATTATAGAAAGCAGCAAATACTGAAAAATTAAAGTAAAATGATTACTATAGAAAATTCAGTATCCAGGATTTGAACCGGTTAAATTGAATCTGCATATTATGTATCTATACCCACTGTTATAGATAATACATGTTTATTCCAGGGTCTCTCAAATCTTATTTTCTGAATAAGCAACATTTTTGTTGTGCCCAAGTTTTTATACATGGGAAGTGGGTGCCTATATTTTTTTTCCTCTGAATAAGACAAATATCAGTAAGTATCATAGCTTAAGAAATGATCTATTATTACCATACTGTATTTATCATATGTAATAATTAACTTTTAGTCAAGTAGTCAATAATATTTTGAACAATACAAAAGATTGTCAATTACCTTGAACTTTTTTTCTTACCTTCCCCGACTGTTGTTTTTAAAAAATAGTTATTCCTTCAAACTCCAGGTGACAGTATTCCTGAGAATACTTCTCATGAGGGTCTTATGCACATACATATAGATACTTTAGCCATTACACTTAAAACATTCAACACATTACATTCAACACATTTAAGGACACCTCCAATGGAACAGACGCACACATCGTCAAAAACCTCAGTAGTCCCAGTATGAAAACATTCCCACGCTGTAAGCCCCTGTTTCCCAGAATGGGAGGGTTTTTTCTTTCTTTTTTTGCAAGGTATGACATGATTTAGCTTATTGAAAAAGTTTCTAAGAGAATACACTTGAGTGAAAGAGTTGGACTAAAAGGCAGAAAGACCAGCAAAATCATGTTCAAAACAGCTCAATACATTTAAAATATATATATATGTAAATAAATAAAGATATTTAGGATGACCCCTTACTTTTTAAATATTTGATATACATAGAGAATTTGAGTCAAAAGTCAAGAAACTGGAACAAAGCACACACATATAGAAAGACTCACATAGCCCAGACAATTGTAATTACCAAACATAAGGCCTCTAATGCTAATTGAGCAGCATGATTTTTAGCAGGTAAAATATATCAGAATCAGAAAACCACTTATATGTCTACTTTTGCACTTGAGAATTAATTCAGCATTAAGTGTAAATAATGTGAAAATGTTATAAAACATAAAAGAGGCCATTTACCTCCTTGATTTTTCTGAATTTTGAGATTTTAAATTTATTCTTTTATCATTAACTCACAGATAGCTTTCATTCTCCTAATAAATGGGACCATAACCCCAAATTATATTTGAAACTGTAAATTATGATATAAACAGTGCCTATTTAATAAGCAAGTCTAACAGAAAAATAATTTTTCTTTATGACTAAGGTGGGTTTAGTAGGTTTCCTCTTTATATACATATACATTTCACAGTCAACAAAGTCAACATTTACATATATAGAATGTATTTTAAATCTCAGTGTAATAAAAGTTTATGTTAAACTTTTACTTCAGGACTAGAAAATACACACACTCACCCAATCATACCAATTTAGGTATGCATATGGATTTTTTTATGTGCAGTAGTTATGTAACAATTTTATAATGTAGACTGTTAAAATTACAAAAATCTATTTTGTATTCTTTGATGCCCAGCCCTTTAATAATCCACTAGATATTGGCCTCAAAGCTTTCCAAATTTCATACTTTATCTTAAAGTAACTGAACTTCAAGTTAAAAGCCTATTTGTAAAATGTACAAGCTGAGTGTACAAGCTGAGTGTCTATGAAGAAATGGCTAACTTTATATATTTTTCCTCATAAACATAGATGTCCCAAGGATCATAAGAGTATTTTTACTATTGAAAAAAAAAAGTTATTTTACTGAACCAATTCTAACAACACTAACTTTAATGTATGAAAATATGCCCTGAAGGGCAGGCACAGGATACCACAGGGATGCCATAGGGGAAAGTAATCACATTTCCCAATAAATCCTAATCTTGGCATGGGTGTAGTCAGGGCTAGAAGTGGGAATACTACCTCTTTTGATCTATTATATTTACATGTAGATTTTAGAATTATATAGCTGTTTAGATTCTTAATTCAGAATAATAACTGATAATTTCCAAGTATTCTCTAATGTGATTATGAAATGGAATCATCTTATGGCATCAGCATTCTGATTTAAATGTGCACTGAAAATGACAGTTGAAAAATAAATTTTGAAAAGTCCACAGCTCTAAAAATAGTATTTTTTTCTTCTTCCAAATGTCGACATTGTTGACCAAAACAAAAATGGCTGTAGGCTTATTTGTTATTTATTCACCCCAAATTAATATTCTCTATATTGATTATTATCATGTAAATCACTACTTGTATAGCCACCTGATTTAATATTTTTGAAGCTATAAAAATAAACATTTGCATGAGATGTATAATGTGAGCAACCTCAAAAAATTGCATTCTTTTCTTAGAATATATTATTTGTTAATATTCCTGTGAAAGCAGTGCTCTAATAGTATAGACTTTTAACTGCTCAAGGCTTCTTGAATCACAAAGTACAGTGAAATGGCTCTTTCCCCTTATTCTTCCCTGGTTTTTCTGGTCTTTATACAACTAAATCCTTTTAGCCTTTGATTTTCAAGATGTTTATGAAACCTACATTATTAGGTATATTAGCAGCAAAATCTACTCAGATTTGTGCCGCTCATTGGATGTAAAGTGCTGTTTTATAATTATTCTTTTTAATTAAAAGCAAAAGTATTCAACTTTCAGCAGAGTGATCCTCTCCCTGTCTTCTCTATACCTTCAATACTAACAAGATACAGAACTAAACATGAGACTCATCTAGGACTACATCTGTCTCCCCCAACTCAGGAGTAAAAGTGAACTGGCTAGACAACAGGGGGTTCTCCATGCCATTTTCCTCGCTGATGTGAAGCACAGTGTCTCCATGCTGTAGGAGGCTGGATGTCTCAAGGCCTGTGAAGTCATCAGGGTCTGAAAGCTGAGGAGAGAGGGGGCTGTGTGCTGCAGCACCTTGTGCTTCTGTGTCCTCCTTCTTTTCTCCTTCTTCAGTGGGGAGGGGTTCACTCTATGATCAAAAGGATCATAACATTGTGAACAAATAGGATGGATGCCAGGGAAGAATATCAAAGTATGTCGTGCAGCTATAACTGGACAAGGAATCAGAAGGCTAGTCCTGGTTCTAGCCTTTGTTACTGGTAAGATCTTACATAGACCCCTTTAGTTTTCTAAGCTTCAGTTTTCTAACCTGTAAAATGAGCAGAATTTTTTGTCTTGCTTACCTTATTGACAGTGAAGATCAAATGAGATAATAAGTGTTAAAATATTTTTATATACCTATACAAAGGTATATAGTAAGATTGCCCCTTAGTTTTCTTTAAATACCACATGAGAAGAATGTGATTCCTATAGGAATTTACTTTAAAAATCAAAAGAAGAAAAAAATGTCAAAATAAGAAAAATATCAAAACAATGAAGAGGAAGATCAAAAAAAGTTCCTTTCATCTTACAGGAAACAGAAGGCTCTCAATGTAAAGTCTTCATCTAAATTATTAATTTTATTTATTTTTTTCATTGACTATCCTTCAACTAGGTATCATACACCTGTTTTCAATGGTTATTTCAATTGCAAAATATTTTCTTTAGGTTTTTGTAATTAAGATTACAAAGACTTCTCTTGGTCTTTTATAGTTTGGATATGAGGTATCCCCCCCAAATCTCCTGTGTTTATGTGGAAATGTTTGGAGGTGAAATGATTAGGTTGTAAGACATATAACCTAATCAGCCCATCCTATTGTGAATAGATTGAGTGGTAACAATAGGTAGGTGGGGCATAGCTGCAGCAGGGGTCACTTGAGGTGTGCCCTGGAAGGGTTCATCTTCCCTGCAGCCCCATCCCCTCCCTGGCTGACATCAGGGGAACAGCTTCTCTGCTGCAATGTTCTGCTTTATCTTGGGCCCAAAGCAATGTACTCTGCTGACTATGGACTGAGACCTGTGATACTTTGAGCCAAAATAAACTTTTCTTCCTCTAAGTTGTTCTTGCCAGATCTTTTGGTCATGATGACACAAAACTAAGTAGATATATTCCTAGCTATATACTTTACATAGATTTTCTATTTCATGATGGCAATACCATGTTTGGATAAAATGTTACAGACCCAGATATATATGGAATAAATTTGCTTATCCAAATGGTTCCTAGAAATAAGAATGTAGTGAGCAGTCCTTGCCTATTTCTTCAGTGTCCTCACCTTGGGAGATAAGCTGTGGAGATCCGCAACAACTATGGCTGGGGAAGACGTGAGGACTGGTTTGTCCAATCCTTCTGGTTTCCTGCACAGGGCTGGGCTGCAGCCCTGTGGTTGACCTATGGCAGGAAGCGTGTCTGTTGGGGCAGCGGTTGGCTCTGGCTGAGACTCAATGAAGGTAACAGATCGTTTCTGATCCACTGTAAGTCAGAGGTGAGTTAGTAAATAGGGGAGAAATTGGTGGTTGATGCTTAGTAACTGGCATTAGCCAGTGTCTCCTGGATTTTCTTAATGAAGACATTGCTGGGTTATTAATAAATGAAGGCATATTTGACTGTTTTGTATGCTTTGACTTCAACTTATTACAAACAGTAGGAATTAGTTAGGAAAATCATTTTTAGATAAATGGCCTAAAACAAGATTTGCAAGGAACATTAGTAAACTTGATTGGCCCCTCATAACAACTGTCAAAGGACTTAGAAGTCCCGGAATATTATTCTTCATAGCTTTGTCTTCAGTAAGACAAATAATAATCCCAATTCCTGGCTCAAGTAGAAACAAAAAACACCCTTTTTACTCAAATTTCAGATTATTAATGGTTTGGCTAGGACGCTTCCATTTCCTTAGGTTCATGGGGGTAGAATCAGGGTTAGGAAAGAATAAGAGGCATTAAGATTTTCTGGAGAATTTCTTCCCTTATCCCAACACCTCCCCACTGGCGTTTATCTGCATCTGCTCCGTTTCTGCAGGCCTTTTCATCTCACTTGCATGACATCATTTCAATGGCACAGGCAGAAGGGACCCAGGAGGCCTCACCAGATGGCTTCGTCTTAGGTTGAATACTTCTGCGAGTGGTTGACAGCCGAGCCCCATGTCTGTTTTTGGGTTCAGTCTGAGTCTTCTGCCGTGACAGTAGGGGACGTCTTAGCTAAAGAGAACAGGCAGAATAAAACTGGCAAAGGAGTCCAGCTGCCTGCAGGGAAAGCCGAGCTCAGAGGATTCTGACTATAGCTTGTACTTTTATTTTCATGTTCCCCTGGACTCCTGTTCTTACATATATAGCTGATAAAATTCTTTCTGCATATTTAACTGTAACTGTTTTCTTCTGGTATCCCTTTTAACCAATTCATTTCCCAATTATTATTCCTATAATGTTCCTAAGAATATTAATTGACATAATTTAAAATTGTAATTTTGAGAATTTCAATGGATATACAATGAACAATTATTGCTTACTAACCAATCTTTATTCATCTAAAAGGTATAGTTGAACACAGGCTAACTTTCAAGGAGGAGGTTCATTAAAAAAAAAAAAAAAAAAAAAGCTCAGATGCTGGCAAAATATCTTGTACCTGAATCAGTCAATTCTGGGAAGTTCCCTTTGAAAAAACAGTGCAGCTTCATTTCTATTTTTATTTAGAAAGTAATGTAAAATAACCCTACCTAAGGACATTTGTAAAGGTGATCTTTACTTCAATTTTGGTTTTAAATTAAATCATGAATCTTGAAATGAAAAAGGATTTTTTTCATCTTTGTTTCTCTGCAGAAACTGGCCTTAAATATTAAATCATCAGATATTTCACTCTAAGTGAGATTGATTGTAAAGAAGATTTCTGGGTAGAGAACAAGCCCACTTAACTTTTCTAAGTAATCTTCTTTGTAAATAAGGAGATTCAGATCCGAAACAAAAGCTCAAAACTGTCTAAACACCATGTTTTAAAGTTGCTCTGTACTGCTTACTTGATGTAAAGAGAAGGCAAAATATAATCTTAATATACATAGGCACTAAAATTCAAACAAAGCCTCCATTTCACAGGGTGGTTCTTCTATTCTTTCAGGGTCTGCTTACCTGCCTCAAACCCCTCTTCCTCCCCAGTGGCTGCTGAATGAGAAGGTTCTGCTGGCCAGGTTCACTCTGCACACTTGCCACCCTGTCAAGCATCAACAGTGTTAGTGTACCCTAGAGAGAAGGCAGAAGACCATCCTCTGGTGGGTGTTAGCCAAAACCACTTTTATGGAACAGTCACTTCAAAGATACCATTATCTTTGAAGGATTTTTGGGAAAGAGTCCCTGGGATGGGGGTTTTAAAGGTTTGGGTGGGAGGACAAGGCCTTGTAGCCCCAAGCTGCCAAAATTGAGATTCTGTTTTCAATCACTGATACTGTATCTGTCATTCAGCAAAATACTGGTTCAATCACACCCCTGGTTTGGAACCACCAAAAGGTTTATGATGTCGTATTCTAATCTCAATTTTTTTCCAAGGGGAAGGGAAAAGGTGGTGACAGACACACACAAACAACTCTATCACATGGATGGGAACACCTTTTTAAAAATTCCAATTTAAATGAAAATAAGATGGACAAATATCAAACACATCAGACACAGAATCCATTTGGGTGAAGGGGCACATTCAACACATGTTTGCAGCCTGAAGTCTCTGTGACTACTGAGTAAATGAGTAGTCACATGGGTAGAAATTTCAATGTTTTAAAAAATTATTTTAGATTTAAAAGGCTGGCAAAGTAATTAAGCTGTCATTACAACTCAGAAGCTTTAATATTGAGTAGCTGCACTCAAATATACTGTGCAGTTTATAAAAGCAACAACCTGCTCCCCCCAAATTTACTGTGTATGTGTGTTCTTTCATAAGCAAAAAAATGACTACTGGCAGTAGTTGCTATTTTAGTGTTTAGTGAAACTGAAAATATTAATATGGCCCATGGTTCTTTTTCATTCTGCATGCAAGTATCATAGGTATTTATAATGGGGGAGTGGTAAAAAAGAAATACACTGTGCCCCAGACAACACTGTAATTCTGTGGATGATGCCAATGTGATTATTTGGTTAATGGGTAATTAATTTCTGCTTTGCCTTTGCAAAAGGAGAGTCATCTACAGATATTTTTTAGAGTAAACATATTCCACAGAGGAACCCAGAGTCAGCAACTGTCCAGAAAAAAAGAAAGGTTCTGTCTATTTATTTCCATTTCTTAAAAAAAAAAAAAAAACTCACCAAGCTACTCAAATACCTAGTTGCAGTTTTAAGAAGAGAAACTGGTGGCAAGATGGGAAATCAGATATGTTTCCCTGTTGTATAACAACTGGGTAATTATCCCATAGTTGACACAGTCACTCTGTCATTTTAAAAAAGTTTTAACTCATATTTTCACTAGAAGAAAAATGATGCTTTCCAAAAAGGATTTGTCAATGTTTTTATGGAATAAGAATATAATCACACCATTTAGAGTACACAACACAAACTTCTAAAACAAGTACCAAAAACAAGTGTTTTAAAACTTTTTTGTTCTCCTAAATATCAAGTTCAAAAGATCTATGTACATTATCATCATATATGTATCTGTATATACACATCTACAGATACATATATGACCTTATAGCATGTATAAACTTTCTGTGAAGATGAAAAACTATCCCAGTGGACCAGTGTAATAAATTCTGATAATCCAGACTATGTTGCTGGCATGACTGAAATGACATCTCCTTATGATTATACATTATAACATGTCTATTAAATTGAAAAGATAATTATCTATATGCACAAAAGTAGAATCAAGTTTCTCCCAATACCAAGCAAAGCTTCCATTGGAATGGATTCTTCATTGACATCTAAATGTTACCTCAGTTCCCTTGGCCATAAAGGGAGGTTGATACTTACCAACTACCTCCCATTAAGGTAGAGAAAAGAAGTTAGTTGATGTCAAATGGTTTGATCATGAAAAGAGATGTATATAGCATGCTTTCTTGTTTTACATTTGATGTTTGTAATGAGTTTATTGCTTCTAGAACACTACAGGGAAATTGGTAATACAATTTTTTGAAAATAGTTGGGCAGAGAAAATGAATTTGAGGCAGTCCACTTGTCTCATTTTTATTCAGTAATCTGAGATTGTGAAGAAAAAAATGGTGCAAGAAAAGAAAAATATGCGTTACTCAGGGAGTGTTAAATGTCAAAACATAATGGTAATTTCATGATGATTATTCTAAGGGAGGATCACAAGCACCAAAATCTTCTCTGTGGATAGAGAGGTTTATATCTAAGAAATGTATCAAGTTTAGCTTTAATAATTAGCTGTTCTAGGTAAATAATAAAGCATTTCATAATGGAATATATATATCAAAGATGAAATTTTAGAACCTGCCCCTGGAAATAGATCCTAGCTGATAAATTTATGCTCCCTAGAAATATGATGCTAACATGTTTATATCTGGAACAAAAATGGGTGACTTAACTGTGAACAGTTAGGAGTCTTCATAATAAAGAGCCAAGAAATCCTGTTAAAAATGTAGTTTATGCAAAACACATTACTTTTTTGTAATCTATATCAAACTGGAGTCACATATAAAAATTAGTTGCTCTCTGAATTATGTAATATTTCAGTTACCTGTAGGATTTGTGATATATGACTATAAGATGTGTAATACTAAATCGAACCAACAAAAGACCAAGGTGTTTGCACTAAGAACCTTATACCCCATTTTATTTTCAGTTTTTTCAAGCAGTTCCATCATAGTCCTCACATACTACAACTAGTACAACTATGACAACTATAATAAAATTTATTTTTCTCTTCAAGGAAGTACTATATTTTATTGGATGGTCTCAACGTTTTAAATATTATACTCTAATAGGCCATTGGGTCTTTATGAATAACTACAGTATCTATTTCATGTATCATAGTCATGAAAAGTTGAGATTACACCAAGATTTGTCAAAGTAGTGGGAGAAGTACTAAAAATTCTTATCTCATACAGAAAACTGATTTCGTGACATTTTTAATCTTGAGAATGAGAAATGGATGATTTCCATTTGTCTTGGCCAAATATGGTGAAACAAAAAGCAGAAGAAAACTTTCTAAACTGAAGTTAACATCTTACAATATGTTTAGAAGTAGATCATCCCTTGTTATTTTTGATTAGCTAAAACATATCACCTCAGCAAGTCATATAATGGTGTAGATTTTAAAGAAGTAAATGCAATTGGGACTCAGCAGAACTAGGTGGTTCAAATTGTCAGCAAAAAACAAACCTTCTCATTCAAAATACAAGGAAGTAATTTACAAATAAAGAAAATTTATATACTATTAGGAAAACAATTCTAACACAAATAACTTCTTTTCCCCCATTTAAACCTGATGGCCTGGGTTGTAGTATGTAAACATATATGTATACATAACTTGGTTTCTTAAAATAAGGAATAGGCAAACAAGGGGCCATTCAGTAAGGCAATAAAAATTCATCTCACTTGACTCAAATTACAAAAAATGATAAAAGATGGAACTATATTTCATTAGAAAAAAAACTTAAGTAAAGCACTGAATGAGAACAGCACATGAAAAAAATGAATGAGTATTTTTATTGCTTCTATCTGTGCCTTTGTCTTTAGTTTTAATAAGGTTATAGATGTCTGGAGGTTGAACATGAGACACACAGCATAGCCATTTACCCTGGGTGACTGCCTTGTGATGGAAATTCATAAATCCAGCACTGAAGGAGCCATAAGGCATTTTTAGAGAACAGGGAAAGAAACAGTAGATCAAATCCTATTTTGGATCGAACCAACAAAAGACCAAGGTGTTTGCACTAAGAATCAATAAAAATTATTGTTCAAAATTTTCTTAGCCTCCACAACATCCAGGAAAATATATTTTAACTGCCTCAGATTTTAGAAATTAGAGGCTGGAATAGAAAGGGGGGGAAATCTGGATTTTAAATATCTTATAAAAGAACCAATTCAGCAATGGCAAAGAACACATCTGTGTGTTACAACACACATTTTCTTAGCCATTAATTCTCAGCTACATAAAAAGTTGAAATATTTATTGTACTTTAAGAGGACTTGCCAAGGTTTTATGCTGTGAAAATGTAGATGACCATGAGATGGATTCTACTAAATAGGTTATCTTTATTTCACCTACACTATAGTCTTGTTCAAATTGAAGCCACATGCTTATTTTTCACTGTGATTAAAATTATCCTGACAAAATCAAATAACATAAAAATTTCTCTTTAAAATTAGATTTTTGCCTTTCTATATATCTCTTATCCTAAAAAGAAAATATGACCATGGTGTGTGTGTGTGTGTGTGTGTGTGTGTGTGTGTGTGTGTGTGTTTGGAGTGGGGGAGGGAGAGAACATCTATACTGAGTTTCTACACCTCTAAGAGCAACGCCCTCCAGAGAAGAATATTTTTTCCATGGAATATTGATTGCTTCAGTTTATGAATTTCCAAAGGAAATAATTTTTTTATTCAAAGCACAGTGTTCCTAACAGGCTATTTCTTGGGATGAAGTTTTAAAGATAAACATGTTAACATAATTTAAAAAAAATCTTAAATCTTCAATAGGTGTGCAAAATTGCTTATTAATTTCCACCTATTCATCCAGTTTTCTTGGTCTCTTCCTCATTTAGCCCACTCAGTTCAACTTGCCCATTTGCCTAAAACAAGTGCTCTTTCACAGGCCAATTCTCATGAAAATTTAATCAAAATGTTATTGGGGGTGAGGTGGGAAGAACAGGATTTATTATTTTTCCTTAGGCACAATTCCTGATGTTTCCTTGGGCCAGATTTTCCTTAGGAGTACTTTGAGTGTATTTTAGGTCCTGAGTACTAGAGTATGTGCTAACTGTAATTTACATGGTTAGTGCCTTACTTGAGGAATTTAAAACTATGGAGTAGTAAAGCAGTCTCATGCCAAAAAATAAGAAAGTCTGGAAACCAAATATAAAAAGTATACTATTTTATAAACCCACCTCTTAGTAAATACCAAAAAGTTCCTCTCCTCCAAAGAGAACTTGGTGACATGATGGAGTTCAAGAGATACATTGCAGTATATGGCAAAGGTGGATGTGCTAACTGGTGGTGGAATGCCTCTGTGTTAATAGTATTATTTCAGAATCCAAAGTGAATGCCTCATCTTCCCATTTCTTAATGATGACAGCTGGGTCTAGGTGACTGACACCCAGAACTACAATACAACCATTATCAGAGCAACAGATCAACAACAGTTGATCTAAGACAGCCATCAAAATCCTGACCACCTTGACTAATTCAGCTATAGATAAAATTTATAGCTTTAGCTCTAAACCAGTTTCACCTAGCACAAACTTTGAGTTAATTCCCATTAACACTGGACCCAGGGCAGCCTGAATTGGTTTAGATAACTTCAGTCATTTGAACCTTGAGCCAACCAGAGAAGGCCAAATCATTTGGACAATTCATAAAAATAAACTCAGTCCCCTGCCTCCTCTCACTAACTCTAGACTGGTACTTATACTCAGCAAAAGGAGAATTTGGCCTAATTAGAAAAGTCTAGCCAAATGGAAGTCCACTTTAATACTTTCTACTCTCAGTAGGCCACTGAAATTATCTTCTAATCAAGTTTCTTTTGTCCAACATGCAATTTTAAGCATTAAGCAAAAGCGTTCTTTGAAAGCAATGGTTACACTGCTAGACTTGGTTCAGATGCTTCAGACACTGTAAACAATTAAGGAAAACTCTCTTAAGGATTGTTTTGTTTCTCAACTTCTTCTTTGTCCCCACACCTCTTGCTAATGGAATTAAGTTTGCACTCTGCAGCACTTCCACATTTACCACCAATAAGAGACTGATCTATTAAGGCAGGGGCTCGCAAACACAAATGAATGTCATGAATCATGGATCCAGTTAATAATAATAATTAAAAAAAGACCCAATGATGGACTAAATTTCCCATTTTCAATTGCAAAAGAAAATGTGAAATCCAAACAAGGTGCAAGAAAAACAAAAGACAACCTTTCACAGGAACGGCCTCTCAACATTTCCTCATCTTTGTGATAAAGCAATAAACACGGGTATATTGTACTCACTACATAATGTTTTACCTTAAGATGGAACAAAGACACTCTAAGGATGAACAAGAAGCATTACCCCTAATGAGGATTAGTTGAGAGGTGTAAATTAACAGCACAAGATTAGGAATGTTTGACGTGGTTTATCTGAGTGTTAAAGGTGCAGTCCCCTTCTCTGAGCTTTAAATGAATAGTCGAGATATATTATTTGCATGAGACTTCTCTTACCAGAAAATGTTTTGTGTCTGATATTTCATGGCAAGTTTAAAGTAATCTTTGTGCTAGAACAGACATTTTTTTCATATGTGTAGTTTGAAGAAGCTACTATTTTAAATAGCTTGCCAAATAGCATACATCAAAGAGAAGGAATTATATAAATTGTAGTAACATGATTATTCTTCTGATAGCATGGTTGTTTTCTTACCATCCATGGTATCAGCTAAAAGACCTGCCTCAATTTAATTCAAGGACTTCTAGATGATGGGAAGTTGTATTAAAAGGCCTCTGAAAAGCAATTGTTAATTAATCTCAGTGTGAAAAGGAATGATTAGATGGGACAAATTTAACATTTGGCATTATCAAACTTTCTGTTTATGGGATGGTGGTGCTGGGGATTGAACCCAGGGCCTCACATGTGCTAAGCACATACTCTACCACTGTACTACTGAGCTACACCTCTATCCCCTGACATATCAAACTTTTTAGACATTAAAGGGAGAAGCCCCATAGATTTTTCTTTTTTTTGGTAAGATTTTTTAGGCCATTCATGATTCAACTCTAAAGCTGAAAATGATGGAGGGTTTGCTACACCTTTGACTTCCAGGCTCGAGTGTTCATGAACAACAAAGGGCAAGGAATGGAAATAGGTATCAAGACTGGGAGAGAGGAGACAGAGAGACAGAGTTGACAGGGAACAGCTAGTTTCCCAGCACAGACACCAATAGACAGGTAGGCGTTGACACTGTACCTAGAGAGGCTGCCCTCAGCGGCCAGGCCCTGGGAGTCATCGAGGACATTAGGTTCACTGCAGGAGGGGTAGGGAGATGAAGCATTTAGGGAAAGAAAGTGCAAAAAGAAGAAAAAAGAAAACAAAAAGAAAAAAGAAAGAGAAAAAGGCATGCAATTTTCTGTTTCCAGGAACCAAAAATAAATTTAACAGAACAAGGAAGGAAAAGGAGACAGTCAACCATTTCACCTTGTGCTGGGTTTGTCAAGACATAGGACTCAAGGCAATGGGGAAGGAAGAACTTTGGATGGATAGGACTCTCAGAGGAGTGGTCTGTTTATTGGTCAAGAGTTAAAATGAGCTCCAAATGGACAAATGAGCTCTGAAACGCATTGGAGAATGAATCTGTAGAAGATGATACTATTATTTCTTTGGTAACCATTTGGTTAGGTGGTTATTATTTTTAACCTATCTCAAGTACTTAGTGCTTTATTGACTGGGACCCTGCTTCTTATGCAATCTATGATGAAACCACTTACCATAACTTGCCACAACCAAACTCTTGGAACCAATGCCATTAAGGAAAGCAAAGAATGATGTCAATTTTCCCTGCTTAGTTTTGCATTAAAAATATAAGTAAATGAATGGAAGGACGATATTTTGGAAAATTCACATTTACCTCCTTACTCTCCATCCTCTAATGACTGAATTGTAAATGCTAAAAGAAGAAACCTGTCAGGTTGGTGGAAAAATAATTAGTTTATTGATTTATCTGGATGTAGATAGACTGAGATTTGTGAAAAGAAAATGTGTTATACTTTGGTTTTCCTTTGTGCATCGCATTGAGCCATGAGGCACTCAAAACATACTTATGGAACTGGGTGGAATTAAACCATTTAGGAAACTGAAGTAGCCCCAAAGAATTGAGGTTTACTTGATTGTTAAAATAGTCTCTGTCCCCAGGAAGAGGCTAATTTTCTCTAATGTGCAGAGACAGTATTACCTTCACTAGTCTTCTGAAATATGATTCAAGTCCAAATGGATTAACTATTTTATCTTTTCTGAAGTTCTAGTATATTTATATACTAAAGAGATTTTCTCCCTGAAAACAATGTTTTTTGGGGAGGTGTACCGGGGATTGAGGTTAGGGGAACTTGACCACTGAACAACATCCCCAGCCCTATTTTGTATTTTATTTAGAGACAGGGCCTAACTGGCTTTGAACTTGAGATCCTCCTGCTTCAACCTCTTGAGCTGCTGGGATTACAGGCATGTGCCACTGTGTCCAGCCCTGGAAACAATTTAATTCATTAATAACTATGTAGAAAGGGAATTGATAATCTGGATTATTTTAGGTAAACAACATAAAAACCTTCTATTTAAAATTCCTTTTATTCTATGGTTTAAATAAAGCAAATTGCTAGCTTTATTCTTGCTATAACCTTGTACATTGCTACCAATTAAAAATAAACTAATATCTACTAATATTAAGTGCTTATGTGACTTCACATCTTTTTTTGGACACACTGTTGGGCTTTTTAAATTTTTTTGGTTACAAATTTTATTTATAAAGTTTTTTTTCCAAAAGAAAACTAAAAATATTAGGCTAACAAATATTCAATGATAGGAACCTTTATATGTTGATATTTATAATAGTTAAAATACATATACAATATTATTTTCTTAAAAATATACAATTTACTTGTTAGTCATCTTTGTCATTTCACCCTATTCTTCGATATTCTTCAAAGGTTAGCTTTATTTCACAAACTTTATTTCATCAGTGCAGTTTTTATGAACCATTTGTTAAAGGATTTGAGTACAGGATAATTATTCCTATATATATTTTAATCTGATCATTATCATGAGCCTCACTTATTATTTTCAGTGTGTGAATGGGCATGAAAAATATGGTGGGTATTAAAAATAAACAACAAACTAACAAAAATCCCAGAAAGCCAATTCTTTGAAAGAATTCAATTACTGACACGAAAATATCATTTTTTTAAAAATAGATAATGTTTGACTCTTATGTCAGATCATTTTATATATTATACTTTTATTATATCTTAGAAGTTTTAAAACTTATGTTCTTAGATGGCAGATAACACAAAAAGGAAATGTTAAAAGGGTTTAGTCATGGAATCACAGAGCTATATAGAGAGAAATTGCTTTAAAGATCATTTTGGCCAACCTTCTCATTTCACAGAGGGAAAAATTGTTAAATGACCTGTGCAAGGTCACACACAAGTGGCATAGGTCCCTTTCTGCTTGGTTAAACATCCCTACCTCCAGCTGAACCCTGATGACATATCAGAAGCCTAAACTTTACCAAATATACCAACCTGGTCCTAAGCTCTTGTCAATTCTCATTATTATCTTAGTTAATGATGACTCTGAAATGTAAGAATGCCATTAAACCATCAGAAAGAAGACAATATATCTATTTATGGAAAAATATAAAGGAGAGACAATGCTTTGGTTAGAAATTAGGGTCCTTCTAGTAGCCTGGCCTAGAAAACCGCAAATTATTGCTTGCAGGTTTGTAGTTCAAAAATCCTTTGTTGAATGGTCTATCTGAAAACATAACTGTCTCTTGCTTCTCCTTCAGTCTTTGTAGAATAATATGAGTATATTTTCAGAATTTCTACCTTTGTCCCCAAGTGCCAAGTATAAGATAGCATAGCTCTTTACCTCTGGCTGGGTAACATGCCCACCTCAGCCTGAGGTGCAGACATGCTGGAGACATGGCTGGAGAATCGACGTCTTCCAGTGGCACTCAGGAGGTAAGCTTCCTGTTCACTTACCACACTGGGCATGCTTACAGAGTCGTCTGAAAGGGCAGAGGGACAGAGTGTTATAAAAACAGTGATACTAATCAAAAAACACCAACCACAGCTCTATTTAGATTCCATCTGTGGCTTGAGCATAATCCTAGGGCTGTCACTAAAACTAAATTATCATTGATTTCTTTATAAGGATGAAAAACTAAGACCCCAGGGCCCTATGACAGCTCTTCAGGTCCACATATCTCCCTCCCTCCCAACTAGAACAGTTTTCATAAAATAAATGTAAACTTCTTGTCTGTTTTACAAGTATATTATTTCTGAAAAGTTGACAGGCACTTGCAAATTAAAGATCTGAAAGCTAGAACTATATAAATTTTTAAGACATTCCAGGAATAGTTTAATAGGGAGTTTGTTATTGAATGAGTAAGTATATTTCTTTGCCTTTTAAAAACTACTTTCAGTACATTATATGATTTCTCTCTTGTTTTGAGAAAGACTATTTCAGATATTTTTGGGAAGAATATTTGAGAAACTTTAAAGTTCAGAAATAAGTTCTTATTTTAACCAAAATTTTAAAATTTACATATGTAATCTTATTTTCTCTATAAAAGCAGAAACTAATATATTCAAATCCAAATTAACATTAGCACAGTATTTATTTGTGACAAGCTGACTTTTCTAAGTGAGTTAATGTTTATTGCTGACCACTAAATATTCTTCAATAAGCATATCATGTTTGGGTGAATATATCTACTATATAAGATTATTCAATACCATCTATTTAAAATAATCCATAGTAATATTTATTTTTTAAAATATTTTTTAGTTGTAGATGGACACAATACCTTCATCATATTTATTTATTTTATGTAGTGCTGAGGATGGAACCCAGTGCCTCATACATGCTAAGCAAGATCTCTACCACTGAGCCACAATCCCAGCCCTACATGATACTATTTCTAATTGAACTTACTTTGAAAAAAAATTGAATATGAAAAGTGCTAGAAGTTTTAATTTGTCGTGTAATGACTGACTTGAAATTGATTCTTATTATAGAATGGCATTTCCTTTTGAGATGTGTTCATAGACAAAGCTATCCAAAACATGATAGAATACCTTGAGCTATTTCTACAAAGGCTGCTTCTAGATTCCACTGTCTACCCCTTATTTGAACTCATATCACTTAACACTTACTTCCCCATATTTGTTTGGTGATTAATCACATTTGGTCTTCCACTAAGCTTTTTGTTAACTGTTCTATGTTGTGAATGCCTATCATTTCCTCTGTAGGACTACATCTGACATCTTAGAGAGCAGAGAACATGTCTTTCTCATTCTTCCTTGTATTATGTCTGATAAGTGTTAAGTACAGGTTCAATGATTGGGAAAAATAGTTTAATTTTTAACAGGTAAATATCTGGCTCTCATACCCCTCTACCATATTAATTAACATATACCCACATCACAACCACACTACACCATTTGTTAGCAACCTGCTTTCATCAGGATGACTATGATGTCTGAGAACAGAGATATTAGCAAAAAACTGCAAGCTCTCAACCAATGATATTCCTAAGATCTTAGCCGCCTTTGAGTATGGCATCTTCTCTACTTTTTATCTGTGGCTCCTTCCCACTGGCTAGTCATCTGCTTATTCACAAGGTTGCCTGCAAAGTAGATTTAATTCTAAAAAAGAAAGGTAGTATCATTTCCCATCATGAAAAAAAAACATGACTAATTCAAACATTAAAGACAAAATGGATTTTACTTTAAGTTCTGAACTATTACCAAGACTTAATGTTTATTTTGAACTGCTGATCCTTGTCTTTCTTCTCGTCTCTCTCTCTCTCTCTCTCTCTCTCTCTCTCTCTCTCTCTCTCTCTCTCGTATTGGGATTGGATACAGAGGCACTTTGCCACTGAGCTGCATCCACATCCCTTTGTATTTTTTATTTTGAGACATGGGTTCACTAAGCTGCTGAGACTGTCCTTGAACTTACGATCCTCCTGCCTTGGCCTCCACAGTCACTAGGATTACAGGCATGTACCAATGTGCCTGGCTCTCATTTTGTTTATTTGTCAATAATTTTCAATTATTTTCTTTAAGCAGAATTTGAGGTGAGTTTCCATGAGCAGTCACCAGGGTAAGTTAGACATATTAACCGTACAGGTTGGATGCAGACAATATGATCATCCCTTTTTCCGACTAATATTTTATCTGACTAATCCAGAAATATTACTGATAAGTGTTTTGATGAGGCATTTCTTTCTTTTCCTGTTCTATGTACCCAACTATAGTGAGACACCGAAACACTCATTCATCTTAGTTAATTAAAATTCTAGCCTCAAATCCCAATTCCTCTATTTATTTAGTTCAGAGACGGGCTTTTTTGTTGTTTGGTATGAAGAACCTAGGAGTGAGGATCTAGATTTTATTCTCAATCTTAAGGCACTGAAAGCACAATTGTGCATTAAGTATTATATCAAGGTGTCTCAAAACACAAGGCCATTTAGAAGCCCCTTAAATGACAATGGCTTATAATGGAACCTCTAAATCTTACTTTTACTTCTTAAACCTACTCCTCTTCAGGATATATATGAAGTGTTTCTTGAGCAGATTCCTCTCATTTCATAACACTGCATCTTCAGCATACCATTAGAAGCTCCTGGACTGACCTCATCACTGGACTGACCTCATCACTGGACTAGTTATTCTTTGAACTCAAATTTGGGTAATCCTCCCTAAAGACAGCTGCCAGTTTTATTTTGACTGGCATAGCCAGTTGGTTTCTTATGAATTCTAAATATACATTCTGCCCACTTTCCTTGCCGAGTGGGGTCATGAAAGTGCTGGTTAGCCCTCTAAGCAAAATGTCCAGGAGAAAAAGAAACGTCACATATCCACAATTTAAATGAGTTAGTAGAAAAGGCTGAAATATGTAATCTGAAAAAAATTAAGGGGTCTTCTAAAGATTTACTTTTTGCCTGAATTCTTTCCAAATGACAGAGGTTATCAAGGAATTTATAGAAGAGCAGGAAGCAGGAGTCAAAGAATCCGTCACAATTCCATTTTGAATCTTTTTTTTTTGTGAGCATGACTGATGGGATCAGAACTCAAGATGGTGAAAGGTAGAACTTCTTTCCAAGCCCTCACTGACATGACCAAGCTATCTCCTGCCCAGATTCTTTGGAGTGACCTACTTTCTTCATCCTCCTCATCAGTCCGACTCAGGGTATCCTGGGAAGCCTGCTGGGATGGCTCGCTGTCCTGCTCCCAGACAGTGCCCGTGCCCGTGTTAGAGCGGGACATGGTGGCCAGGCTCAGGCGGTAAGCAGAGGTGGAGGTGCCCACAGTACTGATGGATGTCTTCCCTTGGTAGGCTGGAGAATAGAGAGATCAAGGGAAATTCATGTGAGGTTCTGGAAAGAAAGGAAATGTTTGCTTCAAAGTTCTCCCTGACCAACAGTATCTTTTTAGTTGAACAGTATGTCTCAGACAATCCTTAGGACAAAGTAGCAAATGGAATTGGGAATGTTAACAAAACAAAAAACACAGAAAAATCAATATTGGCCACTGATGCACTTACAATCTAATAGTTTGTTGGTGAGAACATGTACATCCCTAACAATGTAAAGTGTTTATTGACATCGTTCTCTTTTTGTTGCTTTTCTATTTTATTTTCCAAGGCTGGTAGGACACAAATTAATTTTGACCTGAATTGCTACCTCCAACTTGTCAATTTTTACTGAGACATATACATATATACCTTCTCTGACACAGCATATGGAAATTAAAATAAATCATAAATAAATAAACCCCATAATTCAAATCAGTACACATAATTGAGTGCAGTGCCATATGCCTATAGTTCCAGCTACTCAGGAGGCCAAGGCAGATTGACTGCAAGCTTGAGCCCTCCCCTTGCCCCCCGCCCCCCCCATCTCAGTGAGATTCAGTTTCAAAAACAAAATAAAAAGGGCTACAGATGTAGCTCATAGGTAGAATACTCCTGGGTTTAAGCCCTAGTACCACATATTCCACAAGCACACACACACACACAAACAAAAATCAGAATACGTATCAAAACTTCATTCTCATTCTCCTTTCCTGGAAATTATTATACATAATGTATCTCTCAGTTCTATCAGATTTAGATCAGATTCTTTATCAGTTTAAGCAGAATATTTGAATGGCAATGTGAAAGTTTCAATGAGTTTGCTTCTCAAAATTTTTGTCTTTAACATATTATCTGCAAACAACAAAAGCTTTAGAAAGAAACAAAAAACCCAAGCCCAACACATAATATTTTACTTATGGATAATGATTGCCCTCTAATGGCAGAGGTTTTTTTCCTTCCACATTAATCTACTATTTATATAATAGTAAAAAGTAAAGAAAGCAAAGTCAAAGAAAATCTTTTGAACAGTGTAAATGCCTCTTAGCCTGCCAACTCTAATTTACCTCTCCCCAATTTCATTTGGAAAAGTTAAAGGCTTTTCTGATTTAAAATCCCCTCCAAATTACCACTTTCTCTGCATATGAGTTGTTTACCCTCTATTGAATCTCAAATTCTCCTTATTCAAATGCATCTTGCATGTATTTGTGTGAATTAAAGGAAATAATATCTGTGAAACAATCTACCATATAACAGATGCTCAATAAATGTTAAGTTCCCCCTTTCAAAAAGGAAACAAAAGAATTCAAACAGGGTTCCCACTAATTAAATATTCAAGAAAGAGCTAAACTACCAAAATGAAGATTTAAAAAATATTTAGAAAAGAATTAAAAACTACTCCTTTGGTATCCCTTTGATTTCTGTTTTCCTGTTCATGATGATCACCTGGGTCAAACCTACTGTTACATCATGACAGGTAGCTTAGACATGGTTCCCCAAAAGAGGAGTGTCCAGGGCATAGGGACTATTTGTAGGTCGTCAGCTCTATTTTTACAACAAATTCAAATTATCTCCATGCATACGTACCTGAACCACTGTGAACCGCTTCTTTTAGAATTTTTAGTTCACTATTGAACTCAGCAATGAGTGAACTCTTGCACAAAGGGCGTGGTATGAAGCGCCGCTCCAGCTGGTCAGCAATGTGTTGCCGAGCAGAAAGTTCTTCATGATTCTCTGCTGGTTGGGCCAGAAGCTAAAAGGAAGGCATTGAGTTCTCAGGGCATTAATTTCCCCATCTGAAAATTAAGCTAATTACTATACCTACTGCAAAGTTTAGTTGAGATGAATAAAAAAGTGCACGTGAAGTCCTTAGAATAGTACTTCACAGAGGAAGTGCTTTCTCTAAGCAGGAAGTACTTTCTCTACACAGGAAGTGCTTACTCTATACAGGAAGTGCCTACATTGCTTTGCTTCTCTGCCTTCAAGAAACAGAAATAGGAAAAGGACAAGAGTAGATGCGTAGATGCGTACTAAATACCTTGGAGGAAAAGCGTGCCTTAAATATCCCATCTTTTTTCATATGTTTAAAATAATTATCTCAGTCATGCCACAGACAATAGAACAACATTCTCCAGAGGATTCCATTAGACCCATTCTTTTTTTTTTTTTTTTAAAGGGAGGGGGCTAATAAATGGGGGAAAGGTTAAGTTTTATGGTTTCTGATAATTGTGAAGGTACTTCTAAAGTGAGATTTTTACCATCTGGATACATTTTGGGGCTGTTTCCTCATCAAACATGGTATCAATGAGCCCTGCTAGCTGGCTACAGTACATCCCACATGCACTCCTGCCACAATCCTGAGTTCCTGAAGAGGAGCACATTCACAGAGCTTGTCACTCCAGGAGAAGCACACACCACACCTTGCACTGGATGAAAGGGCGCAAGAGCACGAAAATGGGAATCCGGGTCCGCACAATGAAGTCGAGGAAGTCCCACAGGGCCAGGCCGCCCACCTTCCGCAGAGCCATCTCCTTCACCTGCAGGCTCAACCAGTACCACTGGCTTCCCAGCTGCCTCTCAAAGCAGACGAGAATCACCTTCAGAGCTTTACACCAGGAAAAGAGAAAAGTGAGGCTGAGGGCTACTGCTTGAAGGAACCCTACCCTGAGCCTCTACCCTGGATGCATCAGGAATTTTTCTGAATTTCTAAAATTCAGTCATTTCCAAAGACTCAACATGCATTCCTGAGTGAGTGTTCCTGACATCAAGGTGAAAAATTGTATAAAACAAATGTTTTGATGCTAATTAGAATACAAATATCCTATTTTGGAAAATACAAAGTAGTCCACACACGTGAATCCCTGGTTCTAATGACATTTCTATTCCATTTTGTGCTGGCCAATGTTGATTTTCTGCCCTTCTGCTTTCCACCTTCATCAGAATAACACAATACACAAGTTGTATAAAAAGGGGCTCAAGAACACAGATGCTAGATGACTTGGATTTGAAAACTAGCTTGACTTTGTGTCTTCAGGCAAGTTACTTAACCTTTCTGGGTCTCAGTTTCTTCACTCCTAAAATAAGAATAACATTAACTTCTGAGAATTGTGGTAGGCATGTGAGATTTCACTGTGAATATTACAAAGCACTGAAAACACTGATTGATGATTAATAAGTTTTCAAAATAAACATAAAAAAAATTAAAATAGAGATGCAGTAGTCTGACCAAATAAACAAAGTAAAAACAAATCAAAACCCTTCATTAAAAAGGCAGAAAGTGGGGAGGACTGAAAAATACTTACTCATCAAGTGTTTTTATCATATTCTTGGCTTACATAGTAAGCCATTTCTCCATTAGACTCTGTGTGCTCCCCAACTTCATTTAGGGCTCTATGCCAGAGTTTGGACCTTATTTAAACCTGACTTGTTTTCATGCCTGGGATAACTGAGCATCTGTATGGATAGGTCCTGTGCACATGCATTTTTTCCCCTTCTCTTTTTTCATCACATCCCTTTTTAATGCCGTCAAACATCCCACACACTCCAAATTCCAAAGCCCCATTTTTAATCAGTGTGTTCGCATTTGTCTGATATTCCCTGACAAGATCTGATTTGGTGATTTGAAAAATGTCAGGCAAGATTTTCTCAACTTTCTCCTTTTGAGATTTCCTATGTCAGTGCTTCTTATTCTCACTCCTATGGTAAGAGTGGTTTTTTCCCTTCCCTGAGGTCATTCAGGACCAAAGAGTGATTTTCAGTTGCTCCATGGAAGAGAAACAAGTTAAAGGCATGGATAGTCTAGGGAAAAGTTGGAATTGAATCAAGAAGGGAACTGGGAAGCCTATGGGGAGAGAATAAGTGGGCTGGTAAAGATCACAATGGGAATTTAAAGATGACATTGAAAAGGAAAAAAAAAATTGCTAGTAGGAGGCATAAGTACTGAAAGTCCAGCAGTTCTAACAGCACAGGCTAAGGACTGCCTAATTCCAAGGGCTCCAATCACATAGCTGACAGACCAACCCAGGAATTGTACAGCCAGTGTCCTTTTATACCAGGCTGTCTAGATCTGATAACGATTATCAAATCTCACAAGAGATCTTGTACTTAATGAACAAGAAGGAATCTTTCCTGAAGATACCTTTCTTTTTATAAGCTGTCTGTCCCAGTCAGCTTATAAAAACAACAAAGTAATTTAGGCATTGTAGATATGAAAATACTTTGTTTTGACATATGTTTACTGAAGAAAACAAGATTTGCAAGGATGTTTCTTGTTTAAGTGGTTTCTTTAAATACTTTGAGGCAAGGTGGAGAGAGAGTGGGGGCAAAGCACCCACCCAGGTATGCTGCTTGGCTGGTGGACTCAGCCAGCCCTTCTCTGCGCAGATCCTTTCCTGCATCCCCAGGGGTGGAGCAGTGGGCAGGGGAGCTCTCCAACATGAAGTTTTTGCTCCTAGAAGTGCTGATGATCCGGGGTGGCAGAAGCACATTAATGACCGTCTGCAGCAGCAGCTGCACCTCAGGCTGCTCCAGCCATGGGCTATCTGAAGGGCAGAGTTTGGGAGAGGAAGCAAGCGTAAAGGAAAACAGTCACAAGGTAGACTTTCCACATTAGACACAGAAAAATTCAGTTCTTTTTCCAATTCCAAACTAGAACACCCTGGAAATTGGGTATTTCCTGCCAAGTACAGCTTCTCCCATGGACGGACACCAAGTTCCTGGCACCTGAGTATTCTCCATAGTTGGTACCCAAAGAAAAGCTTGCGTTCTTAGCCAAATCTCCTGCTTTCCATTTCAACCTTCTTTGTTTTCACAAATACTCATAATGAACTGACCTTACATTTGAGGTAAGCGTTTCCTAAAAGAAAACCCCCCCTAAGAAGGAAGAGTAATGAAAAAAATATTAAAATCGAATTCAGTGGCAGAATTTCTGTAACCCCAGTGGTAGTATTATAAAGTCCATTCACCTGTCAATTCTCATCATATTGAAATTTACTTCAACTAATACCATTTTTCATAACTGAATTGAAACAAGGTACTCCTGTTTTTTTGCTGTTCTGAAATGATTTTAAATAGGACGTATCTTCTAAGAAGAGCAGAGAAACTCTTGTTCCAGGGCAGCTAAACTGAAAAGAAAGAAAAATTCTTATTTTCTAAGGTAATCCTATTTAAACCCTTCAGATCAACTTCATGTGATGGCTTTCATGGGAAAAGGAAAAAAGAAGTAACAGCCTGATATACATAAGAAAACACAACCACACCGATAAATTTCCTTTAGTTAAATTAATCAGACCTTTGCTTCCAGATCCTACTGTGAGCACAAATGGGATGAGTAGATTTAAAAGCATCCCTTCCCTTCGCTCTTGATTGGTGAATGGGGAGATCACATGGCTTAAAGGAAAATCTTCTTTTAGTGCCTGTGCAGCAATAATAGAAAAAAAGATTAATTGACCACCATGCTCATTTATTATGTTTGTTTTCACACAGCATGATGGAGACGGTGACCCCCTGCTGACTTCTCCTGTAAACTATGAGTTCAATTGTCTTCTGTGCAGCACAGCAGATTCAACCAAAACTGATACTGTACCATTTGCTATATTCCTAAAAAGACAGCAACATCTTGAATATTAAATGGAAAGTTATGACACTTAGGGTCAGATACAGAAATAACCCTGTATCCCCATTTATTTTCTTCATGTTTCCACCAATAAATATTGTAGAGACAAAAGGAAGAGAATGAGAACTTGCCACTTGCTCCATTTGAGAATTATTAAAAATCCTCTGACCCCTGCCTAAGGCTTTCTCTGAGCCAGAAAGCAATGAGCAACACAGAGAGAAATAAATGATCTTTAGAAATGGGTTATTAAAATGTATCACATTAGGGATGTCATTGCTTCCCTTTAGCATGGTAACCACAGCTCTTAATATGTGTGCTATCACCTACCCATTCTTTGGATGAGGACCATCACTTAGTGGTCAGATAATAGGTAAATAAGTTATCCATTTACATCACTTGCAGTCTTTCCATTGATCATAGAGCTTTTCACTGGTTTATTGATCTTTAAAGTTGATTGACAGAATTAGGCAGGGGAATTGGGATTCTGCACTTTTTGCTTTGGAAATGATTATTTTAATTTTATAAAGTGGGGAAAATTTTTAAAAAGCACCTACAATATTCAACCCACAATCATTAAAGAAAATTAAGATATTCAAAGTCTAGTAATTTGAAAGAATTCTTTCTGAAAATACCTTAAAACCAGACTTTGAACACTACTGCCTGTTTTAATTAACAATTGTGAGCTGATTATCTGAAAGCCTTCATTTTGCATACATTTTAACTGTCCAAAGTGGTTTCTGAAGTTGTGGCAGGACTAAATGACTCTGCTATTTTTGAGATCTCAAGAAGAATTACAGAAGTACAACTTAGGGCCACGCTCAGGGCTGAAGCTCCAAATTTTTCAAAGTTTGGAGACATACACACTTTGGTTTCACAGATTTTGCCCAGCCTTTGCAGAAAGAAAAAGAGAACACCATGATCCGGTGCCTCAAACAGCAACTTAATGAGCGTGACAAACAGGTAAGCAGTCACACCTGTATCTGCAATGCTACAAGCCGGACAACAGCTGTGCTGAAGGGCAGAGGTGGTGAGAGATAAGGGCTGAGATGAAGAAGGGGTAATCCATCAGCAACACTGGAAGGTCCTACCACTCCCATCACCTGAAATACAAACAGAGCACATGACCAGCCTTGACCATTGCAATTTCATGCAGCCATAGTAAAGGAGTCTCATTCAATAATAATAATAATAAAAAATTGAAGGTTGGACATGTTACTTTCCATCTTTTCTTTCTCATTGCCTTTTTCTGAAGGCATGTAATGTCTGGAGTCAGTCAATCATTATGCTGGATTCAGCCAAGGTTTTGTAGAATGTTGTTTACAGCTAACTATGTAAATAATGAGAATGAACCAAAAAGCTAGTCTAATCGGGAGATAGGACACTTACTTGTGGATTCAAAGGAGTGCAATCAACATTCTTTGATGGAGCAAATACTGACAACAATGATGATGGCAACAGCTCTATTTGCACTAGGCATTACAACTACAGATTTATTGCCCAACTAGTTAAGCAGCAGATCCCATTCCATGAAATGCTCTAACATGGTTTCCATACATTGTACAAAACCTTGTCAGGACCAGACTCTAGATATTACGTAAATGATTAAAAATATTTTTTTTATATAAATTCTAGACTGGCCAACTCATATTGTCATTTTGTTCTTTAAAAAAAAAGCCCTTTTGGCATTTTAAAGTCCCCACCCCAGACTACCTCAACCTCTAACAAATTGTGCAGTCTCCACCACCCCACTCTCCAACTGGCAGCCCTCAACTCTCAGCGCAACTTTAAGAGGTGAATTGTCAAAGTAGTGCATGGGAAGCAGCACGCCAAAATCCCATCTGCAGAGTGATGGGCCCCTGTATCTTCCCATGCACTACCTTGAAATGTACCTCACTATTTCAGTGTCACCTGAGCCATCAGTTTTCATGGGTAGGTGGGGCACAAAGTGGTTGACCTGTAAATCTTCATTTCAGAGAAATCAATAGCAGAGTTAAACTGTGCAAAGTTTTATAAGATTGCCACTTGGCTACTCACCAGATTGACACAGACATTGATCAGTGACCTAAGGTGAGGCAGGAAGGATATGATTGGCTGCCTCTGAAGTGTCAAACAAACCCCTTCAATCAAATTGCTGGCAGGCTCCCACTCAACCTGTCGCCTGGAATACAATATAGGAGCCATTAGCGGCATGGCTCCCTTCTGGAGACAGTCTGAAATAAGTGAATGACACAGTGATTCTGACGCCATCTAATACAGGACATGTGTCTGAGACGACAAAGTGCTTCACACGGGATGAAGTTTACCCATGTTGTTCCAAAAGTACAGAGCACACTGGGAGAGAAAGAAGATACTGAAAACGCAGCAGAGGCACTCCTGCCCCATCGACTAATGAGACAAAATCTATTGAAGAAAAAACAGAGATGATGAATGGGTTGCATTTTAAGATCCCTGTTATAGGCTTTGAGGAGGGTCCTTAGGAAACCCATCACATGGGTTAATCACTTCCACCAGAACATTTCTGAAATCTGTTTATCAGACTACACTTAATCTCATCAGTCTTTATACTGGATTTCTCCTAACTAGAATTAAATGGCTTAACTCTTGTCAAAAAGATCACACTAGAAGAAAACAGCCTATTTTAGAAGTGTTCTTATTGGCCTCCCAAGAAATGATATTTTTGGCTCTTTTCTATAATAGTATGAGTGGTGGTACACATAACCACTTAGATGACCATGGATTTTCTGTAATATAAATCAATCCAGTCTGTAAATTGTTCCAGTAATGATAGATTCTTTACTTTGACTTCAAAATAACAGGTCGAGCTTTGCTGATAGCAACACTACTTCCATATATTTTCTTGGAAACACTTTCTAAGCTTATATTTCCTACCAAAATGGAATCTCTGCAAAGACACAATGAAGATATAGTCATAAATGAGAATAATTGACATCCCTAATGCTGAGTGCCCAAGTAACCCACAGGCCAGGTTCAGTTAATATTTCTTGTGTTGAACTGTGTCACCTAAATAAATAAAATCCGAGCTAAGTTCATATACATCATGCCTCCCAAGAAAATTGCCTGCAACTTGGCCAAGTCTATGCATTAATCCAGATATCTACTTTTGGGAAACATGATGTTATAATGGTATTTGTCACTATGTGACAAATGGGCCAGTTTACAGATATATTTAACATCTTTGGATATCTAATTTTTAAGAAAAAATATATTTTAATATACATTCATAAGTCAGTTATATATCTTCTATCAGTCGTTTGCTAATAGACACAGATGCTCCATTGGGACCACTAAAGAAGTAGTGCTTTAAGAATAGGCATTTATTGCCATGCCACCAAAAAAAAATTACCTTGAAATTGAATCTAGACATTCATCACCATGGTATAAAAAGTGTAAAAACAAGCCATCAATTATTAGCATGAAATCATTGAATTTGTTGTTGTTTCCTTCAATGCCTCCTGATGGGAGCATAAAAGGTCACAGGCTAATACCTGGAATAAGTTCTGACAAAGTTAAAAAGTGCTATAAATTCTTGGGCAAGAAGAATTTAGGGTTAGTTTAAAAGAAAGAAGAAACTCCCAACAGCCCAAATTTGAAATTTCTAAGTTAGTGGGAACACCAGCATTTATCAATTAAACTATCTTTGCACTGTGACTACAGTAGCCAAATTGGTTTCGTTTCACAGAGGCACCAACTAATAGGAAAGGTACTCCTGGATACTTTTCAGGATACTTAACAGAAGCCAAGTGGTAATGGTGTTCATGTAGAACTACACTGAATTAGGTGAAAATCATGTATTTATTATCAACACTGTAACTTTTTAGGTGCTGTTTGGCTGATCATTACAATACTTGTCACATTCTTAAGTTGGTACCTAAATATGTTAACTAATATACTAAATACAGTACTTTGGTCATCAAATTAATTTTTATTCTCTTTTTAGTTATTACTTGTAAGGCATACTCTGTCTTATTTCAAAAGGGAAGAAGCATACTAATTGAATTTCTAATGTGCATCAGATAAGGAAGATGATAGCTAAGAAATGGGTAGAGTTTTAAAAATGAACACATACATGTTTTAAAGAAAATATCACTTCCTCAAAAAGAATACTTCTACTTTGCACTCAGTCCTGATTAGTGAGGCACACACACCAACAGAACACTTTCAAGTCGTTCATTTTACTCCAGATTGACCTACTATCTTAAAAAATGCAAATTCTAACTTTGAGGTTTATAGTATAGACAGCTGACGTGGAGTTCCCTTACCTCAAAGTTGGCATCTTATGAATTTTGTTGAACATTCTATCCAATCTCTTTAGAATGAGGATAAGGGCTGGTCTCACTGCCTCAGCTGTCCAGTCAGTAATGGGTAGCATCTCCATGATGTAGCGCCGAAGCCCACGGCTTTCCATCGTCTGGGTGTCATAGGGTGCCAACTTCAGAAGGGAATGTGCAATTTCTGCCAACCTAAAATGATTGTTTTAAAGAGTAAGCATAAAATGCTATAAAAAGAATTTTCTCATACAGCCTCATGCTAATTTCCTTCTGTCAATACATCAACTCCCTGACAATAACCTGCACATGCATAGTAAGAGAATCATATTTTATACATATGTGTGTGTACATATATACATATATGCTATATGCATATAAAAGAAAGCCTTTTTTTGTGGTGCTGGGATTGAACCCAAGGCCTTATGCATACTAGGGAAATGTTCTACCTCTGACAGCCTGAGAGCCTACATTTTAATGAATAATAAAATAACATTGAATATTGAAGTAAGCTTCATGGTTTCAATACTTTCTCACTGAGCCTAGTCAAGATCAAAGTTACCCTGTGGAAGGTGGTATTGATTTATGTTACAGTCCAAGCAGTTCTTTGAGCTCTATTTTCACTTCTGTCCTTTAGAGCCTCCTCCTCTCTGTGTTGTATCTGGAAGCTCCTGCTCTGCCCAGTTATGCAGGTGGTTAGCCCAGTTAGAATCTATTAATAGCTTTAGTTTCTGTTGTCTATACTTCTCAGATTTTCCAGCTTGGTTTCACACAGGAACTATCAGAGAGAATGTTGTGCTTTCCCAGATCGGTCCAGGTTCTCAGTTGCCAGATCAAGTGTCTGTGTCCTAAGTGTGGTATTTTCTGCAGGGGAATTGGACAACAAGACTTTGTGGGCAAATGTGGTTTCTGGTAAATGTCATATTTGGTTAAATAATTAATCTTCAATACTAGATATGAATTGCCAATGTCCAAGTAATAAAAATCTATGATATACATAGTTTAAAAGCCAATTTAATTTAATTTTGTATGAAGGAGAAAGTATTTTAAATCTTATTTTGTTTCACCATCAAATAATTTTAAGGTAATTATTCTTTAATTTATTAGATGTTATATTGCATTGTGGTTATTTTTTTCTCTCAGTCCTTTAACCTTAGAAATGCCTATTGAAACATGTATGGATAAATGATGTGATCCTTGTGATTTACTTCAGACCAGTCTGAGATGAAGGGAAGGGCGAGCGATTGGAGACCATTATTGAATCTGGGTGATAGGTACCCAGGAGAATTTGCTATATATAAAAATCTTTCTAATGTTCAAGATTTTTTAAAATAAAAATATACAGATTTCTTGGTTGATTCTTCGGAGATCCTTGTTCATTAGATATTGGATGAGGCCTGAGAAACTATATGTTTTCAGTTTTCCTTTTAAATCATATTTTTTAAGTAAGAGGTGTCAGCCAGAGGCCAAACATGTGGAACCTCACTGCCTAAGTGACTATTAAGGTCTCTCTTCCAACACTGAGATTCCATGAATCTAGGGAGATGATTGTTAGAGCCTCTCCAAGGCAAACTTGCTTTAAAAAATAGCAAAGCTTATTTCAGATTTTCCTACATCTCAAACTCCCTCATCTTTCAGTGTCAGTCCTAAACACGCTTAGTGTATGGCTGGTCTCAACACAACATTCACATGTGCAATATTGGATGATGTCAGACCTCTAGGTTCCCCTTCCCACGAGAATTTCCCTGTTCTGTACTCTATTTCCAGAAGTTCCTTTATCTGCCTGGCTAGACATATTTTGATTCAAGCTGAAGATACAGATAATGAATGACAGTGGCTTAACATATTACACTTTCTAAATAAATTTGTTTTCAGATGAATTTTTAGGATCTTAATAAATAATAGACTTCTCAGTCACTGTACTAGGTATATTTTTAAAAGTCTAAGCCTTTTTTAAAAATCAAGCTCAAACCATACAACATAGACAGAAGATAATTCATGAATGGATATACATTGCCTCTTTCTGCAGTGATCTTCCTGTCTCAGCCTCCTGCGTTGCTGGGATTACAGGGGTGTGCCACTGCACCATGATCTTTTTTGCTACCTTGTAATTTATTTTTGGAGTAATTAGCTACACAAATAGTCTGGATTTTGATGACTGAATCTCTATAGCATCATCTAATCTAGCCTACTATATTTAACTCCATAGCTAGTTAAATCTAGGTCTAGTCTTTTTGATTTTCTGGCAAGAGTACCTCACAGGTGGTGTGTATTTCCTTGAGTAGACACATGATTCCAGTTGTCACTACTGTTACCAGTGATCACTGCACAGGTCTATTAGTACTATCGGGTACAACAACATCAATATGGATGCTCTTTCTTTTCCCACATATTTAACTATAGTATTTTAATAAAGAGAAATGTTGACTCCACCAAAGGACAGAAGAGACAGGATAAATGCTGGAAAGGATGTGTGGTGTAAGAGCTCTCTAGGTTCTCAGCTTGGAGAATACAGCCAAGCCACTGCCTCTCTAATTTCTGGAATACTGTACAACTTCTTAATCAAACTAGCTCCATGGAGGCAAGAATTTTCTACTGTACAAGGTAACTTATTTCATCTTTGGCATCCCATACTATAAGAAGCTCTCATGGTTAGGTCTCCACATTTCCTCTAATTTCTTTCTACTAGGTTTAATTCTGGAAGCATAATATCAATCCATCTTCTTCAAGGCAATCCTTCATTAAAAGGAAATGGTTACTGTCTCCTCATCCCCAATGTCTTCTCTCTAAACAGAATGTTCACATTTTCCTGGTCATCATGTGTGAATTTAGGTGTTCTAAAGAAATAATTTTAAACAGCTAACACATCCATTTATTTTTCTATTTTCCCTAAGTGAACCATGATGAATATTTTTCTTGAATTCTCAGATTGTGTGATAGACGAGTATATCAATACACACTTATTTCTTTTCCCTGTGATTTTACAGATAGCAATGAAAAATGCTGGAGAAATGATCAGCCTGTCTACTTTAAGTTTGAGAACAACACTTACAGCTGAATTTGAATCATTTTATGGATTACTACCCAAATTCCCTTAATCCCTGGAGTTATAACAAAATGAATTTGCTATGGAGCATAAAATAAAATTTGCTTTTCATATAGTCTTTGCTGTATTACCTCATGAATAATCTCTTGATTAAAAAAAAATGTTCCTGTGATCTTTTCCCAGTAAGAACACAAGAGACCTTCCTATTGGAGGGAGAGGGAAATAGGATGCGAGGGAAAGAGGGAAGGAGAGAGAGGAAGACAGTTGCAGATCCCACTATCCTACTGCTTTAGCAGCTTTGGATAGAGCAAATGAGACCCCCCAAAAAATTCCTCTAGGGCAGAGATTCTATTTAATCAAGCATATTTTCTGTGAGAATCCTATAATCAACCATGTATTTTGTAAATGCAGCTTATGGGTTGGTTCCCCACTATTTCTTAGCTCTTTGGTGCAACTCAAATTTTTCCTACAAATATGTCCTGAATCTTATATCATCCCATTTCTCCCTCCATTTTTCAAATCAGATTTTCCCTTTAAGTGATATCCATTCTTATGCCTTGAAATATCACCCATAATTCTTAAACTTATATTTAGTTTGACTTCTCCATATTTCTGTGTGCTTGGTTTATGAAAGGAAACCTTAATTATATCCTTTGCTTGGTAAAGGATTAAAACATTTGGATTTGTGCCTCCTTAGCAACAGAGAATATCTCTGTTCTGCCAGAGAACATGCAGGCCTGTCTTTATCAAAGCTTATTGTGAAATATTGCATTAATAGAAGACATGTAGTCTAACTCTTACCTGCGCAGGAAAACCTTTGCCCTCTTACAGATCCAGGCCATGAAATAATTATGTTCTTAAATGACATTCTCCTGGCTTCAGATAGGTTGCTCTTGCCTACTAAATTGCGACATTATGTCAACTTTCTAAACATCTAGCCATGTGAAACTAACCTTTTATCTTCCATGAGGATGTTGTTGAGGACATCATTCATCATAACACTCTCTTTCTTCCTAATGAACAGTAACCAGAAGATATTTCTTGTTCTTTGTTATTTTAATATAGTATTATTTCACCAAACAAATGGTTATCTCATTTCACCAATAACTGGTCATTATTGACATGATAATTTTGTAACTGATAATTTTTCACTCACTATTTTTGATAATCCAAAAGCTCAAATTCATGCATGATTCATAACCATAATATCTATTAAAATTTCAGTTTATTTCCTGTGCTAATCTCACAGACACAATTATTTTCTTCCTCATTTTTTACATTGCTCTAACACTCTGATTTATACATTCTATCATTAATTTTCTAAGTTGCTTCAAATTTTTTATAAAAGGATAAACACATAAATATATGCATGTGAATTATATACATGAAAACTATATTATAGTTAGTTTTATGCCTCCTACATTAGACTGTGATAATCTTGGGGACCAGGGCTTTATTTTATTTTATGTATATTTAATTGTAGATGGCCACAATAACTTTATTTAGTTTTTATGTGGTACTAGGATCGACCTCAGTACCTCACACGTGCATGGCAGGCACTGTACCACTAAGCCCCAGCCACAGCCCCTAGGGCTTTATTTTATATTCCCAGGATTTATCATTCTTATTAGTGTTAGTAATTATCATTATTGTATCATTCTTATTAGCATTAGTATTTATTGTATTATAGGTCTGTGCCAGGCACTGAGCTAGCTCATTAAACATTTAACAGGTGTTGGCCTCTAGAGGGAGCCTGAGGCCTCTCTGACTCCAGCTGTACCCTCCCTCTAAATGCTTCATACACTGATCAAATTATAGGGCAGTTCTGCCCCCACTCCCCACCCATCATAAGCACACCACATCCATCTTTTAGGAATCTTTCACAAAATGGGCTGTTGGTAGTAGTTAGTGATTTTCTGACTCTGGGAATGTGATGTTTTTCTCTTCACAGAATTACTGAGGTCAGCTAGCGATCATAAGCAGGATAAGTAGGGGAGGGGCTGAAGAGGGCCCTTGGAGGCTATGGCAACAGAAGTTTGGCCCTCTGCCCTCCTCCTCTTCACTTTCTCTGCAGTTTCCTGTCTAGGAGCTAGACTTGTCAGTGTATGTAAGTTCTTCCCTATCCCTGCACAGTGGGGAGTGTGAACCTGTGTGAAACCCTGGAGTTCACCCAGCATTACTAGGTGTGTGCCTGGAAGAGAAAGAGCCTGGGTTCACTGTACATTTCTGGCCACTCATTTCCCTCCATTTAGTGCTTCCTAAATTTTTTTTCAAAAGATCATTTTAAGACAAAAGATAAAATAAAGTCAATCAGAAAATTGGTTGTTTTTTTTCCCCAAACTGCCATTTTATTTCTAGGATATAGAAATAACAGACTATAATTCTATTTTTTATAGATACACTGAAAGCTTCCAAGTATATCTTTTGTTATCCCTGAAATTTTTCTTTCAAGGAACTTTTATAACTCTTTATAAATGGTTACAAATCTGAATAGATGTTCTTCTGGAAATCATTGTCTTTTAAGAACCTAAAAATACAAACATATCCTTCATCATGATTAACAAGTGAGGTGGCATCTCCACAGGAAGAAGGAAATATGAGTGCTCAGGGATATAATTCTGAGGTCTTTTCCTGAAACACCAGGAATAAAAATTCAAAATGATGACGGATTTCACCCAGTTCCAAATTTTTACCGGTGGGGCACTGGTTTTGAGTCACTGAAAACTATCACACACAATGAATACAAAGGGGATTTCAGGCCCAGGCTAAGTGTGGCTGAGAGTAATAATACTTCACTTCCCTACAGAGCTCATCACTATATCCTTAGATAATGTAGGGTGAGAACAAATATTATGCAAGAAGCAGTGGTGCATTTTTCATATAAAATTACAGAGAGAAAACATTGAATTATTGCCAAAAATTAGATTCTGGGCAATAAATAGTACATGGAACAAGGCTATTTTCTGAATGATAATCAGGTTATGAAGTTTTTCTTTCACTTTCATATATTAAGGAACAAATCTGTGAACTCTGCCATCTTCTTTTAATATTTTCTCTCTGTCCATCCTGATACTTTTTTATGTTTGTGGTACTGGAGACTAAACCCAGGATGTTCTACCACTGAGCGATGTTCCCACCCTCCCACGATTATTTTCCCCCTTATTTTGAGACAGGTCTGCCTAAATTGTCCAGGCTGGCCTAGAACTTGCAATCCTCCTGCCTCAGTCTCCTAAATCCCTGGGATTATATGTCTTGACCACAGGCCTGGCTTGAGATTCTTTTTGATAGCTATAATATACACTTTACCAGAAGGCTCGGTATGATATGTATTCAAGTCACAGGCAACGAATCATTTAAAATATCTCTAATTTTATCCTAGAGGATAAAAATCCCCATTTCTTAGCCCACCACACATATCTGATTGCATCCACACATTCTGTGGACAGAGTACACATGGACAGAAAGCACACACATGGTCCAAGCCACATTCACATTCAAGGGGCAGGGAAAGCTGGTACAGTACCTCATATGGGACTTCACATCCAGCAGCTCCAGTGCAGTGACCCGTGGCTCCCCAGCCAGGTTTTGCAAGATCTTCAGCCTTGGTCCACAGTGCTTATAGAATTCTGTGCAAATATTCAGCAGGGATTCCCGGGGTCTTCTGAACTCTTCCCGAGCAATTCGTTCATCCAGTTCCTCTCTAGGAAGACCCTGACCTTCCTCCAATAAATGAAGGTTTTCCCTGGAAAATTATAAAAGATTAATGAGGGGGTTGAAAACATGGATATGTGACAACTATGAGAGGAGAGTTATCATCACACTGAAAAAAACATAAAATTCCTATTGATTTCAGGAATTAGTAGGGTAAGATCCAGGAGAACCTCATGTGAAGGATAAGAAAGTTATCAGCTTAGAAGAGATCAAATTGCTTTACATTAGCCACTTCTGAGCATTTATACAGAACCAGAATGCCATGCCTCAATTCAATGAATCTAATGGAACTGTAAATCAGATCCAAAGGCAATCATCTCAACACGTCAGAACTTAATGAAATTAGATCCAGTTTTTGGTACCTGATAAAGTGCAGTTTGGCTCCTTGCTCCTGGTACCTGGAAGTTGAAAAACAGTCTGCATAACTATCAGAACAAGAACACAGTCCCTTGGCTGAGGCTCCATATATACTTTTTCATGTAAAATTAAAAAGGAAGACATACATTTTGATAAGTTCATAAATACACATATAGAATCCTAAAATAAGAAATATTTTTCTTTCATTTGGCTACTGCATGTACTGTAGTTATAGGTGCTATGAAAGCTATTTTATTGCCATATAATTTGAATAAAGAAAAATATATCAAAAATGCAAACTCATGGAATATAACCAAAGGAAAGAAATTTTGAAAACTTTAAAGTCTAAGGAATAATTTTAACACCATGTGCTCTGTTTCAGTTGATCAGAGGGAGAAGTGTGGCTGACTTCCTTCAGTTCTGGAGACTTACTGCTTACTGATTGATTGATCAGAAATTTGAGAGGATCTCTTTTTCTGCATTCACAATTCATCTAGTAGTCAAACCTAAGCCAATATGCCTACAGAAGCCCCTGTATATCACTTAAACTCTTTTTCCTTAATGTAAGAGATTAACACATGGGTTAAACACCGTACCAGACAATGTATAATTGGTTTTATTTTTGTCTTATTTTTAATATGAATATATATGATGAACAGGGAATTAACTTTACATAAATAATGACACCCTTAAAAATATGCTTCAGAAAGAGTGGGAATCAGTTTCTTTTCACAATCTCCCTGTTAACTACTCCATACTTAAAAGAAAGAACGAGACCTTTCTTTTAAGCTGATTTTACTGTGCACTATCCTAAATCTTGCTAGGAGAAGGAGGCACGCTTTTTGTGTGTTTTGGAGGGATTTATATGTTAATACAGAATGAAGCAGGTCAAGTAACTAGTTAACTAGTTAACTAGCAGGTTAACTAGTACAGCCAGTGTCTAAGTTATAACAAAACATGAAAGGAGATTAAGTGAACAACCTTGAAAGTATCATTTAAGGACATGAGTCAAAGTCTGGATGAAATGTCTGCAGAAGATCTGCCCCAGGAATAAGCCACCTCCGATTATCATTGTTTCATTAGCCTTTTGTTGGAGGCAAATGGAAAAGCACTGGAATAATTCAAAGATAGCCCAGGAAGTAGAGATAAAATACCCAGTGCATAATCATGCAGACAAAACCAACACAAATGTCGATTTATGAAGGTGCTTTGGGTTTCTCTTTGACAATTTTAAAAGAAGCCTTTGTATTTTCTTGTAACTCTAAATGCTTACATTTTTTTTTCTTTTCCTTGGTGTTTTTCAAAATCAATATTGACTATTTTCAAGATTCCTTTCATTCTCAACAACTGAGATTCAGGATTTATAAAATTGAGAGATCGTAGAAAACTAGAACACAGTGAATTACCTGGTGTTCACTCCAGAAGACATGGTATGATTGGCTGTGGTGGTCCCCTTGTGACCTTGATCACACCTGCTCATCTGTGGGGCTGTCATGGGCCTGCAACAATAATTGCCAGAACAAAACATCAGAAGTGGAAACACTTAGAAAGTTACTAAAGATATGTAAGTTTTAGAATCTTAAAAAGACAGGCTGTCTGGTTTTGAGCTTTTCTGTAACATATTTTCTGTCTGTACCAAGAGGCACTTAAGACAATGTTGATTCCATGGACTATGAGCACACCATGATTTAAGTTCTACTTCTTGGTTCTGAATAATAAACCATGACTCTTCAAATAAGATTTGTGATCAAACCCCTAAGTCTGTACTGATCAAGTCTGAGTTTAGAACTTGTTCTTCACTTCTACAGGTGCCAATCAATGAGTAAAAAGCAAGGATGTACATACTTCTTTATGTACCTTTTATCTTTTTTTCACTCTCATCTACACCATAACTAATCACTCTACCTTTCTGAGAAATCACCAAAGAATGAAATAATCCTCCTAGTGAAAATTATACCTAAGGCTATTCAGGAAAGTGAATAAATCTGTATTTATTTTAAGTCAGTATTTTCCATGATTAGTAATAAATCATTTATTTTTATATCTTCAGGGTTTACTTGAAATATTAGGTAAAATGTGCTTCTACTTTTGTATCTGAGACACAGAAGGGATGAACTAGTTTTTCAAAGCAATTCCTTTTATAAAATCTGTAAGGCTTGCTTCTATGTTGTTCATATTTTGTATGCTGAGTATGACTACTAAACTTTAAATAATCACACTCCATCTCTTCCCATGTCATGTGTAAGTGGAATTAAAGATAGCCCCGAGACTTTTGCTGCCAAGTGTTACTCCAGCAATCATGTTACCTTATACGGCAAAAGGGGAGATTATCTGAGTAGGCTGAATCTAATCACACCACAGCTCTTTAAAAATGGAGGTTTTCTCTGGTTGTGGGCAGAGATTGAAAGCATGAGAATGATTCAAGCACTACTGCTGTCTGGAAGATGGAAGGGGACAATGTGAGAGAAATGCAAATGCCTTTTCAATGCAGAGTGAGGAACTTGGCTGACAGCCAGCAAGGAAGTGGGACCTCAGACCAGAGCTGCATGAACCTGAATTCTGCCAAAACTGCAAATGAGTTTGGCAGTGGATTTCCCACCCAGTTCCCTCAGATAAGGGTTCAGTTAACCAATGCCTTAATTTCTACTTTGCAAAACCCTGAGCAGAGAACCTATTTGATGTTGCCTAGATCTCTGACCTGCAGGACTGCAAGATAATAAATGGGTTTTGTTTTTAAGCCTCTAAGTCTATGGCAATGTACTATACAATAATAGAAAATGGATACACTTATATTATATTTACCATACATAATATCTATATAAACTGTCAAAATTCTTTTTTCATGAGATAAAGAGAGCATGGAAATGAAAGAGAATTCTCATTTTCTTTTTGTAAAAAAAGTCAATTTTGTGGTACACACTACCAACTAATGAGACTAGTCTTCTACTCTACAAAAAGAATATTGAATGTACTAGAATTTGTATTATTTGAGGTGCCAGGACTTCATCCATAACTTTTCATGGGATTTTGGGTAATTCAATTGTAGATAAGTTAGTTGGATTATCCTTATAAAGGGATTAGAAAGGAAGAAAGGACCAACATTATGTAATATGAGGAGAAATAGCTAAAGTGGCATTTAGGGAAAATTGACTACTTATCTCTCATCTGTTGCAGGAAGAGGCTGGTAGATGGGCACAGAGAAAGAGTGTAAAGTTCTGTGTATCTCTTTAGGATGTTCTTCCCAGGACTTTCATGAAACTACCAGCAAAGCATTGGGACTATTTGTCATTGGAAGATAACTTGTCCCAGTTTCTGGCTCACTGCTTTCATTTACTCATTTTAGGTCCATGTGAGCATGTCAGGATGATCATCTATCCTAGGTTTTGGGGCTATATTCTGCCTGCCCAGATTAGCAGTGTGGCTCATGATTAGAAGTCAGATATTTTGAAGTTCATGAACAACAGTATTTATCCAAATGACTTAAGAACTCTGTGAAGCCACAAAGAGCTGAGTCATTAACTGTAAAAAAGAAAAAAAAAAAAAGATAGGTATCTCTAAACAAACACTGAGTTCTAGAGATCTTTACCCACAACATTTTCTTCTTCATAATTTCAATGGGTACGTATGGTTGAAGGCTGTGGATATTTCTGCCAATTGGATTACCTGGTGAGGACTTCCACACTGTACAAAAGTGCTTGTAAGGATGTTGCAAGAGCAGCTGTGGCAGCAATCTCCTCTCGGGCAGCAGGTACTGTCTCCACCTGTGATGTCTGCCTCTTTAGCTTTTGTAGGTAACATGGAACTAAAGCTTCCAAGACCATCAGCATCTGAAGACTGTAAGCAACAGAAAGAAAACCAAGTCACATTTAACAATCTACTTTTGGGGACTGTGTCATATTTAGGAGCATGGAAAAAGGTTCTAGAGAGATGAAGAATTCTAAGCCTCCTTCTTATCCCACCCAAATGCAGAGTAGTTAAAGCTGTAAGGAAGCATGTGATCTGGTTGGGGGGAGTTAGCCATTTATTAAAATTGTTGAAAAGATAGCATAATGATCACTGGTGGAGCTCCACAGTCCATTCTGAGAAACAGGCCTCAGAATCCTCAATGATTCTTCTATTCAGGAACTTGCTGAGAGTGATTTTCCAGCTGAAACAATTTTAGAGACAGTATACAACCTTTTTCTAGGAGGCTGGCTTCCTTTAAAAAAATATATGTATATGTACATATATACATATTTTATATATACACACATATATACATGTATATATGTATATGCATATATATGTTTATAAGTATATACACATATACATACGTATATATGTATACATTTATACGTATATATACATATATACATATATATATTTAAATAGTTGATGGACCTTTCTTTTATTCATTTATTCATGTGCAGTGCTGAGAATCGAACCCAGTGCCTCACACATGCTAGGCAAACGCTCTACCACTAGGCTACAAGCCCATCCCTAGCAGGCTGGCTTTTTAAAGCTTTGTGTGATTTTATAATAAGAGTCTGGCAACTGCCCCGGGAGTGTGGTCTGATAATGCCTACTTAGTAGACTGAGTGGACACTGCTCCTGTGTAGGGCCCACTCAGTGAAGAACTGGGGTGTCAGAAATGTCATCTCAGAGGGGAGGTGGAAAGTAATTATGTAAGGCAGATTTTCCCTCTAAACTGTAAGTGCACAACATTAACATAAATCTTTTTGGAACATTCCCCCAGTGGAGCTTAAATTTGATAAGCTGTGGGTTCTAGAATACAATATGGACTGGTTGATATTCCAGAGAACCCCAAATCAGACTTTGGTCCATTTTCCTTCCTACATATATCAGTGAGTTTCTGCTATGATATTAATCAATATTGAGTACTGGTTTCTGATTGTATAACTGTGCCTAAAATAAGTGCTCTTGACACAGGAAATGGAAATGTTCAGAAAATTGATGGATATGGAATCAGAGCTAAGAGACTGAGCCATACCTCTTTGACAACTTAAAAAGGGAGACGAGAAGTCAGCTATGCTTCCTATGTTAAGAAGCACCTTGTTGCAGATTAATTGTCTTACTCAAAAAAGCTGATCAAAAAATTTTTTTTAATTATTGAAGGAGTCAGAAGTTAAGATTGCCTGGTACTTTTGTAAGTACCAGGTTGTTAGAGAAAAGGAAGCTTATTCAGTCATCCAGACTGTGCAACACTTTTCTCCAGGTATTTGTCAGTTTGTAGAGAACACTTGTACACTGAAGATGGAGTAAAATCGACATGACCACTTTGGAAGTCTTTCTGGTAGAATCTACTAAAGCTAAACATACACATTCTCTATAACCTAGCAAAGAATTTCAGCCTACAGAAATGCACACTGGACACATGTATGTGTAAAGATACATAAAAAAAAGTTCACTGCAGCATCATTCGTAATAGCTTCAAACTAGATCTAAGACAAAATCTGTTGGCAAAGAGAAGAAATGAATGAATTTTACCACAGACCACACAATGGAATATTATAGGTGAATGAGAAAGAATAAAATGTAGTTACATATAATTATATAGATGAAATAATATTGAATAACAGAAGTCAGATATTAAAAAGTACCTGCTATAATATTTCACCTAAATGGAGTTCAAAAAGAGGCAAAGCTGATTTAGATTTACCATGGAAATGGGGATAGTGGTGTCTCTGATACATTAAAACAAAAAACAAAACTGAACTCAGGGGCACTTTAACAATAGGGATTAAAGATGAACTACATCCCCAGACCTTTTTATTTTTGAGACAGGGTCTTGAAAAGTGTTGAAGCTGGCCTCTAACTTGTGATCCTCCCGTCTCAGCCTTCCAAGGTGGGATTATACGCATGTGCCCCTTCACTCAGCCCTCTCTGATTTTTTTTTTTTGATCTGAGTTGTATTTACATAGACATAATAACTTTATGAACACTTATTCAACTGCAAAATTATGATTTTTAAAACTTTGACATTAATGTTACACCTGTATAAAATACACTTATGTAAGCACAATTTAACCACAAGAAGGATCTGGTGTTACAAATACAGAAAATTTATAAGAATATCCCAGGGAATAGCTAGTTAAGAAATCTTGACTTCACCAGGGACCCAGAGCCTTTGTTCAACCTGAGCCAAATGGGAAATTAGGAGGATCAATTTATTAACCAATCTTAATATTTAATATTGGGCTTTGGTCATTAACTCACAATAAGGGAGTTTGACTGTGAACTTTAATACCTTTTGATTTCAATGTGTTTGAATTTTAACTTAAAAGAGAATTTCAGGTCTCACTGGGAATTTGGTAATGAGAGAACTTTTTAGTCAAATTTGTCAGTTCTCTATGTCACTAGCATTTTAATATTAGAGAAATGTTATGCATTTCATTATTGTAGTGTCTTCATGTTGTCATGTAATCTCAATGCATAACCTCTAAAGCATACCCTTAACAATGTACTTGGACACACAACAGCAAACGGAGTAGGAAATACATTTTTACATTCAGATGTAGAGCAGATTTGGAATTCATGTGGGATACTGATCCACCCTGAACCCTTTTCTAGAGCTGATAAAATAGAAGTAGCAGGAACATGGGAGCAGGTCCATCATGGGGAACTGCAGATTTCTGTCCCAAGGCCACAGCCACACTCCTCCCTGACCATAGGCAGAAGTTTAATTCCTATTGTTAAAGATGATAAAAATCTGGGAATATTGAAGGGGACAGTAAAGAGAGGTCAATTCATACACATTCTGGCCCCTCTTGGCCCTTTATCCCTTCTGTTCTGGGGGGAGAAGAAAAGGCTTGCCTAAGATGACAATGGATAAAGATATTCTGAGCATAGTCAACTTGGCTCTTTCTTTCTCCTTGGAGAGCCTGTCCACACAGTAGGACTTTATTGGGATGACACACTTTTTTTTTTTTTGGTAACAGGGATCAAACCTCGGGTTGCTTTACCGATGAGCCACATACCCAGCCACTGGGACTACAGTCATGCCTGGTGGGATGACTCACTTTTCATGTGAGTCCTCTGCCTTCTTGCACTTGGCAAAATGGAAGAGGAGATTTATATTCTTGCCCTTTGTGTGACAGGTGTTCTTATTGCTCCTTGAAAGGAGTTTTCATAAATGGTTTAGAAGTCTGCTATGAAATTTTGTTTGCTACTAATTTGTATTACATGAAAGGAAAATATTTTCTAACAAGACTAAACATCTTAGCCTCAGCACTAATTCTAAATGAAGGGATTTCAAATTAATGAGGATTTATAATATTTTCCAGAAACTTTGCTATGACAAGTTTCCTAAATTTAGTTTTCAGAACATTACTTGCCAGGATGTTACAGACTGAAAAACCAAAATATAAGCTTTGTAGTCAATAAATTTTATTTCCTTTGCTATTAGTTATTATGAGACACAGAATAAAGGGCTGCATTTACCTTCTGAATGATTCAGGAGCATACGCCACCACAGTGACACAGAGCTTAATGGCTTCACTGATAGAGAAGGTCAGATCTTCATTTCCATAGCAGAAATCTAAGGGGAGAAGGAATCAGTGCACACAGTCAGAACAGATTCCACCATGGATAATGAAGTTGACCCCTCTTAACTTTGTCTTTTCAGCTTTATTTTGTAGCCTTTTCTTTGTTCTATTTTATTTCTATGCTATGAAAACTATTAATTTCTTCATCTAAAGGGAATGAAATTCTGTTTTCTACTTTTGAATAAGTTAATGAAAAAATAAAGGTTTTTTTTGGGGGGGAGTGTAGTTTTAATCATCTCATCTACTTAAAAGTCACTGAATGCATTTGAAAGGTAAGAAACGTGAAGCTTTATCTTTGAATTATGTCTAATTCTACATGTTGTAGTATAATAAAAGGCCATTTGGAGGATTATTTACTTAGAATTACTCAAGAGAATGCAACCTTCTGAAAATTGCAGTCTTAGATCAGTCGTCTATTGAACATCATTTTAGTGTGATTTTCATGTTGCTCTTTTGGAGTCACAAGAAATTTAAGAAAAACAGGAGATAAACAAATTCTACTCATTCAGTGTGTACCACTGTTCCACTTATTTTAATTGTTTAAGTTCTATATATGTGTGTATATGTATATGTACATACACACACACACACACACATAAATAATTAAAATGAGGAAAAAAATGCCAAGGGAATTTTGCATTACCTAATGACTTGAGAGGCTTCTCAGCTTTGACCAGCTCTAGGATGTCTAATGTGTCAGTGGTCTCTCCTTCCAGGGACTGTAGCAAGTCAAATAGGCACTGAGCCGACACACCTTTGTTGGGCCCATTATTGGCAGCATCCTGTATAAGGACATACAATTTTAGTTCACTGACTCCCACCTCAGTACTAATGTAGTTGACCAAGGGTTCAAACTTCATAAACACTATCAGCAATAACAGTTATAATATCTCCCTGAAATTCAGCTTAGATAATTCTGTATCCAACAATGCTCGAGCATGATTTTGGAGTGGTACATCTGAATTTTAGGGAATCTATTAAGTACTAATCTAATACAAAGGATAAGGTTGTGAAAACTTGTAAAAATACAGCAATATATGAACTTCTGGAAAAGTTCTTGCCAAGTCACCTGTGGTATTAAGAGGGTAGAACTAAAAAAATTTCCATAATTGGTTGAATACTTGAAATATATTTGAGGAACAGAGGCTTATTTTAAACCAAGTTCAAAGGTTTTGTTTAATAATATATCTTCAAAATAGAGATACTTGCCATTTCGTATGTATTTAAAATTAATTTGATCCATTCATTAAAACAATAAAATCCTTCTTAAGTCCCTAAGTGCCAGAAAGCATTCTGTACCCTGAGGTTATAGCAAAACAAAATCAAAACACAGAAATAAAACCAAAGTACAACTAAAAACAAATGAGCAAATGTAAAACAGACAAAGGTCTTGTTCTCATGGAGCTTAACTTCTAATGGTGGGGAGAGGGAGAGATACATGTTAATGGAACAAACTGACCATGGCCAGACCATGTGTGAAAATAGAGCTGACTCACAACCTGCAGCACACTGCCCAAGAAACCAAACCAAGATACTTCTAAAAAAACCTTCCTAGGAAGCTAGCCTGATTTAAGTCAGGTTTATAGGAAGTCAGACCACTACCTCTACTGGAAACCCAACAATAAGCCCTGCAACAGTTTTTCTCAAATGACTCGGACTTGATTAAAACTGGTGACTTCCCTAATTTTTGTTTTTACTTTCAGAGAAAGCTAAACATGCAGCCTATCACATAAGACTCCGCTTCTTGTTGGCCTCCCTGTAGCTTCTCCCCTCAGGCACAACTGAAGCTCCCTTCCTTTCCACTATAAAGCTTTCCCTCCTCTGCCTGCCCTGGGGTCTCTGCAGCGCACAAGGGATGGTGGCTGACTCCCTTGCCTCTGCAAGCTCTGAATAGCTAACCTTTGCTTTTGTCAAGTGCTTGGTCTTCATTTATTCTCATAGAGCTTACTCACAGGAAACTCCAAGAGAGGGGCCACACTAGCAAACAGCTGGAGCACAAAGGGCTTGCGGTGCAGAATGTAGAACTGGTGGCAGGCAAATTCGATGGCTTGACGTAACTGGGGATTGCTTTCATAGTCAGAGTATACCTGTGGGAAAATGTCACAGAGTTACAAAGTGCCTTCTAAAAGTATCAAAGTCGTGTTTGATTTTAAAATTTTGCATAGTTAATGGAAACAGAAAAATGACTAATTTCATAAGCTAGTGGAAGGTGTGTAAAATGGCATTATGCCTGAAATTTTATATATATATATATATATCTCCTAAAAATCTAAATATAATTATCCCCTGGAAGTTTATGATTAGAATTTTTTCTCAAGGAAAGAATTGGGCAAATGTACAAAGATGTCTGTCAAAAAATGTTTGTTGCAAGATTGTAACAGTGGAAAACTTGAAAAAAGTCATTCATAAATGCTGATTGGTTAAGTGATTTATTGCACAATGTGACTGGTGTTATTAAGCTAAATGAAGCTACATGAAAAAAAGTCCATGGTATTTTGTTGAATGAAAAAAAAATAGGTTACAAACTTGAATATATAATACAACTTCTGTTTTTAAAAAGTGTGTGTGTGTGCGCGCGTGAAAATGTACAAATATGTGTAGGAGAGAGTGCCCGATTTTCAACAAGTGTAAACAACATGTCTCTGGGAAGGAGGACTGTAGGTGATCTCTATTTTCTGTTTAAACTTTTTAACTTCTGAACATAATTGCTTTTGGTAATCAGTAAAATATTTATCAAAATAGAGAAAATTGCCACTATTTAAAGAAAAGGCAGACAGTCCTGTGATAAAGGTAAATTTCTTGCCCCCATAGGTTGAACAAATTCTTCTTTGCACAAGCATGTATTATTTTCATAACTTTTATTGAAACTTCCCTAAAAGTAGATCATCAACCGAAGGCCCTCCCTGAATTTTATTAAGTGCTCCTAAATATAGCCAGATATATATCAAATGCTAGTAAACAGACATTGTTCCTGTTACATTCACCTCCTCTAATACCATTAAACCAAATTTAGCAGTAATAGAAATTTCTGGGCAGATAGAGGCCAGAGGGTCTCTTGGGAGAAACAACAACTGAACCCTTGCCATACATTTGACTCAACATCGATTCTCTGCCTAGGGCATAAGAACCACCTGGGGGCCTTATTAAAAACACCCATTACTGAACCCTGACCCCCAAAGTTTCTAATTCAGTAGCCCTGAGATGGGCTCAAGGAAGTGCATTTCTAGCAAATTCCCAGGTGATGTTGATACTGCTGGTTCAGAAACCACACTTTGAGAACCACTGAGCAAGAAGAAATGGGATATTGTGAACACTCAGAAATTTATTTGGGGGGTGGATTTCATTTGGTGCCTTTTACTGTAATGAAAGAAGACAATCCCATCATTAAAAAGTTTCTGTATAGATCTGGAACTGCTAGATACAGGTAGTCCGTGGGCTACTTTTCTGATTAGGAGAGGGGATTCCGGGCACCTGCAGCATGGTGGGGAGAATCCACTGGTAGCCACTGAGAGAGAAGAGGTGATTGAAGTGCACGGCGGTGTTGATGACGGTGGCAGCGTACTGCCTGAGCAGGGCACTGTCTTCTGGGTGAAGGATCAGAGCGCCGTTGAAAACGTTGAGGAAAAGCATGATTTCATCTCCCCAGGGGAATTCGCTTGGCATGCCCAGGAACATCTCTTCCAGGAGCTGGATCCACAAGCTTTTCTGAAGTGTGTCAAGGCCAAACAGTTCCTTCCCAGCTGTGAGAACATGAAACAGCAGAGACGGAATCAGTACCACACCAATCCCATCAGCAAAAGCAGGGGATCACTCGCCAGGGTGCTGCTGTTTCCCGTTTGTTCCTCTGGGGTGAGATCTCCTGCTAAAAGGCTTTTCCAGCACAGAGTTGCTGGCATTAGGATGAGGCTTCCTAGCTCTCAAAAGACTTTTATCAGCACCACTTGGATTGAAGTCTGTGGGCAAGCCAGGGCAGCATTCTGCTGCTCAATAAGCTGAAGCTTTGAGAAAATGTAAGCTATTCTAGCTAGAAAATGACAGGGCTGGGGTTAGTGCTTGGCCTTGGAATCACTCCTCAGGCTGGAGCTCTTTCCCACTATTGCTCTGTCCCTTCTGCAGGAGGACAATGACACACATGGATGCTAATTCAAGTAAATGGTACCAAATTAATAACAGTAACAGAGTTGGGTTCCAAACTGCATCTCTTTCTGTTTCTCTGTCTCTCACTTTGGATTTGATTTGATTAAAATGCACACATCTTAAATGTAGAGTTCAATGAGTTTCAAAGTATGCACATGTAACCAATTCCTAATCAATATATAGACAATTTTCATCATCTCCAAAAGTTGCCTCATGTCCTTTTCAGAAAGTCCAGAGGCAACCACTGTTCTGACTTCTGTCACCCCAAGTTAGTTTTGTCTTTTTCTGAAGTTCATATACCTACCTATGTTTTCTGTAGGGACTCCCCTCCCTACCCCCATCGTCACCTTGCTCCCTCACCATTCACTTTGAGTACCACTCTCCAAGATTGGTGCTTGGAATGGCAGCACCAGCATGCCTAGTGGGGCAAGTCTGGGCCCCATCCTAGAACTCATTCGTAGGTGGAGAGTGGGGCTCAGCAATGTGAGTTTTAACAAGTCATCCTGGTGATTCTGATGCACACGCAGTTCTAAGAACCACGGGTTCCCCTAACTGTCTGCTCATAAAGCTGCTCTTCAAGTGGGGACAAAACAAGGGTGTGAGGAAAGCCCTAGAGAGGAGAGGCTTTGTCCTGTCTGATACCTTGAGGATCACTGAAGAGTGAGAATTCGGCATCTATCGCACTCCGAGGGAATGAGGGCAGGCGGAGGAGGTCTTCCTGAAGCATGGAGACGTGGGACTGTTTGTGGGCTGTGGGGATCTTCTGCGTGAGGGAGATGAGAAACAACACCCGCCCCACCTCCTCCAGCTTCCTGGTGAACACCTAACAGAAAACAAAAGCAGGAGAGGAACTTCTGAGTTGCAGAGTACAGAAACTGGAGCAAAATTCTCAGTAACAAGTCGGGTTGACAAAATGAAAAAGGGAAAAGCAGAATAAGGGAGAAAGGCTTTTTTTCTGATCATACAGAAAGCAAACAATACTTAGTTAACTCTCAGTCTCTGCTTCCATCTGCTTGAAGAAGGAAGAGTTTCTTGTGGAGTTTGCAGTCTGCAGGAGCAGAAGGCAGCATTGTCAAGAGAGTTCAGTATTCCCAAAAGCCTATTTGTCTGGGGGGGTCATAATGTGGATGATCTTCTTTTACTGGGTCAGTTTCAATTGCTTCTACAATTTCCTCAGTGCTTCAAACTGTTTACTGGCAGTTCTGGATTTGTCTCTTAAAAAAAAGGTTGAAATGGAACCAGGAAAAACCTATCTTGAGGAAAAAGTTCATGGGCCCTAATTGGTGCCCTTTGTCCCTGAGCCTAGGTGGCATGCCCAAGCACATGGGACTCTTGGTCCCTTCCCTTACTTCCATTTCTCTTGACGATCAAGTGAGCAGCCAGATGCTCATAAACTATAAGCGGCTGTTGAGGGACTTCTGAGCTAGAAACATAGGAATCCATATTGTCATCTCTCTGGGGAATTTAAAAGCCTTAAGATTCCAACTTAGAGTATACAAATAGGGTCTCATTTCATGGCACTCTTTTGAAATACGTTTTTGAAAGATTTCCTTAAACATGGTAAATACATGCAAGCAAAGCACCATTATTGATTATGCTTTTATTTATTGTTGATTATCCTCCATCAAATTAGAGTCTAGGATCATTTGGTAAAATTGTTTTAGAAGTTGTTCTAAAACATTTCATTTTTTGCCCAACACCTCACACCTTGCAACACATTTAGTATTTTCTTTCTTTCAAAAGTAATTTAGGTAGTTAACAGTAGCTATTTTGCTTAAAATGACTTAAGTTATCTAAATCTATTCCATTCTCATTTAGTTCTTGACATGGCAGAAAATAAAATTGAAATAATCAAGTATCCTGAAATTCTTGTTTAGATATTTTATTTAAAAAAAGGTAATATATAGACAATATTAAAATTGTATTGACTTTAGAATTGTGTATTAAAGCCATACTTTGCATGAAGAATGGAGAGTTTCCTTAAGGTCAAAGTCTGATTTGAGGCTACATATGTAAATATTATTCTGATCTTCAATCTTAAACCTAAAGACAACTACTTGATTTTGTCTCTTCCTGTTTTAAGAAATAATAGTAAGGTCAGATCCTTGGTCAGTAGCAGAGCTGAATGGAATACAATCTCTAGTCCTTAGTTCAATGCTTTTTTTTTCAGGATAACAATATTGACCCCTTTTACTTTTTTTCTAGCTGGTGGAAACTTCTGATACTGATCTAGAGGCTACAGTATATGTACTTCTTATCCTGTTTCACAGAAATGTGAAATGAATATCACACTTATAAATCAATGGGTAAAAGAATCAGGATTTCTACAGCTTATATTCAATAATTCATTACGGCATTACTCTATGTGATTTGTTCTTAATGCCTATTCACCATCCAATCTATAAAACGTAACACTATTTTGGGGGACAATCTATTAAACAAGGTCACTCATCTATTCTTTCCAGAGAGGATCACAATGGAATCACAGAAGCTCTGGGTGGGCAACATATTTACAGATGATCGGTTCTAATGACACCACGACATAGGATAGAACTGAGTGGTCAGTTACCTGTTTCTGAATGAGCTCCTGTCCCTTCTCTGGACGCATGTGTACGAGGTTCAGCTGTGGAGATACTGACCTCCGGAAGGGATAAATATCTCGAACATAGGTCTGTGTGGATTACACAAAGAGAGAGAAAGAAAATTCAAATGATTAAATTTTATTCATTTCCTTTTTACCCAAAAGTCAGAAAAAAAGTTCATTTGTTTTCTAACAGTTTTGATTCTTCATAATTTTATGCTTTCAAACTCCTGCTTTCAAAAGCTTCAACCCATCCAGGTGGGGTGCTCTTTCCAGGCACTGGGTGCTATGTCAGGGGCGAAGCTAGGAGGCAACATACTAGACGACACTCTGAAAGGAGAAGGTAACCTTAACGTAAAACCAGGGGTCATCCTGAGGGCCCTATGGCTCATTAGATCAGGTCACCATGGCCATGTTTAACATAGAAAAAGAACCAGAATGGCTTTAAAAATCCAAGTAGACACACATAGTTTTTATATGGGCAATTTAATTTTTCACTTTGACATAATTATGATGAATAACCACATGCTCTCCTGGCCTACCTCCATCAATGATTACAACTGCCCTGAGGCAGATACTATCATCATCTTCACTTTACAAAAGACACTGAAGGGCAAAAAGGTAAAGCAACCCTTTCAAAGTCACGTAGACCTTAAGAGGCCATACTCTGCCCCTCTAAACAACCAGGTCCCCCTCACTGCCAGCTGTGCCTAGGAAAGGTGCTTTGAACCTTTGGCATAAACATGTGCGTCATTACTGCAGTCTCACCTTATTGTAGTGGATAAGATTCCATCTCTTATCCATCAGGAAATAATGTGTGGACTGGGATTCGGGGATGTTGAAAAACTCCAGACACTCCTAGAACAATAGCAACAAATTTTAATATATGTTTACCAGGAACATATTGTTTGTTAGTTAATAAGGTAGAAGACACAAGTATTGGAAGAACAAGATAACTTCTTACAAGGATTTTAAAATATTTTTCATATATTATATATATATGTATATATATGAGGATATATATTCATGGTTATATAAAAAAAGACTAATAAATAAAGACTAATCATGTAATATGAACTGTCTGCTCTCACAGTGCTCAAAGATGTCCTGTTATAATTCAGACCAAGTGATGAACTGTGGGGACACAGTGGCACCTACTGGTCTCAATATCAAGGAAAAAAACATGTTTGGTAAGACTATTAAGGAAAATACAAAGTGTAATACATTGAACACTTATTACATATCATATACAATGCTTTCCACGTAGATAACTTATATAACCTGAACTAGATTCCTAGTATTGTTGAAAAAGAAACTGTGGCTAGAGAGGCCCTATTATTTGATTTGGGTCATGCTGGCCATGGTGGAGCAAGGTTTGAACTTGCAGTTTGATTCATTACCATTCAACATGTGCATACAAATGGAATGGTTTTTGAATTTTGCTTCACTAGACCTTAGAAAATCTCTGGAGATGTCTGGGTAAAGTCTGAAGGAGAAGGAATGACCCCTTCCACTGAAATAAAATATACAAGTCTGGCAAAGATGAGTTTTTAGGAGGCTTTTCTACTTACATCTGGATCCAGAGTTGTGTTCCAGAAAATTAGATTACTGAAAGTTTGAACTTCAAACAGGGAATTACTGTATTAGTTTACTTACTACTTTATCTTAAGAACCTTGCAGGCAAGTGTAGCTATTGATTATATTTCTTTTCAGGAGAATCACTGCCATAAATACTTTCTTGGTCCACCTGATTTATTCTAAGGTATATATTTTATTTAGAGACAGGGTCTCACTGAGTTGCTTAGTGCCTGGCTTTTGCTGAGGCTGGCTTTGAACTCGAGATCCTCCTGCCTCAGCCTCCCCAGCTGCTTGGATTACAGGTGTGTGCTACCACGCTCAGCTTGTTTCACCAATAATTTCTAATGGTAATAAGTCAAGACTGTATACAGATTCAACTGGGTGCCACAAAAGGGATCTCTGGTCTGATCATTAGCCAACAGCTAAAGGTTACCCCAGTGCCATCAGTGGGCAAGACCAGGTCACCTTCAGAATGACCACAAGTGATGCTAGGAAGCTCCTAAGGTGGAATTCACAGAGTTCCAGGGAAGTGAGGAGCAACATCAGAGTTCATGCTGCTGCTACAACCAAGACAGGACTCTCCTGACTTGGCCTACTTCAATGCAGAGCTAAAAAATGTCAGTGAAAACTGGGGAAAATGACATAAGTACCTAATAGTGGGGCAGATTCTCAAAGAGTAAAGAATAGCGTACATTCCTTTGGAGATAGAAAAATGCCATTTATTTCTAAAATGGGTGTTTATAGATGTGACCATGGACATTGTGCATAAAAATCATTTTGTCAAAGGTCATTCCTACCTTCAACAGGGCTTCAAACTGAGTGTCTTCATGGACTGGTAACTGGGTTGGAATGTCACACTCATTTTGTCCATGAACTACCAACGTTTTGGTACCTACAGACAATAAAAATCACAATAAATGGACCCCACTACAGGAAAGTTTGTATTTAAAGCAGAAAGCCTTAAAATATTATCAAGTTGATTCTTAATTTATAGTTAGTGAGTGCTTTTTTAAATATTTTTATTCTTTTCACAATATCTTTATTTTTTTGAGAGAGAGAGAGAGAGAATTTTTAATATTTATTTTTTAGTTCTCGGCGGACACAACATCTTTGTATGTGGTGCTGAGGATCGAACCTGGGCTACACACATGCTAGGCCAGTGCACTACCGCTTGAGCCACATCCCCAGCCTGTTAGTGAGTGCTTAATATGAGTATTGGACTAATTGTACTCCTTTATTCATAGCTGAATGTGTATTTTAAATATGTTCACTTCTTAAACAATGATAGCTACCATTTATGGAGTTCCCAATACTTTTGCCCACGTAATTGTATTTAAATCCCCCAGCAAACTCATGACGTGAACTTCATCTTACAAATTAGAAATATGAGAGAAACTGAGAAATTTTTTATTGTTGTTGTTACCAGGGATTGAACCCAGGGGCACTTAACTTCTGAGCCGCATTTCCCACCCTTTTTAATATTTTATTTAGAGAAAGGGTCTCACTGAGTTGCTTAGGGCCTCACTAAATGGCTGAGGTTGGCTTTGAACTCACAATCCTCCTGTCTCAGTCTCCCAAGCAGCTAGGATTATAGGCATCCACCACCATGCCTGGCTAGAGAGAAATTTAATAATATATCCAAAGACATATATTTATTTAGTGGGAGAGTCAAAATTCAAACCTTAAGCACTGCAACAAGTAATACACTCCTGTATTTTAAATGAGATAACCTGGCAATGACAGTTGAAAAAATATAAACAAAGATATCAGCAAAACCAAAACAAGTTCCTGAAATGTAGTTTAAATGCACATTTTCTGTACTCTACTTTAGCTGGTTAAAACATGTTATTTTGGGTTAGGAATAGAGCTCAGTTGGCAGAGTGCTTGCCTCACATGCACAAGGCCCTGGATTCAGTCCCCAGCACCCCCCGCCCCACCACCACACACACACACATGAAAAAAAATGTTTATTTTAACTTCATTTATTAATCATACAACTTTGTGAATATTATAATATACCTTGATTTTTAACAAGTTGTTCTAAAGTATATGAGTGACCAAATGAATTTGTTTACAATAACAAAAACTGATCACATTTTTGGATACTCTACAGAACACACAAATATTCAACTGTTTATTGAATGCTTCCCATGGATCAGGTATGGCAGCAAGTATTTTATATACTTAAACTCATTGATTTCTTGTGATTGTGAAGTATGAATTATATTCCTATTTTGCACACAGGGAAAGAAAACCTTACAAAAAAATGATGTTCTTTTCACAGCTGATACTAATTGTATGACTGATAAATGGCAGTGCTGACTTAACACAGGCTTCTCTGCTGCCAGAACCTATGTTCTCATCTCTGAATATCTTTGTCTTTCTCTTTATTTCTATTAAAATGACCAATTCTTTTATTTTTATCGTCACTGAACAAGGATAAAGGCTTGGTAAAATCTTTATCTTAAGGACAAACAAGCTGTGTGAAGTGAAAAGGAACTGTATCTAGAGTTCATATCACACTTGATGTTCTTTTGTAATTCTCCCTCTTCCTGCTTTTCCCTTTTCCAATCTTTCATAAAGCCATCTCTCATTGAGTTTACAAAGGACTGGGGTCCCTGCCATGCAGACAATATCATTCTCCTTGCAGTGCCAAAAATTCACTCAAAAAGGCTTTCAGTTCAGCTTTCCTCTGCGAGAGACTTCCATACATCTTTAACCTTGGCAGTCCTTCAAGGATCTCAGTTCTGATGTGTCCCTTTTCATCTGGCAACTGCTCACTTTTTAAAGGGTCTATTGTTTTTCTCTGATTGGATTAAACAAAAATTCTTTGATGCACTCCATTCTAGGGGTTAGAACTCTGAAAATTTTCTCATGAATGAAAGAGCATCCATGGTCTTTCAAAGGGCTATTCATAATTTTTTTTTTTTTACCTGGCATTGAAGCAGTCACCAGGAGCTTTACTTCACACTGTTCCTTCTTCATTGTCTGCTTGAGGTCCTTGAAGAAAAGGCCCTCCACGTACCCAACCACCTCCCACAGGAAAGTCAGAGTGGCTGAAATGGCATCCATTCCCCATTCACAAGGGGTTCGCACGAAGTACATGATCAATCCCACCTGAAATTAGAACAAGCGACAAAGCCACAGTGATCCTGAGCTCACATTCTCATTTCCCTGGCTCTTCTTTTTTAAATTTGGATCTTCTCCTGTGACTTCAATTTCTTTGTTCAAATGCTTCTCTAACACTTTCAATGGCACTGAGAGGGTGGAATTAGAAAATTGACAAACAGGCTTCCATATATTTTTATGTATCATTAAAATGACCAATTCTTAAGAAGAAGGCATAAAAATCATTCTTACAGACACCATATCTCCTAGTATTCTCAGGCACAGAAGCCATCCAAAATTAATCTGTATGTGATGTTTACCCACACACCAGCTGCAGCAAATAGTCTAATAGTCTGAACCTAAGAATGCCCTGCTTTGCCAAATCAGCAAATTCTAAAGTTTGATTTGTGTGTCCTCTAACATGTTGAAAAAAATGTGTCATTTTGCGTATTTTAAAGCTGACATTTAAAATGTCTTCTAAATCTACTTTTTAGTAGAAAGTAGAATATTTAACATTCTATACAATGAGGAGTGACTATAATTGGAATATTTGATGTAATAACTCTTGACTACCTTTCAATAGTACACAACGAAATCAGAAAAGAATAATGTAAAATTTTCCCCTGTAGGTTTAGCCATTGTTTCTTGAAAAATTCAGCAGTCCTGGGAAACTTTTCCATTATATTGAAATAATAAGGGTCACTAAACTCATTTGCTTTGATGGTTCTGAATGCTAATGCTTTAATGAGGGTCAAACATCACCTCTAGCAGAAATCTATAAAAGATGGAAACCAGATGAGCTTAAAGTGTCTCGATTAGTCAGAAGTGTGTCTTCCTTAAAACTGGTGTGCATTTCCGATTTTGTCTGTCTTATGTGCTATCAGAGCATTCAGGTGCCAGATATCTGAGATATCATGGGCCTTCTTTGTGTACAGTAGTAGATTGGTGACTGAGATGGCAGACAAGCTCAAGAACTGGTTCATGCTTATTAAGGATTTTGAGATGTATTCAAAAACATCTTAGAACTATCAAGGTACCACACTCATGCAAAAGTCTTCACATTCCCACAGTTACTCTTGCCCCACATTAAAGTTGCCAGGTCAAGTCAAACAGTGGATTTAAGAGTCTAGAAGTGATGAGTCAGTGTTGCCAACATCCCCACCATCTATACCTCTGACAGCAATTAGAAAAAAAGGAATATCTTATAAGGGTTATTTTAAAAAATTTGACTCTTCCCTTTACTGTTTTTTCTTTCTGAATACAAGCCCCTTCTCCTTGTCCACCCAAAGCAGACATCTGCCTGGGATTTGGGGAAAGAGTAGAGTCTGGACAGAAATGCAGAGATAGGAAGGTATATTCATGCAAAATAAGATTTTTAAGATTTAAAGCAAGGTCCAAATATGGCCATTCCTTTTCTCTATTAGCTTATCTGTTACCTGGGAGGACTTATGTTCACCTCTAAGGCTCACTTGAAATAGACAGAAGGAGAATATAGTAGAAGAAAAATTAAATGCTCATCTACTTGATGCAGAATTAAAAGATGGAGGAGAGTAATGATCTAGCCAAGTATTTGCCCTATCCGGTGACCTGGTAATGTGTGTGGGCAAGTGAAGGTAACATTCAAAGGGCTCTTGCCTCCAGTCTCTGGGTTTCCATTCCATACCAACCTGGACGCCATGTAAACTTGGCAGGGCACATACTTACACTGAGGGAGGCCCTGACATTTGTCTTTGCTAATCTATCTTTGCTTTTTTGTGTGACATAGCCAGGACCCCAAAACAGTGGACCCCTGACTGGAGAGTTTTCCAAATGGCTACAGTAGCTGAAGAGGACACTCTAGCTGGTGGACTTCCTATGCTTGAGCCAGACACATGGGCATTTACAGCACTAGCCAGAGTTGAGGTGAGATTGAGACTTCTAGCAAATACCACTGGAAGCAGACAGGCCTCATGTTTCCAGAGTCAAGGGCTTCCGTTTTTGCCAACCTGGCATCTAGCCACCAGTCAGACAAAGAACATTATCTCACAAGTATAGCAGCCAGAGGAAACACAGGGACAGACCCGTGAAGAAAGGTCTTTTTTCCTCCCCCACTCCACATGGTTCTTACAAACAAAAGCAGTGGGAAGAAGGAGGCTTCCTAGAGAATAAGCATTTTATCCAAGAAAGACTGAACACTATCCAAAAGTGCAGTTCATATTTTTGTATCAGTCTGAACTTATAACGAGATTGGACACTTATTTATATATTTTTTTCCCCTTGCCAACAGGCAAGTGGGCACTCCGGAAGACCAAATTAGTCACAGACAAGAGAAAGGAATTACAAATATTCTCTGCCCATGGGAGTTGTAGTGTGAGTTAAATTTGTCACCCAACTATGGATGCATATGCATATACATATGGACAAGTATTTCCCTGACGATAGTGAGGAAGAAGGAAAGGAGTTTTCCCGACAGAGACGTTAATTTGGCTTTCTGTCTGCCTGAATTAAGGTGTAGTTTCAAAGAATAGTCATCATGTCCCAGTCCCCCAAATGCATATTCATGTGAAGAAACTGGTAAGACCTGAAGTGTCAGGAAGGAGTTTTCAGATGAGGTTTAAGCATAGACAGCTGTCATGGAAAAATCCACTCACAAATATTTTCTACCTAGGGAAATACTTGCTCGTGTGTGTGTGTGTGTGTGTGTGTGTGTGTGTGTGTGTGTGTGTACAGGCATACACTTTAAATGGCAATACAGGAAAAGGGAATGAATGGCTAAAAATGACATGAAGGGAAATAAGGAAGTCGCATAATGCTAAAGAAAGAGTGGGAAAGCACGTTTGTGGAGTATCCACCAGGTGTCAAAACTGTGGCGGGCAGGGTCTTCCTCTACTAAGAGTGGTGGACTCCACTTACTGAGACTCACTTGTCTCTCAATTAATGAAAAATTATGTTTTAAAAACCCTGAGACTTTTATCTCATGTTCCTGCTTCTTACTTGGAAATCAACATAATCTATTGACTACTGACACTCACCAAGTAGTTGAATAGGATATGAGATGTCTGAGCAGGAAAGTCTCCAATGTTTAAGAGAAGTTTGCGCAGCATGTACATTAATTCATCCTGAAAAGAGAGCAGAATTTTAATGTCTTGTTCAGGTGCCATGCTGTAGGAAACAAAGTTAATTTGTTGAAAATTGGGGGAGATTTTTAACTTTTTGCTCAGACTTTAAATGCTCAACATTTTAATATAGTTTATGTGATGCACATGTATACTTATAGTACATGTGATACTCAGTATGTAACTAATCTTAGTATTTATCTAACACCTTTCTTCTAGGAGCTGACATAAATATCAAGGACATCTGTGTTTTTTTTTTTTTAATAAAACTTTACACTGTATCTACAGGTCATGGGTAAACCTTTAGAGCTGTATATTTAGTTAACTATCTGCCATGGCATGCCCTCCAAAGTGTGGTGGGAATGTAAGGAAGACCTATGTTGAGAAACCATTAAACAAACCAAGCTTACTAAACTTTTGAACTTCATAATTCTGTTTCCTAAGTTTTGAGTTAACAAGAAGAGTGAGGCCAAGAGAGGATAACTGGGCCATAACTAACTAATTTTCAGAAACTAAACCTAATATTCAAATGAATATGGTCATAATGTAGAAACAAATAATTTTTAATTATCAGTATATTTTTTTCATTGCTCAGCAAACTGTTTTTACATAATTTTCTTATAGGGTAGTCTGGCAAATTAGCTTTTTGACTAAAGAAGAGTGTTCACCTATTCTAATAACCCCACCTGTACCACAGACTCAGAATTCAACAAATGTATCCAAATTAACAACATTATACTAAATTTAGTCTTCGTTCAAAATATTGAGAGTCTTTCAGATTTAGGGTTATCACTAGTAACATACTTAAACACACAGATGTCAAGTAACAAATTTGAAAGAAAACAGCAAAATTTAATATTGCTCATCATCATTATTTTAAAAAGTACTCTTTGGCTATGTATGAGAGGACATTGATGTTGCATGCACAGCACTATACAGAGTCTTTAACTTGCTTTTTACAGTATTCACATTCATAACTACACTGTAAAGGAAGAGGAATTTACTTGTCTATTGCTGATTGTCAGTTTTTCCAGAAAATGTCGAAGAACAGTTGATGGATCTTCAATTAGACAATTCCATAAGACTTGTTGGGCCACAGCACTCACTTTAGAAGAGGAAAAAAAATTGAACATTTGTCTTAAATGGAGATAAATCTATTACACACTATTCAAACAATTAACCAAGCTTAAATTAGTTTCTCCATTTTGCCTTAGAAAGATTCTCTAAACTCTTTTTCTTTTGAAAGGTGAATATTCGTTCTTTTTCTTGTTCCCACTGAACATTTTCACATGTAAAGAAAAGTTAAGAAAAAAGAGTAAGATGGTCTTTAAGTATTAGCATTGCAAAGAATAACTTTGTGAACACACGCAGTTGTCTGTGTTGTGGAAACCACAATAATATGAGCAGTGGTAAGTCTTTATTAAAGTCATATTTCATTGCTTATGACATAAATTCCTAAAGTAATTATTTAGTGTTGGAAAATATATTTGGTTAAAGTGCACATGAATTACAGATGGTCTTTTAAAGTCTACATGGATGTGTTAAATAATATCTCTTTTGGTAAGTTAAAGTAGTTAAGCCAGTACTAATTGGGTTCCCGTTACTGATGAGAGACTCTTAAAAATAATCAGTCCTCATGAGAAATGATGTGCTCCTACTTTGGAAAAGGTAGTCAGGCTAAGATTACCTGCAAGCATCCAGACTAAGAAAGCCAGTGGGCAAAGGGATCAGTCTAAATAGCATTCCCAATTCCACTAGTTTTCTAAACTAGGTGTATAGAATTTAGCATAAATTTATCCTTCAGTCTATATTTTCAACAAACATTACCAATTATTGCTTCAGAAATTAACCATCCAACTGAAATTCAGAGCCTTATAAATCAATAATATGAATAAGAAATACATAAATACTAAGCTTTAGCATTCATGTATCCCATAAATAATTTTGAAAGGTGTGGATTTTTGTTAGGTTTGAAATTGGTTGCAAAAATATCTTTACAATACTTTTTATTCTCATTATTCTAATAAGGCAGTTTGATGCTTAAAACCTGGAAAACACAGAATACCACAAAGGGAAAAATAAAAATGGGAAGACCACCAATCATAATAATAGCTATGAACAGTCTGGAGGATGTCATTTTATATATAGGAAATACATACTTAACATATATGTTGAAACATTATATAGGAAACATTGTTTCATACTCAATTTTTTAATTTAGCAATATGAAGAACAGTTTTTATGTTAATATTCTAGAATATGATTTCTTATGTGTACAGAATACTCTCAATTGGCGTAAAAAGATTAATTTAATTGTCTGTGGTATAGCACATTTAAATTTTTTCCAGACTTTTGTTTTATATAATGTTCAGTGTCCTTTATAAACTTTTATATAGTCTCCGTTTTTGCTTTATAAAATTGCTAGAAACCAATGTTTTACACTTTTAAGTTTTTGATCCACATAATAAAACCCCATTCTAGAACGCTTGCACCAAATTTTATGCTTGAACACCAAGTTTTGAGGATGCTCTTTTTCCTGCCTCTTCACCAACTGGGGTATTTTAAGGAAATCTTTGCCTACTTTGTAACTGACATATAAGCTTTCACTGTTGTTTTAAACAGCTGTTTACAGGTGTTAATGGCCAATAAACTGTTCATATCCTTTGCCCATTTTTCTACAGGGGTTTTTAAAATTGATACTGAGTTTTAACTTTATTCTTAATTCAAAAATTTAAGAATATTAACCTTTTGTCTATCACAAGTATAACTCATCTACCCCTAGTTTTTCATTTCATTTTGCAATTAGGAAAGATGTTTTTTGTGGTGTCAAATGAATAGCTAAAATTTCTAAGATGGACACAGTGACTGTTTCATTTCTACTTGACCAAGTTAAGTGTTGTTTTGTTTTCTGGTCATAGATAACCTTCCTGGACCTAACTACTTCTTTGTCAATGCTATTTATTGGTTATACAAGTATGAGAGGAGGAGGTCATAAATTGATGAGATATGGAAGTTTATAGCATGGCAGACTAACCTATTCCTGCTGCAAAAGTGACAGTGTTGGTATTCTAAGCCACAAATCTGTAGTTATAACAAATGATAAAACCATTCAACATGTGGGTAACATGTTCAGTGGGTAACATGTTCAAGAGGAATCTACTGTTCTCCATCAGATGAACCCTTAAGCCTATGACGGAAGGTGTGACGGGTCAAACTGTACCTGCTACTCCGTCCTCCCGCACCTCACCGTCCTCCATGAGATGAACGATGGGCAGCACTGCTGCACAGATGCATGCAGGGAACACGGCCTGTGGGGGCTGTGGCACATGGTGGTTTGGTGTGTGTTCCGTGGTGTGCTCCTCATCTGAAGGGGGAGACAAAATCGGGGTGCTTTCCCCAATGCTGTAATTCTAATACAACAACATTTCAGTTCAGTTCAAGTCTTACCGACTTAGTGGTATAATCATCAGCAATGATGAAATATCATAATTTTTTAAAAATTGGATTTACATAGAGTGTCTCCTCATGTTAAATAACAAAACCAACCCACTTCACAAATACTGTCTTTTTTTCTTGTTTTATGGAGAAAGAAGCATGGACATTCTGGGTAGATCAGCTCATAACATGAACTCAAAGATCACATTTTAAGTGGAGACTAAGTCGTTTTTCACAGATGCAACTGGAAGTGGTAAGTACGAATACAGAGTAGCAAAAAACATATACACATGTTCCAGGTGAGAATAACAGCCCACTCATATTTATGTTCTTATGTTCACTGATAAATATGATTAATAATAAATTTGAACAATTATTTCATATGGGAATACAATGAGTTTAGATTTAATAGTCAAGGAATGTAGGAAAGACATTTTACAGCTCAATAAAAAAACTAATTTTATTATTAATACAAAGTAAGTCATTTTTCTAGAGTGCTTAAAGAACAGGGAGTCTTTGATTCTCATATTTCAGTGTATGTAGTTATTTGGGATTTTAGAGGTCTTATGAAGGACTGGAGGGTAAGAGACTTACTTAGTTGCTCTCAGTCCTGGTTTCACCCTAGATGTATATGAAAATCTTTAAACAGTATATGGACAGATACACTGGGTAGGCACTTAAGGAATAATAATAAAGATTACCCAAATCTAACACAAAAGCAATAAGAACATTGGAAAATATAGTCAAAATAAACATTCTCAGAACTTTAAAAATTAACCAAAATCTGAGAACAATTTAAGGAGTGTTTGTTAGAAATCAAAAAGCAGAATCTTGATATGATTGCTAGTGTTTTTGCTTTTTTAACTTTCTCTCTTCTCTCTGCCTTTCTTTGGCTTCTTGGTAGCCTTGGAAATTAGTAGCTGCATATCCATGGCAGATGTAAATACCAGCAGCCTAACAGCCTCTAGGGGGTATAGCAGGTTTGGAGCTCCCAAAAACCTTGTCACTAGAGAAATGTCACAACTTGAACTATTTAGCCACTATTTGGAAAATCCCCACGCAGAGTGCTTGTCTTTATTTGACTTGGCTCAATGCTTGCTTAGTGCAAATGATTTATACCTAGGTCATTGGCCAAAAAGAATTAGCAAACAACTGTCTCACATTACAGCTGGCTGAGGTGCTTATATCAGCTGGGGCAAGCAGGAATCTGCAGAAAAAACATAAAGGAAAATCTGGAGAATGTAGGTCTCTGACACATTCTTGGTATCTAGATGGCTGCATGCATGTGCAAGGGTGTGCTCTCGCTCATGAAAGACCTAAATTCCTAACCTATCGCTTCTGGCTGACCTTGAGGCTCTGCCCAAGCATAAAGTGAAACAGTGAAGGCCAAGGCAGAGTCTTAAACTACTGGAACACGAAGGTGACTCAGTACATCTATAGAGCCCTCTAGCAAAGGCTAGGAGACTCTTCAGTACATGGCATTTAAGAAAAAGCTCTGTCTAATCATTACCTGATCACTAATTTAACTTAAGAGATTTAGGTGATCATACTCAAGAAAGTATGCAGATTTTTAACAATTAGTCCAGAACAGTCAGTAACCAAACAAATAATAACACAACTTCTACCAATAACACGCCCCAATTTGGAAAGAGGATGTCTGATTTTCAAAGCTGCCACATGATGCAACTTAAATTTTCCATTTTTTGATAAAAAATTATGAAGCATGCAAAAAAATCAAGAAAATACTGCCCATAGAGAAATAAAAGCAGTCAATAGAAACTGTCTTTAAGGAAGCTTAGATTTGGGACTCAACTAGACAAAGATATTCTATCAGTAGTTGTATTTTCTATTTTAATACTTTATAAATGTTACATAAACATGACAGCTTTAATACAAAATAACAATAAAAATAAATCTGTCTTTTGCATACCATATCTTTTACATGCAAAATGGCAAATATAAATCTTATTTTATCCATAATTACATTAAGTAAAAATGGACAAAATATTCCTATCAAGAAACAGAATGAGCAGTAAAAATAAAAAGTGAAAAAGAACTTGAGAGTATTATGTTAAGTGAAATAAGCCAAACTTGGAAAGTCAAGGGTTGGATGTTTACTCTCACAGGTAGAAGATAGAGAGGAAAAAAAGTGAGGGGGGATCTCATGAAAATGTAAGTGAAAGGGAGCCCAAGGTAAGGATAGAAAAGGAGGGAAAGAAGTTGACCAAATTATGTTACATGTATTTATATGTGGGTTTATACATATGAATATCTCACAATGAATCCCACTGTTATATATAATTATAAGGTACCAAAAAAATAAATTAAAAAAAAAGAAACATGACTTAAATATATAGTGTTTTTAGAGTCATAGAGTTTCAGAGACACAAATAAGACGGAAGAAAGATGGAAAAAGATATGCCATATGGACAATAGTTAAGAGAAAGCTGGAACATCTATATTATTATCAAATTGAATTTTAATATAAAAAATTTTACTAGAGGCAAAGGAAGACATGTTATAACTATAAAAAAAATCAACCTATTGGGAAAACAATTTTACATGCATTTGTAACAACAAGAGAGCCCCAAAACTTAACAAGCAAAAACTGACAGAATTAAAGGGAGAAATAGATAATTCAATAGTAATCACTACAAACTTCACTATCCCACTCTCAGTAATGTTTAGAACAACTAGACAGACTTCATCAAGAGAACAGAGGACTTGAACAGCATTATAGACCAACTAAACCTAACATACATAAGCAATAATAATTAAACATTTTTCTGAAACATAGTTCAGAATGTATGCAATCACACACAAGCCTCAATGAGTTTATTTTTTTTAAAGAGAGAGAGAGAGAGAGAGAGAGAGAGAGAGAGAGAGAGAGAGAAAGAGAGAGAGAGAATTTTTTAATATTTATTTTTTTGACGGATACATCTTTGTTTGTATGTGGTGCTGAGGATCAAATGCGGGCCACATGCATGCCAGGAGAGTGCACTACCGCTTGAGCCACATCCCCAGCCCCTCCATGAGTTTAAAAAGGTGAAGTAATATGTTTTCTGACCCTAAGAGATTAAATTGTATATCAATAACTGTATAAGAACTTGGAAATTTACAAATATATAGAAATCAAACAGTTAATTCCAAATAACCAATGGTCAGATATTGAATTACATCATAAAATACTATTCCTTGAAAAGGATCAATAAAATTGACAAATCTTTAGGTAGACTGAGAAAGAGAAAAGAAGAAAAGACCCAAATTGCTAAAACTGAGGAAAAAGAGGGCACACATCACTACCAATCATAATTATCAATATAATAAGGATTGCAAAGAAATATTAAGGACAAGTATACATAAATAAATTAGAGAATGTGGATTAAATACACAAGTCTCTAGGAAGGCATAACGTAAAGAAGTTGACTAGGGAAGAAATAGAAAATTTGAATAGATTTATATCAAAGAGATTGCTATAGTAATTAAAAAAAAAACTTTCCACAAAGGAAAGCCAAGACCCAGGTAACTTTATTGGACAATTCCACCAAATACTGAACAGATATTTAACACTAATTCTTCACAAAAACTTCTAAAAATTAGAAGAGAAGGAAACACTTCTTAAATCAGTCTAATAAGTCAGTATTGCTTTGTACTGAAACTAGATAATGACATCACAAGAAATGAAAAACAGATCAGTATCCCTTATGTGTATAGATGAGAAAATCTTCAACAAGCTATTAGTAAACTGAATCTAGAACTATATAAGATTATATACTATGACCAAATGAGATTTACCTCAGAAATGCAAGGAAAGATAAACATATAAAAAGCAACAAATATATCTTAATAGAATGAAAAAAAAAACACCTCATGAGAATTTCAATAAGTACAAAAAAGCCTTTGATAAAACTCAACACTTTTCATAATAAAAAAGAAAATACAAAACTAGGAAATGAAGGGCACTTCCTCAACATTATAAAGGCCATTTATTAAAAACCCACAGATTTTTTTTAAAATAAAAAATCCACTAACACTAACTGGATTAAGTTAGTGAATACTTAATAGTAAAAGACTGAATGCTTTCCCCCAAGATCAGAAACAAGGCAAAAATATCTGATCTCACCTCTCCTATACAAACCATACTGGATGTTTAACCAGTATTATTAAATATAAAATAAAGAGAAAGATTAGTAGGAAAGAAATAAATTATCTTTATTTGCAGATGATATAATTTCGTGTATAAAAAAGCCTAAGGAATCCACAAGAAACTATTAGAAGTAATAAACTATTTCATAGAGGCTGCAGGATACAAGATATAATATACAAAAATCAACTGTATTTTTAAAAGACTTTTTAGTTATAGATGGACACAATATCTTTATTTTATTTATTTTTATGTGGTGCTGAGGATCAAACCTAGTGCCTCATGCATGTGAGGCAAGCACTCTACCATTGAGCTACAACCCCAGCCCTCAACTGTATTTTTATGCATGGGGAATAAAATCTCAAAAGTAAAATTAGAAGAATAACTTATTTTTTTGGGGGGGGGAGGTGGGTACTGGAGATTGAACTCAGGGCCACTTAACCACTGAGCCACATACCCAGCCCTATTTTGTATTTTATTTAGAGACAAGGTCTCACTGAGTAGCTTAGTGCCTTGCTTTTGCTGAGGCTGGCTTTGAACTTGCAATCCTCTTGTCTCAGCCTCCCTTGCTGCTGGGATTACAGGTGTGCACCACCATACCTGGCAGGAGAACACTTTTAAATAAACTAGCATCAAAAATAATAAAATACTTAGGAATAAATTCAATGAAAGAAGTACAAGACTTGTACACTGAAAGCTACACATATTGTTGAAATAGGACCTAAATGAATGAAAAAGTATGCGTGTTCATTGATCAGAAGACTTAATAAATCCCACAGTGATCTACAGATACAATGCAATGAGATCTCATGTGTCTTTTTTAAGAAGTTGACAAAATAATCCTCCAATTCACATAAAAGTGCCAAGAGACCAAGATTAGCTAACATAATTTTGAAGAAGAAAAACATAGTTGAAGAACTCACATTTTCCTTAAAAAAATCTTACTATAAAGTTACAGTAATCAAGACTTATATATGCTACTGACACAAAGTATGGTACTGACACAAAGATTGAAGTATGGATCAATAGAATAGAAAGATCAGAAATAAACCATTACATTTGTGTTCAATTGATTTTTTACATTAATCCAAAAAAATTAATGAAGAAAAAGAATATCTTCAATAAATGGTACTCAGACAACTAGATATCTACATGCAAAAGAATGAAGTTGAATTCTAATATCATAATTAAAACATTAACTCAAAATTGACTGGACTCCTAAATATAAGTGCTAAAGCCATACAACTCTTGGGAAAAAAACATAGGAACAGATTTTTGTTATCTTGGGATACACAATTGTTTCTTAGATATGACACTAAAAGTACAAGTGACAAAATTTTATATATATATATATATATATATATAATTTTATATACATCTATGCATATAAATTTATATATATATAATATATACATATATATATTCACATATATGACTTAAATAAAATTACAATCTTCCATGTTTCAAATTTGCCATTAAGAAAGTAAAAAGCCAAACCATAATGGTTTGGAAAATATTTGTGAACCGTTTATCTGACAAATGGCCTGTCTCCAAAATATATAAATAATTCTTATCACTCAACAGTGAAATTAACCAATTAAAAATGGGCAAATAACAGTATGGATACTTTGTTTTACATCTACATACTTCTTTCATGTATTGAAATAAATGCTTTCTCATTTGTATTTCATGTAATTGTAATTATATCTTTTACATTAAATGATATGCAAATTTAATACATAAAAGTAATAAAGAAAATAAAGACAAAAGATTCAAATGGACATTTTCCTAGAGAAGATATATGAATATTCAATTAGCACATGAAAAGATAATTTGCATTAGCATAATGCAAATCAAAATCATAATGAGATAGCCATTTCACATCCAAAGGCATGGCTAAAACTAAAACAGACAATAAAGAGTATGGGAAAAGATGTGGAGCAACTGGAACCCTCACACTTTTTGATGGGAATGTAAAATGGTACAGACACATTGGAAATACTTTGGCAATTTTCCTCATAAAAACTTCCACATGTCTGTTCCTAAGAGCCTAATTCATAGTAGACAAAATGGAAACAATGTGATAGAAAATTATTTGGGAATAAATAAGAATGAAAACTTAATACATGCTACAATATGGATGAACCTTGATAATATTATGCCAAATGAAAAAAATCCAGTCACAAAAGAACATATATCATACAATTCCATTTATATGAAATGTGTAAAATGGGCAAATCCATGGAAATAAAAAGCAGATTAGTTCTTGCTGGGTTCAGGGAAGCAGTGACTGCTAATGGGTATGGGTTTTCTTTTGATATGAAAAAGATATTTGAAAATTAAGATAGTGAGTGTTACATATTCCGTGGATATACTAAAAACTACAGCACTGTATACATCAGAGATGAATCTTACGATACATGAATTATTTCTTATTAAAATTGTTATGAAAATACAGATACGTCTTGGGCCCCATCTCCATAAGTTGTGAATAACTAGCATCAGTCATTTTTCAAAATTCCCTAGGACTGTGTAGCAAAGGGTTGAGAATGACTGCTCTATTTGTTCCATTTCTGTATATATTTTTGCTGACTTCATAAATCAGTGATGATATCTATATAACCATATAGCAGTTAGCCAGTTGTTCATCATTAGAGAAGTATAGTTTTTATGTTTTGGGAGCTGAAGAACATCAGTCTGCCTCCCACCCCTCCCATATCAAGAATCAGACTTCATTACAGGAATTTCATGATATTTAGTCTTAATTTGATTGTTAAGTTACTCCAGAACAACGTCCTACACTGGAGTCACTGAAAGAGGGTTTAAAAGTACCAGATACATGGGTCCTACCTTCAGAGATTGTAATTGTGATAGGTCTGGACATTTTAAAAAAGCTTCCCAGTAATGTGAAGCCAGGGAAGAAAACCATTTACTGCCTAGAATAATGTCTTCAGGACTTTCAGCAATATGATTACATGTAATGTAATTAAAAGAGGTCAACTTAAAAATGAGAATTCTTGGTGAAATCAACATTTTTTTTTTTAAGGATTCCACTCTGGTTTTTCTTTTTTAACCTCAAATCATCAAATAAGTTCTTTAATGAGGACAAGTGTAAAAGTAATAAGGTGATGTTAACTGGAAAAAGATCCAAAACAATTGAGCCATGAGGAATAAAGAAGGCATTTGCAAGAGGACATACCTTCTGCGCTGACAGCTGAACGCACCGACCAGACCGACCCTCGTCGGAAGGAGTAATTCCTGTGGGAGGTGCTCGAGGTGCAGGAGGGGCTCACGGACAGTCGGCGGGATGCCAGATTGGTGACTTCTTCTACTGGCAAACAAAATGGGGCATGTGAACTTTACAACTCAATTTATCATCATCACAGATACAGTTATGCTTATACCACAAGTATACACTGCTTTCAGACCACAGGGCTAAAGTCACTTAGAATGACTAGGAAACAAAGACTCTACAAAAGAAAGACAAAAGTTCCTCCTAAAGTTTCTCAGGAAGTCAGAACACAGAATCACTGAAATTAAAATGATTCATAAATCATTTTTTTTATGTCAACTGACAAATTGTCTACATGTGTGAAGGCTGGAAACAGTTATTGGATTACTCTATTTTCAATGATGAAAGAGTGGTTGCATTTACTTTAATAAGCATTCTGAATTTAGCCAGAATCTGGAATCACAACCAAGCCTTCATCCAAGATCTGACGGGTTCCCTCAGCACAGCTCATGTTTTCCCTGGGAAATGGGCCAACTCTAGACTTTAGAAAGCAACAACTTCTTTCTTTGGATATTGTCAGAAAGTGATAGAGGTGGAGGGGGCATATCACCTCATATCACACAAGGTCATGAATTTCTATTTAAAAACAAGTCCTTTCCCTGTGACTCGGCCCCCAAAGAAGTCCGGGGTGCAGAGGGCACCTTCTTCTTCCGGCTCTGAGTTGGGTGTGCAGGTGGGCTCATAGCAAGCCTCCTGGGTGATGGGGATGGCAGTAATGAGGCTGGCTTCTCGACCCAGGCGTTTCTTCTCTTCCTCCTGCTGCAAGTTCTTTAAGATATGTTCTGCTCTTTGATGAGAGCGAGAGACAGCCCGGGCAGAAAAGGATTTCTGTGGAGACATGAGGGCAGGTTTATTTAGTAGGAACTCTTCCTGCAAGGTTAGAGTCATAAAGAACGACCTAATGAATTACACCCATGTGGTAGTTTGACCTCAGGAAATGTTAGGGCCCTTTATGATCCAGTTTTATGGAGATTTATTTGTTTTTCTACCAATTTTCTAAGTTATGTATGACTGAGCATTTTTTAACTCGATTAGAATAGTTATTGAAGAATATCTGTAATTTCTGGAAATAATCTTATTTAACTTTTAGGATTTTTGGTGATATCAGTGATTCACTTTTTAAACATTAACACTAAAAATAGGACAAATTCACTCTTCAAAATTTGGTACACATATTTTTGAACTGGCTTTAAGTGAAGGATATTCATTACATAAGGTTAACAAAATAGAAAGTTGAAACCATGGAAAGGAGGAGGAAGGAGATACATCTCTCATATAAACCAGTTAGTATGTGACTTATTCCATTTTTGTAACCAAGTATTTATTACACTTTAAATAATATTTGTAGATAAACACAGTGGCACAATGTAAATATTTAAATTGTAGAAATACAATTACTGAGTTTAGGAGAGTTGATAGTGTGACTATGGTTGAATATAAAATTTGATCTGTGTCTACTAGTACCAAAGGCATAAAGGAAAAATTTTAAAAAAATAGGACAAATTCACTCTTCAACAGGTGAATTTCACTTTGCAAAATGGCTATTCTATTTATGCCTTCCTTTTGCTGAGACAAATTCCAAGAGCTCTGGAGACAGTGGTCTCAGTGCAGGGAAATGATCCTGGAATTCTTCACAACCAATAGGAAGCAATCTCTATGTCCAACAGCAACTGCACATCTCTTTGTTGGCCTATAGTAACATAAGCTTCTAGAGTCTGATAAGAGATCTTGGTAACTCTTCTAAAGGTGGGCATGCATAGAAACCTTATTTGTTGCATATTAACATAAGACAAAAGGTTTACTATGACGAATGGCACAATAGCAGTTAAAAAGCATTTGATTGGACAATTCATTTTCAAGACTAGGTGGTTAAGCTGGCTTATTATATAGCAAAAGGTAAGAATTGTGGAGGGAGAGAAAGGGCTGGTTACAGAGGCAGGGGACTTTGTTTCAAACATATTGTAAAGTCGGGAGAGAGTTGGTTGGCTCAAGGGAATCCATTGCCTGTATGGGAGAAAAGTCAAGAATCTAAGGCTGGTGGTTCAGATGTTGTAATTACCACACATATGAGAAAAGAAACAGATGTGCCTTTCTCTTTAGCACTGGATCACGGGATATGAAGATATTGTACGTGAAAAAACTAAAATAAAACAGGCAAATTGCAATGGGTGAAGAGTTCAAACAATTCTCCAAGAAAACTGCAAATGCCTTACAAAGTCTGCATATGATATGCAAAATGTTCAACTTAACTTCAATATTCAACTAACTTTTTCAAAAGGGTGTGAATTAAAAAACCAATAACTATTTTTTGCCACTTGAGGTGTCAATTTAAAAAAACACACACATTACTTGGAATAGAAAAGATGTTTTTCTTAAGGAAAAATGTGTAAGGTAAAATGGCATAACATTTTTTTGGATATTTTGTTAGATGTATTGAAAGTCTTTAACATGTATATATAATTGCCATAAATTTGATGGGAATTTATTCAAGGAAAGATGATAGATTTGTGTAAAGAGATGAGTTCTTCTATTTTTGCTATGTTTTCCAAATCTTTTACATAATTCATAATTTGGAAAAGTAAGTAAAGCAGGCATATTTTGAGAATTGACTTTATCAATAGCCTCATATTCTTGGGTTTTGTGTGCAAATAGCTGTGTTCTTGACTTAGCTGTTAATGGGTTACATTTTACACAGCTGTGATATGGAAGAGCAGCATAAGACCTGAGGTCTGAGTGATATGTGTGGTGATGATATTGATGACCTGCAAAATAAGAAGCAAAAGAGGAAGTGGGAGTTCCCAACTCTCTTCTTTTTCTTACTCTTGCAGGGTCAGTATTTTTAACCTTCAGGTATTTCACATCTTATAGGTTAAATTAGTATATTTGCTGTATAATAGCAGCAAAGTGCTTCCATTGGTCAAGAAATCCATGCCTAATACTTTTAATAATTTTATAAGATGGCTGAAGCTTTTATAAAACAAAATTATGTTGACTGGAACGTATGCAAATGACCACTACTATGTGTTAGTTTCTTCTGTCACAGAAATGAACAACTCTATGAATGTTGTTACATTCTTTTAACAAGAACAAAGGAGTTATCTCACATTTATTGCTTTTCTCTTTTACATGTACTCCAGGCAGCTTGGAGATATGGGGGCAAAGTGCTTGATACTCACAGACTGATCTTCATTAATGGGGTCCTGGACACTCCCACTGCACTGAGGGACCCATGGAGGGTCAAACATTGGGACAGATGGCATTCCAAGCACTGGGGAGGGCAGGGTGAAGTTGATACTGGGAGGCGGGATCTGTTAGTTGATAACAGAAGAATGAGGTGAGCAAGATGAAATATGAGCCTGGAATGAGTCTGAAGTATAATTAAGACACAATCCATTTTAATAGGTGTCAAGGACCTATGTGACTCCTCACAGAATAGACAAGAAACAAAGAGAAGAGCTGTCTGAAAAGCTTTTTTTTTTTTTTTTTTTTTTGCTGGAGGACACACCATGAACCTCTCTGGGCCTCAGTTTACTCATCAATAAAATGAAAGAGTTTCAACTAAATGACATTTAGTTGTGTTAACTATCTTCCTCCAAAGGTACACAGATATATAGATCGATAAGATACATACACACACGTATTCTTTTAACAGCAAAATGCATAGAAGATTACAATCCACTTATATGTGCTTACCTCTGGGGATGTTAGTATGCTAATGAGGTTTTATAGAAACTTGATTCTCTATTTTACATTCTTCTGTATTTTGATTTTTCTTTTAGCAACAAGAACACATTCATGTGTGAGTTATGTTTACTTATATAATTAAAAAACAAAAGACAAGGTTTTCCTTCACTAGGCATTGTAGCTCCGACGTTCTTGGATTTAAACAAATCTTGGGTGAGTTTTGCTGATCAAATTCTCATGTGGGAAGTATCTCTCACCTTAAAAATCTGCTGTGCTCCCTCCTCCATCCGGGGCCAAACCTGATAGCGAAACCTCCAGAGCGTGTGGAATTTGAGGACAGCATTCAGTCTCTGCACAGTCTCTGGGTGGTGGAACTCTGACATCAACATGTCAGACACGGCTTCAGGAACCTTCACAGCACACAGCAGGAACATGGCAGCTAGAGACAGTTAATGATTCGTCAGCTATACATTTTTAAGTTTTGCTTGATTTCTGGGGTTGGGAAAAAGTGGTAGCTGCTTAGATCTTCTGAAAATGACTCCTGAGCTCAGATCCAAGCCACCAGCACTGGCCAAAACCACTAGAAACCAAACATCACTCTGATTCACCTATAATCATCCAAAATCTGTTGCAAAAGCAACAACAGCATGACATTTCAGTAGAATAACTTATGCTAAGCAAGGCTTCCTTTGGCTCACAGAGAAAAGAGAATGCCAGAGGAAGCCTATGAAAAAACAAATCACACATCAAAATACACTATTTATGAAGTGGCTAGAGTCATCCCACGGTAACCCAAGAACATTACATAAGATCCAATGCAAACCACTTCTGTATCATCAGTTGTATTTTAAAAATACACATTGCAGATTCTATTAGAAACTTCTACCTTTCTTAGAGATAGAAGAGATGGAGAAGCAAAAAGATTTCATGGATCATAATACTTCCATTTTATTTTTTAATTTTGGGAAAAGTTAAATATCAATAAGAGAAAGGTCAGGTGCTAATGAACAATGAGACTGATAAATATGCTAAAGCACAGATAAAGGGTCAGAGGCAATCATTAAAAACATATAAGAGGTTGTGAGGGGAAAGAGGGGGAAAAACAAGGGAGAGAACTGAACAACAACAGATGACGCAGAGAGGGAAGATGGGAGGGGAGGGGAGGGGGGATAGTAGGGGATAGGAAAGGCAGCAGAATACAACAGTCACTAATATGGCATTATGGAAAAATGTGGATGTGTAACCGATGTGATTCTGCAATTTGTATTTGGGGTAAAAATGGGAGTTCATAACTCACTTGAATCAAATGTATGAAACATGATATGTCATGAGCTTTGTAATGTTTTGAACAACCAATAAAAAAAAAAAACATATTCTAGAATCTCTCTTCTTTTCTCCCCAGAGCCTCAAAACACGCTCAGTCTTGGTAGAAGACCCAGAGCAGGGCCTTAGTCCTCACTCTTCTCTACTTTGTGATCTTGGGCAAGCCTTTTAGATTCTGTTAGCTTCCATTTCCTCACTGATAAACTGGAGGATGATGACACCTGACTTCAAATTTGTTGTTAAAATAAATCAAAGAATGTATGAGAAAGTGCTTTGTAAAGTGAATGGTGTCGCACAGTTCTAAAGTACATTTCATCTTTCCATGACAATATGGTAAAATGGGAAGGGTATTTACAACGTGCCATCAGATCTGGGTTGGATTTTCTGGCTAATTCTGAACTGTGCAGATTGGATAAGTTCCTTCAACTCTCTGACTTGAGTTTGCTCATCCTGAGAATGATCTATCAGTAACACGTTGTCTGTGGAATATAGTTCTATAACAACTGTTAGTTATTGTGATCCTTGGTTTATTAATATCCTTTTTATTCCTAGCCTACCAGCTGCCTAAGTCTCTACTCTTTCTCCTTTTTTTAACTTCCCTTTAAAAATATACTCTATACTGCTTTAATTTTTAAACATCATGCTCACTCTTTAAATCACTGAGGCTCTAATCTCTTTACAACAGTAGTTTCCTTATTGATTATCAGATCCATTGGTATATTTTTTACCGAATGTTTTTACCCTTAACACCTTTGAAACAATCTACTTGAGACTTACTCTCTTTTATTTCCATGGCTTGAAATCATTAATTTTTTACTTTTCTTATCCCTTTTCCTGGGTCCCCATCTGCTGCCATTATTTCAGCTGTCACCTACATCAACTTGTTCCCAAGTTTATCTCTGGTTTCAGCTTTTCTCTTTTTGGGGGAGTGGGGGTTACTAGGGATTGAGCTCAGGGGCACTCAGCCACTGAGCCACATCTCCAGCCCTATTTTATATTTTATTTAGAGACAGGACTCACTGAGTTGCTTAGTGCCTCACTTTTGCTGAGGCTGGCTTTCAACTCGTTATCCTCCTGCCTCAGCCTCCTGGGCTGCTGGGATTACAGGCGTGTGCCACAATGCCCAACTGCCTTTTCTCTTTACTTCTTCCAGGTCATGTCTCCCAACTCTATGTCACACACTACCCTCACCTAAAAAAAAAAAAAAAAAAAAGAAAGAAAGAAAGAAAAAAGAAAAATTTCTATTTCTAAAACCAAACTATTCTGCTCATTGCAGCCATATTAAACTTGGTAATAATTCAGTCTCTTATGCACATTTTCTTTTTGGCTCAGAGCCCATGAATAATTTCTCATATAGCAATTTTAGAAAGTCCACAACCCTAACTCTGCCATCCAGGGTCTGTGGCAATCCAAGTTCCACTCACCTCTCTAATTTTATGGATAGTTGGTCTCTCTGGAAAGCTACTCTAGTGGTCAAATCAGTCTCCAGTCTTTCCAAGTAAGCCCAGTTTATTTCCACACCAACACCATTTTCCCTGCTTGGCTAACTTTTAGTCATTCTGAAAGCCTGGTCCACCTTTATATTTTCCCTTGGAGTCTCCATGACTGTCCTGATTTGGGAAAGAATGCCTTCTGTAGCTCTCCGAGAGAAGCAAAAACTTGAGCTTTAATGTAAACAAATATATTTTTTGAAGATATTTGTTTAGTGTAGTATAAAAGAACAAAAGGCTAGAACCTAAAATTTTACCTACAGGTCTTGATTAAATAAATTATGGTATATCTATTCAGTCAGTGGAATCTTCTGCAGCCATTAAAAAGAGTTGAGGTAAAACTATAAAATAATTTTAAAATGCTCTCCAAATATCAATGAAAAACTGCAAAGCACAAAAGCTTTTATAATATCCTTGTGTGGAAACAAAAACCTGCAATATATACATAAAACACACACACACACACACACACACACACACACACACAGACACACACACACATGTATAATGTACCCTAGAGGAATTCCTGAGAAACTTAATTGTTGCCTCTGAAGAAAGGAACAAGTAGTCATGGGAAAGAGGGTGACACTTTTAACTTCATAAATTTTTGTAATACTTGAATTTTTACCATGTGCATTTTGCAATCAACATACTATGAATAAATAAAGGAATTTGTCTAAAAGGGGGAAATGAAGAGCCTACATTTTGTATCTACCAGATATGTTTTGGACAAATCACTTAAATTTCATGAATTTATTTTGACATTGTAATTTGGACATAGAAAATTACTCTCATGAGATCTGATAAAGTTAATGTTAGTGATGCACTTTCAGTCTAGGAAATAACATAAAAAGAATTTTATCTTTTAGAAAACATAGTGAAAATGTAGGTTTGGGAGGGAAATTATCTCTCTAATTTCTTAATACTGCTGGAGTTTGGATGGTGCATGTCTCCTAAAGATCTATGTGTTGCTCCCCAGGGTGGTGCTACTGGGAGGCACAGGGTGAGTTGGGGCCTACTGAGAGGTCCTTTGGTCTTTGGGGGCATACTTTTGAAAAGGACTGTGAGTCTCTATCTTTTTCTCCCTTTTGCTTTATAGTTATGAGGTGAGCAGTTCTGCTCTGCTATGTGCTCCCCACCATTTCCGTCTTGTACCATCATGGACTGGAACCTCTAAAGCCATTAACCAAATAAACCTTTTCTCTTCATAGGTTGGCTATCTCAGGTATTTTGTTAATAGTTTTGGAAAGATGATTAACACATATTCTGAGAGAAATCTACTGTTCTTGTGCAAATCACATAGTGATTTTGGAAAAGAACACTCAAAACCTGGGTCTTATTTCCTATAGCACACAATTATGTTTACGGTTCTAGCAACTGCCACCAACCTAATCTAGAGGCAAAAATTAGATGAATTCCCCTCTCTCTTATTTCAACAGTATGGCAGTGGCTGCAGGCGTGGGGTCCCAGGTGGTCTTTCTTTACCTGCTGCCCCTGCCATGTGCTCATCCATGCTGAGCAGGAGCTCCCAGGCTGCTGGCTGGATATCACCATACATCTCCTCTGTCAGAATTGGAGCTGCCTTGATTAAAAGAGATAAAGGAGCAGGCGACAAGCTCATCACCTGGGAAAGATGGAAATCATGTTTTAAAATCTTTTAGGACATTGATTACTGTCTTCTTCCTTATGAGTAACTTCCCCTCTCGGATTTCCTTAAATGACCTGAAAATACTTTCCAAAAGGGGAGCATATTTAGTTGGCATGGTGTATGAGCTTTATACTTTTCAGTTGAAGAAAATTAGAAGGGTAAAAGAAAACCTCCCTCCCTAATCTTGTAATGCTTTCATCACAAAATCAGCTTTACAACCACCCAAGCATAAACTGTAGAACACATACAACTCCACAAGAAAAGACAAATACCAGCCAATGTATATTTGTCTTAAAAGTCCTGGTTGACTTCTAAAGACTTGCGTATTTCCTTCCTGTTGGTAGATTTCTGCTGAAAACCATAAGCAAACAGTAACTTCTGAAGGAGTCCTTAGAAAGCTATTTTTCTAAGCCAGTGTGAGCTTCAATGGCATTTTCCTTTGAAGCAGTATACACTGTGGTTATAACCCCAGGTCCATCCACAAAACATATTTAATCCATTATTTCAGATAATATAGGCAGTAAATGTAGGTTCTGAAAAAGTCATAATTTTAAATATATTCCAGAAAAACATGAAAAATTTGTTTTTTTCCCTGCAGAAAGGTACAATTTAGAGTTTAGCTTACAATAGCAACATAATAGTGTTATGATTAGTAGGTAAATATAGTATTTTATTTAATTCATGCAATAATCTTTTGGGATGGGTCTAGTGTTATACTCCCCACTTTCTAGATAAAGAGACTAAGACCAAGGAAAATTAAGTAACCTGTGCAGAGTCCCAGAGCTACAGCAGCAGGCACGGGATCCAGACTGTCTCATTCTGAAACCTATGGGTGTTGCCACCATGCACTGATGAGAAATCAGCTCCACTGGAGTGGGCAGACTGGGGAAAGATGTGGCTCCAGCTAAACCCCTCTGGCTTTGTCTGTGTATCTGGATGCCTAGCAAGAAGGATTTTTCCCTAGCACACTTGGTGGCACTTTTCTCACCAGTTAAGGAGTCCTTTATGTCAGCATGGTGCCAACTTATATTGTGTTTCCCAAATGCTTGTAAACAGGCTGTCTGGAACTTCTTCCCTATTAATGCTCCATGGATGTTTTTTGATCCAGGTGCCAGTACCTGAAGTCGGATGTATTTCAGCATCCCAGAATCCTTTTTTCCTTCCAGGTTGGCATCTGAAGCTCTCTTCTTCAGGGAAGGTGTCCTCAGGCATGACTTATCTGAGCACTGAAAAGAAGATGTGAAATGTAATGAAGGTGCTGTGATTTCTCAAACACCAACAGTGCTTAATTCCCCCCCAATCCTTCAAACAATCATCTTCTAATGGAAGGTCTGGTTTAATGCTTTTTAGTGGGCCTGTGTCTTGTTAAATCTAGAAAAGAAGTTAATTTTGCAATGAAAAGGGAGTTTAGAGATATTTAGTACATTTTAGGAAACTGGAATCCAGACAGGTGGAGTAACTTGACCAAGTTATAAAGCTAATTATTAGCAGAATAAGGAAAGGAAAAATATCTTCTGATTTCCATTTCAGGGTTAATTATATTCTATCAGCTGGTTAAAAATACAAATCTTTTAAACTATTGAGTCAGGTAAAATCCACTCTGTTCCTTTATAGGGTTGCAAGGTACATTTTGAAAAATTTCAACTCATAAAAAAAAGAAAGAAAATATTTCATAGAGAAGTGTTAGGACATTAAAGGTCAAAGAGAGGGGTTATCAAGTGTTATGGGTTGGATATGAGGTGTTCCCCCAAAGCTTCTGTGTTGTAAGAATATTTAGAGGTGGAATGATTGAATTATGGAAGCGGTAACCTAATCAGTCTATTCTACTTTAAATGGAGTAACTGGGTGGGAATTGTAGGAAGGTGGGGCTTGGTTGTAGGAGGTAGATCACTGAGGGTGTGCCCTAGAAGAGTTCTTGGGGCCCCTTCTCCTGGCATTCATGAGTGGAGCAGCACCTTACCACAGTGCCATGATGTTCTGCCTGACCTTGGTTCCAGAGCAAAGGAGTGAGCCAACCATGAACTAAACAAACAAAAATAAACTTTTCCCTCTCTAAGTATTTTGCTCACATCAACGAAAAGGAAGTATGAGCTTATAGCAGCCATCATCTAGGTCTCAGTTCTATAGGTAAAATGGTTTCTTTTTTAAGTACTCATCTGCAGGAGGCAGCAGCTCTTCTTTCAAAATGTGCCCTCAACCTGGGTTCAGAAAAGCTCGACTCATCTGCATAAGCACAGGTGAGACAATTGCTTCCTCTGACTCCATAACTGCCAACCAATGGAGTGAACTGAGCAGCTGGGGACAGGCCCTTGTTTATTTATCCTGAGTTCTGATTCCTCCTAGTTTTGCACTCCAGGCAGTGAAAAGAGGGAGTCCTTTTTCTTGTACAGACTAAAGCTCATTTGTTTTTCCAGTGCCATGTCAATGAAACACTTTCTCCCTCAATGCCAAGGGAAAAAAACAGAACTTCGGAAAGATTTTTAAACAGAGCTTCACAGTGTTATAGATGGAGATATTTTGAAAGAAAAGGCAAATCTAAAAGTATGTGCATGTTCCAAGAAAGTCTTTTGAAACTCTGACATAAAGACTCAAGACAATGAATCTGCTATTTGGCTTAGTACAGAACCAACTTTTTAAATGAACCTACTTGGAAACAAGGGATCAGAGCTCTTATGTTTTCTAAATAAAAAAAACCATGGAGGTGCATACTTGGGAACACATATAACTTGGGGAAAGAAGCATTGAATTGCTGGTCCCCACCCCTCCCCGTGAATGTAAAAGCCATATTCAGCATAAATAGCATGCTTATTTTACATAACTTGAAAATTGTTCCAAAATCACACATAGCAATAGTTTTCCATATAAATAAATGTATTTTGATATCCTTTTAAAAAGAGGTAGGATATTTAAAAATCAGTATTTCCCTGTTTTAATTCTTTCTACTTTTAAAACAATACACTTACATTATAGAATATCTGGAAAAGGCAGAAAAACTATGAAGAAGCAAAAAATCCCCCAAATTGTGAACTCAATGATAGTCATTATTTTATTCTTTGTTTTCTCCTCAATGCACCTTAGCAAAACTGTGATGATGCTTTGAATGTGGCACAACAATTTTAAACAATTCACTTCACTATGATTTTATAAATATTTTCCAGGTAGTTATAATTATTTTAAAATATGATTTCTGTATTTTACAAATATTTTGACCTGTTGTCCTTTAGTTGGACATTTTGTTTTTTTCAGGGATACTTATGAATAGTTCTCCTTGATTTTAACCAAATACTCAGCTTAGGGAAAAAAAGAAAAAGGATGAGCATTAGTTCCTATATGTTGGGAAATGCAGGGTTGTGTTTAATTCTGCCTACCAAGACAGAAGATTTAAGTCCAGCACCTCATAGATCACATATTTAATGACCTTTATTGGCTCTATTTCTCCTTCTGTTTCTGGTTTCATAAGAGTCAGCTAGATCCTTTCAAAAAAAACCCCTTAATTATTTGAATAAGTTCAAATAGGTTTCTGCTTCTTGCAACAGAGTATTGGCTACAGAGAAATAATGCTTAGTTATTCTAAATAAAATATTCATTCACTTAATAATTCAAGATTTTTTTGTGTGTTAACCATATGTCAGGAATGGGGTCAACTTCTGGAGATAGGTTGGGGAGCAAATCATCATGGGGTTTGCACTCTTGGAGACTGTCTTTCTAAGGAGAGACCGAAAGCAAACAAGCAAGCAAATAAAAGGGCCATGATAAGTAAAAAAAGGAGATACGTACCATGAAGCATGATTCACCCAGGAAATAACAAGGCATTTAAAATTCGGGAATGCTGAAATCAGCCTACTGGGCTCTCCTAGAAAGGCATTTCCCTATATTTCTGGGAAAAGCACCATGCCAAATGAAGGGCAAACTCTGTGCTTCACATATGTTGGACATGTGAGTTACGGATGTTATGTTGGGCAATCATAAGGCCAAGGAATCAAGACCCACAGCCTGGTCTCAGACTCACAACAGTGTTGTCTACAGCTTTTGAAAAACATTGTTTCTGCAAGACAGCAGTGGACCTCTTTCTATTTGCATTGGTTTTATAAAATTTACCCACATTCAGTCCTTTCTATTTTTGGACATGTATTACCATTCTCCTACCCTTCTTTTTGGTTGAAAGAAAAAAAATGTTTTATCTACTCCTTTTTATCATCAGCAAGCACTAATTGAACCTTTATTTAGAACACAGCATTGGACAAGGTACAGATGGGAAACCATAGAATTCCTTGGTGAGGAAAATATATACATATAGCATGATAGTTTATATACATAAAAAATAACCTTCAAGTTTGGAAGTGCACTAAAATAAACTCACAGAACATACTGCGAGTCCCCAAGTGCTGGAATGTAGATTAGCAGATTGATCAGAGTGAGATGGGTTGCAAAATGTACCGGCTGTCACAAACACATTCTGCCATAAAAACCAATTAAAGAGCAAACAGGAATGAAGTACCAATTGCTCACAGTCAATTCTAATCAGACCGTTGTTTTTACTCTTGATTTATTGCCTTTTTCTGTTTTCATTTTGGATCTGGAAATGTGGCATTGTTCATTTGTGTGACAGATTCAGAAGAGGCAAATGGAAAACATCATGAGAGGAAAAAGATGCTTGAGCAGGAAGCGAGCATTTTGGAAATAAAATGTTTGCCACAGAAGATTCAGAATGTTCTTTCAGCTCTCTACCTGAATGACTAACTTCAATGTGATGAGGGTACATTTCTTTGGCTTAGATTTCCTAGCTGTAAGTCACAGAAGGTTCATAAGACTTTTCTGCTGCTTCACACCAGTGTCATGGGTGAGCAGAGGTGAAGGGCTCTCATGAGCTTTGCTAGACTATAATGTCACTCACTCATTCAATATTTATTGTTTCTCTGCTGTTAGTGAGTTCTCTGTTAGTGACACATAGGATATAAAAATTGTAAAACATCCTCAGTTCTCAAAGAGTTTATAACTAAGTGACAGAGGGTGCTTGTTATTACTCATAGGGTGGAATACAAGCCTTCTCCTCGCCTACATGCTCTAGTTCCTATCTGCCTTACCATGTACTGCAGTCCTTTGTGTTTGCCTCTTCTCACTAGTTGGAAAATTCTGTGTTCCATTAACATTCAAGCACCCTTCAGTTAAAGGTCACTTGTCACTTTATTGGAGAGGTTAGCCTCAATAAGCTGTTAGTGCAGTATGCCTGTCTATCGAATTGATGGCTGTTGCAATTTTATATCAATCTGGGAGGCTTATTTGATTAATGTCTGTCTCTCAGACATTTGTCCCTTTTGCTCATTATTATACCAGCACAAAGTATGGGGCTTAGCATGGCCCACAGGTTCTTAAAAACTTAGTTGTGTAGATAAATGGAGAGATGGATGAATACACAGAGGAATGAATGAATGAACAAATGAAGAATAAGAATATAACAAGTAAAAAACCATTATGATTTAGATGAAAAAAGAAGGAAGGAAAATAACATTTATTGTCCACCTGTAATATGTCCTGTGCTTAACACTTGGGGAATCAGAAAAGGTTTCAGGGATGTGATGGTACTTAAATTGGGTCCTTAAAAACGTTTGCGTCTGACAATATATAGATTAGAGATGAAATTATAGTTTGGGCAAAAAAGTGGCAGCAAAAATTTCAGACGGTGTATAGAGAACAATTAACATTAATTTAGGCTCATGTATTTTTGCAATTTCCAACATATACTGTTTCCTCTTAAAGCTAAGGGAGTTTGTATATGAAGAGAGAACTTACATAAATTAAAATAGATTTTCTTTAAATGTGATGTCATTTGTGTTTGAAATATAGACTGTATATTAAAATACATGTATACATGTATACATGCATACACACAAACATATACATAATTTTTACTTTTATGCCATTATTTAGAAGTTCATACGGTTCATTGTAACTCACAGTTTATCTTTTCTCCAATTTCATTCTCCCTATAATTTGTATAATATGAATAACATGAGATATGGTCTAGTTAAAAAGCCCTGACTTTGACTGCAAATTAGTACACCATGCTTCATACCATGCTTCAGTCTAAAGTGACCAAATTACCATATCTAGAACTCTAGCAATAACAGCTAACCATGGACCTAAAAGCAAGGGAATTAGAAAGAAAACAATTGATCTTTCTACCTGGTCCTACTTTGTTCATGTTGATATATGCTTAGTTGTGTAGATAAATGGAGAGATGGAAAGCAGTATGGAGATTCCTCAAAAAAAAAAAAACAGGAATGGAACCACCATATGACCTAGCTGTCTCATTCCCTGGTACTTATTTAAAAGAATTAAAATCAGAATACTATGGTGAAACACATCAACCTTTATAGCAATGCAACTCACAATAGTCAAGATATGGAACCAACCAGGTGCCCATCATTAGATGAATGGATTAAGAAAATGTGGTATATACAGAATGGAGCTTTACTCAGCCATTAAGAAGAATGAAATTATGGCATTTGCTGGTAAACAAATGGAAGTGGAGACTATCATGCTGAGTAAAATAAACCAGACTCAGAAATTCAGGGGCCCAATGTTTTCTCTCATATGCGGAAACTAAAGCAAAATAAGGAGAAAAGCAAGGGTTGGGAGTTGGAAATCTTAAAGACAGAGGGAAGATCAGTAGAGCAGAAGGAGAGGGGGAGAGAAGGGGATGGAAATGGGGGGGAAATGCAGAATAAATTCAACAAAATTACACTATGTGCATGTATAAATATTCCACAGGGAAATTCACTTTAATGTATAACTATAAAGCACCAATTAAAAATATATAAATGAATGGAAGGAAGAGTAGAAAAAGAGGAATGGGGAGAAATGAGGGAAGGGAAAGGGGGCATTGGGGACTGAAATGGAGTAAATTAAATTCCGTGCATGTATAATTGTCAAAATGAACCCAACTATTATATGCAACTATAATGCACCAATAAAAGCAAAATATTAAAAAAGTTCTGACTTTAGTATTCCATATTTCTAAGTTAAAGTTTAGCTGAATATGTTTTTTTAGATATGAACTGTGGACAATCTCATCTTTCTGAGACTCAATTTTTTCACCTATAAAATGTAAAGAAAAATACCTCTTGCATCAAAGCACTTTGTCAATGATGTGTGTGTGTGTGTGTAATATATATATATATATATATGTATATATATATATATATACACACACAGAAAGACCTCATATATATATTTAGAAAAAAATATTAAATAAGCATGTCCCAGAAGCTAATACTGCACTCTTATGTGATACATACTTTTTTTTTTCTTTAGGATCTCTTGTACTAGTCAAAAGTTCTTCAGTGATCACATATTGTTTTTATATTTTAAAAGTTATAATTTAAAAATCCCTTTGTGATGCTAAAGCATTACAAATTGCTGCAGAACTCAACCACATTTTTGTTTTTATTATTTGTGATCTCTAGTTATTTGATGTATATATTATTGCCCAATTCCAGTCCAAACCTGGCTTGTGAATTCCTTAGTAGAAAGAGCCTTTGCTCCTACTTACATTTTTTTAAAAATATTTGGCCTAATAGTGTGCCAACAGCAGGTGCATAATGAATGCTTGTTGAAATGAATAGGTGTTATAGAAAAATCTCTTAGCAAAACCATTTGGGAAAAGCAGCTGCAGGGGCAGCCACAGCATTCAAGTTAAGCATCTTGGCTACCATGCCTGGTCAGGGCAGGTGGGCAACTCAAGGCTTTGCTGGCAGGAGCACAGCAGCCCTGGTTACTGTCTTCATCTTCTGCCAGCTCAGCTGCTCAGGGTTGTCAGGAGCGTGCAGCTGAATGCCTGGAAAATGTCATAGTTTCTTGAAGGAATTTCCTTTAGGCTGATCTGACCTAGATTATTCTGTTATTTTTCTGTGAACAGTTGGGCCATTTAGGGCTTATTTCATAATACATAATTGCATTAGCTTCCTATTGTGGCTGTAACAAATTACCACAAGCTTTGTGGCTTAAAACACAGATGTATTATCTTGCAGTTCTGGTTGTCAGAAGTCTGAATGGGAGTGGAAGGATAGCATTCCTTCTGGAGGCCCCAGGGATGCTCCATTTCCTTGTCTTTTCCAGCTTCTAGAGGTGCTGGTTTTCTTTGGCTCGTGGCCTGCATCATGCTGACCTCTGCTTCTGCCATCTCATCTCCTTCTCTGTCTCTGAATCCCTTAGGCTTTTCTTCACTTATAAGGCCTTACGATTACATTGAGCCCACCTGCATAATGCAGGATAATTTCCCCTTGGTAAAATCCCTAATCATACCTGTGAAGTCTCTTTTCATATAGGGTGACATATTCACAGGTTTCCAGGGAGTAGATGCAAACATCTTTGTGGAGGAAGCATTATTCTGCCTGCCACAAAAACTTACTTATCACCACAACCATTGTGAATTCATATTTATTCACAAAAATTAGGCAAAACCTGGGGAAGAGTCCATGTTTACTTGTGAACATGAAGACAAAGCATTTGTCTTGCACTTATTATCTACCTTTGTGCAGAAGCTCAGAGAACCGTAGGCTGGTTTGAACAACTGCAGTTTCCTGAAAATTTTTATTGCTGGGGAAGATTGTTAGGATATAGTTTTCCCTGTCTTGTTATATTAGCAATAATGTGATCATTCACTCACCTCTTTCTGTTTCTTGCCCCGCAGAGCCACATTGCTGGTGTTGCTGCTCTCCCTCAGGGAGTCTAAGCTGTCTCCGTACAGCAGCTTAATGGCCCTGACCAGCCGGGCACAGGAGCGGCTGTGGTGCAGATAGCAGTGTGGATGACAGTAGTCCACATGCGTGCAGATGAAACTCTGTTGATTGCATAGCAAGATCATGACCTGGAACACAAACACCCCTGAGACTCAACCAGGCAACCAGGGTAAGGACAAACTGAACGTCTATGTGTTGTGAAAAATGGCAAGTCAGAATGTCAACTTCTCATAATGGGTCTTGAAATTACAGTGATTCAGTAATTCCCAGAGAGCAAAAGAGTTATGAGTCTTTGTCCATCTTGGCATTTGCACTTTCTTCATAAATGCTTGATAAAAGGATTTTTTTTTTGAAACAAGAATTAACAGATGTTCAAAACTCAATTATTGTGAAGCGTATGGTTTCTAAACACTTTTAAATGGAAATTCGGAACTAAAAAAGATTCCACACATCACCCTGGTCCCCAGCTCTTATGTCATGGTAGGAGCCAGCTGAAAGAGCACACACTGGTAAAAAGTTTAGTCCCAGAGGATCTGGCTGGCCTTTGATAGCTGTGGGATGCTTTTAACTCCCACATCTGCTTCTTCCACTCTGACTGAAAACCTTGAACTAGAACTTGAACCCCACTCTAGAGCCTCATTTCTTCTCTCTTCTAAATGATTTCTCCCCGCCCTCTGGCTATTAGTTCATCCCCGCTTAATTTTGCTTAGATCCTTACATTTCCTAGAATTCCCCACAGAGATTCCAGAAGCAAACTCAGTTGATTTAAAGGATATGCCTATTTTAAGATCAGAAATAAAGGACCTAGAAATTGTAATTATTTTTTCAGTTCTGGAGATAGAACCTAAGGCCTTGGACATGTTAAGCACATGTTCTACCACTGAGCTATACCCTCAACTCTGAGTTTGTAACTTTTCGTGTGTGTGTGAGAGTTGTCTCTGTGTGTGTGTGTGTGTGTGTGTGTGTGTGTGTGTGTGTATTGCTAGGGATCAAACCCAAGATCTTGCACCTGCTAGACAAGTGATCTACCACTGAGTTACATCCCTAACTTGTGAGTCTGTAACTTTTTAAGCATCCTTGCTAAAAAGGTGGTAGCCTACCCAGAACCTTAAGGTTAGTCAAATGTACATAGAATAATTTCATCAAACTAGTTCCTGCCTAGCTTGTTAGGGACTGTGTGCCAAACTGAATGAAGAAAACAAATCAAGTCTACATGGATAAGTCCAATCAAACCTGCCAAAGCAGGAGTACCACACATTTCCTTAGGAACAAGGCTCCTTACTTATTCTGAAACAAAGAGAAGCAAAATCAATCAACTCCATATTCCCGTCACACTCAGCTAACAATAGCCCATACCCTCTCATAATTTTCAACAGAAGTAGGGGTGTCTTTGAAGAACATCTTGCTCTATCAAGATTCTTTATTCTGGTATGAGGCAAGGCACACTTAAGAGCTATAAGGGCTCCCCTGTAACTCCTAAATCTGGTTGATCAAGAGAAACATCAAGAGTGCTTAGTGAAAAAGCAAATAAACACACAAATGAACATATTACTAGACTTTGCCTCAAGAAAATATGCTTTGGTAGTTCTGAAATTAGAGGTGATCTAGAAATCTAAAATTTAAAATTCTGCCCAGTGATATCACTTTGACAGATATATTTCTGTAAAGACCTCCAGTGATCCACACCTTCTGGTGTGTAGGCCTTTGTAAAGCCTTCTCTCACTGAGGAAGTGTTATCCTAGTGTCTTGCTTTCAACCAGTAGAACACAGCAAAGGTGATAGGGCCCCTTTTCTGACCAGGTTGAATAAGACTGTGACTTCTCTCTTGTCAGTAGATATCTTTGATGAAGCAAGTTGTCATGTTATGTGGGCCCACATAGTAAGGAAATGAGGGTGGCCTCTCACCAACAGTTGACCGGATACTGAAGGATCCTGCCCAAAAGGTCTCAAGGAACTGTAATTTTGCTACAATCATGTGAGTCTAGAAGCAAATTCTTTCTCAATCCAGTCATCAAATAACACCCCAGTCCTGGCCATTACTTTAAATGCAGACATGTGAGAGATCTTGAAATGGAGACACAGCTAAGTTGGGCCAGGATTCTTGACCCACAAAAATGGTAAGATAATATGGACTGTTTTAAGCCACAAGTTTGTGGTAATCTGTTATGCAGCAATAGAAAATGAGTATGTTCTCCTTCTACCAAAACTAAGTAGATTATAGTTACTATTGAACAATAAGGCCACATATAATTCTATACATACACACATGCACATTATGTACACTCACACTCACACACACACACACACACACACACACACATATACAGCTGAATGCATAAGATAGTGAAAGAGTTGGGACATGAAGGGTATGAAGTGGGGAGAAAGGACATTCACCAAATGAGAACAATGTGAACACATGCCGCATTTCTCCTTGGGATATTTCCTACTTCTTAGTTATGCATAAATAGCCAAGGAGGCTGGCAAAACTTTAAGCAATCACATATCACATGGCTGAGAGTAAAAAAAAAAAAGTCTAGAATTGTGAAAGGAGGGATAAATTGAGAGGCCAAGATCCTGTAGAGAAAGAAAGTACAAAGAATTCAGATTGAAACTGAGTGACTATTTTCCCTTCTAGGCATTAGCTAAGAATCCCAGCAGAATCACCTGAGAACTAGAGTGGCGATTTTGCAATTTCACTGTAATGGGGAAATGATGATTGGGGTTCCTGACCCCATAAGAATGAAGAGCCCCCACTGGGAACCTTGGAAGACTTAAAACTAAAACGTATGTGAGTGGGGTGATGAGGATGACCAGTGGCAGACCAGAAAACCAAGTCAAGTCAGCTTAGTTCCTGATTAGACTGAGACAATCTGCTTGCTTATTGTCTGCTAGAGGATAAGGAAAATCCTCTCTGGAGGGAGATAATATCATGTGGAGTATCCATAATTATTTTAAATTAATTAACTTAATATTTTAGAGAAATTTGGAGTTCACAGAAAAATTGAACAGAAAGTGCAGAGAGCTCCCATATATCTACTGTGCCTACACCTGTACAACCTCCCCCACTATCAATGACTTGCACCAGAGTGGAACACTTTCTACAAATAATTGAACCTACAGACATTCAAAGTCCATCATTTATATTAGGGTTTGCTCCGAGTGCTGGACACTCTATGGGTTTTGCCAAATGTATTATAATATGTATCCACCTCTGTGCCTCTACAATTTTTAATTTCCATGTCTAGTTAGTTAATAAAATGACTAGGCATATTAAGGAACAGAGTAAGAAAAGTAACAGTAGATTCATATATTGGAATTACCAGCCATAAACTTAAATATGTGTGGACAATTATGAATAAACCACATTGGAAATTTTTTAAAAAAATTTAAGTACATGATAATGAAAACATGATATACCAAACCTTGTATGAAACAGCTAAAGTGCCTAAAGAACATTTGTATCCTTAAATTAATGAATTAGCAAAGTGGTTGCAAATTACAAACACAGGTCAAGAAGTTAAGGAAAGAAGAATAAACTCAAAGAAAGTGGAAAAAAGCAATAAAAGTAATAGCAGGAGTTAATAAAATAAGAAATCCAATATTTCCAAAGTGAGAAAACCAAAATCTGGTTCTTTGAAAAGACTAATAAAATTCAAAGACTAACAAAATATTCTATCAAGACTGATCAGAAAATGAGAGAAGAAAACCTACCAGAATCAGAAATGTAAAGGTACAGTGCCGTATATGCTATAAACTTTAAATGACCTAAAAGAATATTATAAACAACTATCTTTCCTGCTAATAAATGTCAATATTTAGTTAAGTGAAGAAAATATTTAGGTAAAAATATCAATTTACCTGGATTGCTTGTGGAAGAAATAGAAATATTACATAAATTGAATCTATAATTTAAAAACTCTTCTACAAAGTAATTTTTTAGATCTAGAAGGCTTCCCCAATGATTTCTTCCAAATATTTAAAACAATAAATAGCACCGGCTTTACACCAACACTTCCAGAGTGCTTATGTGTAGAAAACCACACAGAAAACTAAAGAACCTTATTAAAGGCTATATATATATATATATATATATATATATATATAGCCTTAAGCAAATATTAAGGGATATTTAAGAGGTCTTAAGCAAATGCAGGGACATACATTAATGGAGTGAGAGACTATTTTAGATATTGAAAAGTTCAATAACATAAGATTTCAATTCCTCAATCTTAATTGATCTATCTACTAAATGAAGGCTGCTTTAGAAGTTTTTAAAATGGAAATTGATAAGGTAATTTTAAATGGAAACACTCTAGCTAAGAATAGCCCAAACCATTCTGATGAAGAACAAAGTTGGAGGACTATGTAAGTAATTGTATAAATATTTGTATAAGCAAAATGAACCAGACACAACAGACAAGAGAGTATATGATTACATTTATGTGCATTTTAAGAACACACAAAACTAGTCACTGATGTTAGAAGGCTGAATGATGGTTTCTGTGAGGAGGTAGTGGTGATTGATGGAGGAACTATGTACGGTTTCTAAGGTATTGATAATGTTCTTCTCAACTTGGTAGTGGTTATACAGGTGTATTTACTTTGTGAAAACATATTGAGCTACATACATAAGCTTTATATGCTTTCCAAAATGCAGGTTATATTTTACTAAATTAAAAAAAATCTGCCTTAGAGATTTTCAAATTCAGCAATTTCTGGGGACTACATCCATAGTGAATGCACAGCACTGTATAATAGGAGGAGTATATATACTAGCTAGCACTTATCTGATCCTTCCAGAAAGTTAGATGAAAATCATAGTTGAGAGTGGCAGTGCCCATCTATGAAAAACAATGATGCTGCACGTACCCTGCTAATCTTAATTCTGAGGATCTACTTCTTTACCTTTCTCTTTACTTCTTGCTTCATGCCTGGCTCAAATATTGAACTCCAGCTTTTGCTCATGGTTTTCTTGGAATCCTGTCCTGCCTGTGCCCTCTGGATATTCCTTTGAGGTGTCACCTTATCTTGTTAGAATCTCCTTTTCTTTGCTACAATTTGATCTAATACAGACCAATACTGACACCACAATCTGGCTCTCCCATTCCTGGTAATCTCTGACCACGATGCCTTGCCTGCGTCGCTCAGGTTGCCTTGATCACCAACCTGGACATGTCCCTCACAGGTTTTCCTAATTTATGATGACCCACAAGCCAGCCATAACAAAAGTTATGGTCTTAGTTAAACTTCAAATGAATACAATCCTGCAGAATACCATATTGAGAGAGTCAGATAAAATATAAACCTTTACCTTCTCTGGGAGGCTAAGTTGGGTTGATGGTTTTGGTAAAATATTTTGTCTTCTCTCCATGGGTCTCCCCAAGGCCAAAAGAAATCAATCCCAGGGCTCTTTCTGAGTTCACATAATCTTCCTACTTACGTGAAGCCAGGACATGTTCCTGTGGTAGTTCTCCTCGGTGCCAGCAGTGCTCATTCCCTCTGGCTCAATGCTGGGCTCACTTGCACTCCAAGGACTCCCTTCTTCAAAAGAAAACACCAAGAAAGGTCTCAGCATTCAGTCTCCCTGGAGAGCATGTTGGTGTGGTACAGTTGTCCATGCTTTTGAATCCTAGGGCAGACTACCATGGCCCAGTGGGTTAGGGCATAGGACTTTGTTGGAAGAATATTAATAGGAGCTGTTACTTTCAACCACCAGCTGAACTGGCAAGTTCAAAGACATTGATGATCTCTTTAATGGTGGCTTCCATTCTGAGAGATGGGAGCAGAGAGAAAAAGAGTCAAGTCCTTGAATTGCTGAGATAAGCCAGTTACAGGTTGAGTGTGTCCAAATCCACTCCAGAATGACCAGGCCTTACAGGTGTAGTTACACAGGGACACCAGCTGGTCTGCAGTGGCCTGGCAGAGTGCTGCTGCCTCCATTGAGGTTGTGACTGCAGCTCCTGCTACTGCTCTAGCAACTGGACTTTGCCATCAGAGCTATTCAAAGATGAGTGGGTGCCCTAGAAAAACTAAGGGAATTTGAAAGCAATGATGTCCAATTATGGACCACCCTGGCTTCCTCTCTATGGCAAAGTATAAAGAAGCTATCTCTTTGGAAATCACTACTTAGTATTTTACATGCAAAGCTTTGCCCTCAAATCTAAAAGCTTTTATGAATCTTTCTGATGACCAAACAATGTCCCCAGCCTGGCTCCTTTGACTCGACTGGCCAGAATAAGTAGATCAATTCACACAATTAATTTCAATAATCCCCCCCAAACTAAGTGATAAGGATGTTATAGTTCAGCCCTGTAACAACAGAAGTCACAAAGATTTTTTTTTCTATTGTCTCCTTGAAAAATAGGCTGAATCTTAAGTGATGCATAAATTAGCTATTTTCAAAGGTTAGGGTGGGTGGATGTAAAAACATTTCCTAATTTAAACTTTCTTTGATTAGATACACTCAGTTTCTATTTCAGCAGATTCTATCAATCATTTATCTATATGTATTGCTGACTTGAAACTAGATCTGAATGGCAAAGAGAATGTGCTTCAATATTTACCTAATCATGCTGGGCAGGTTATCCTCATTCCTACTTAAGCATTTTCTTGTCTATTAACAGATGCTAATCAGGGTCCATATTTTGGACTAATACATTTTGGAATCTGGGATCTCTTTAGATCCTACAGTCCCTGCACACCCCGCTCCTCTATGTTACCTAGGTCAGTGACAGTTTCCCTGTCACTGATCTAGGCGGCAATCTACAACACCACCAGTGTTTTGTATATAGAACTTATTCTCATAATTTAACACATTTTACAACCATCCCCTAATTTACCTTTAAAACATCCCTGCAGAGTAGGCAAGGAGTGAGTAGAATTAATTCCCATTGGATAGTTGGAGAAGACAAGTCCCTGTGAAGTTAAGTGACTTACTAAGAATCCCTAATTATCAGATCTAGATTTTCTATCCTTTCTGATTAAAAAAAAAATTGTTAACTAGAAACTTCAAAATATAGAGGGCCTTTAGGTAACTGTTCCTGTGGGAATTCTACATTTGATTTTGAAGGTCCTATCAGAAGGATGGATACACTGACATCTGGATTTGTAAAACTGCCTTTGTCACTGAAGTGTTTTTTTTCCCTAATGTATTTTCCATCCCTATTGCTCAAAATGGGGTCCTAGAATCATTCAGCAGGAAGCTTGTTAAAAACAGAGAATCTCAGACCTCCGCCCCATCTGCTGAATCAGAACCTGCACTTTAATAAGACATCCAGGTGACCTTTGTGCTCCCTAAGGTTTGAGCAGCCTGCTGGAGGGGTAAAAGACTTTTAGACAGAAGGAGTTGTCTAACCTGTGGCTTTGCTTTTCATCTATTTATGTGTAAGAAAATGGACTTCAGCTGTTTCAGGACTTGGGTCCTGTCTTCCTACCCCCCACGTCCCTGCACACCCCGCTCCTCTATGTTACCTAGGTCAGTGACAGTGTCCCTGCTCTGGGACAGCTGCAGCTCCTCAGCCTCAGACTCTGAGTCCTGACGTGATAACTTGCTGCTCTTTAAGCTGCCGACTCGGCGAATGCTGGACAAGGAACCCCCCTTCTTCACCTGGAAACTGCGGGTTCCTTTAATCTGGAGCAGGCGAGAACCTCCTATCCTGATCTTCCTGCTGGGAACTGTATTAAAAGAATAAAATAGGGCTTTCCCCCCCTTAGTTTTCCCCAGCCAATATTAGATCCAAACTCTCCCCAACCTGTCCCTGATCAGCCTCCTCTCTGTTGCCTGGACAAGCAGCATTTCTGGGTAGGAAGCTTCTTCTGGACCCCCAGGCACCAGGCTCTGTCAGGCAGGCAGGAGGCTGGGGCCACCAGGAAGTGTCTTTCTTGGTCACAAAGGGCTGGGAACAACCTACAGTCTTTCTGGCCCAGGGTTCACAAGCATGAGTGTGTCTTGCAGCAACATCATCTATGACTGTTAGTACATTTACAGTGCATCATGACTTGATTCACTAGAACCACAAACCATTCGTTTTTGTTTTTCTTTTGAAATGGGACTTACAGAATTCTGTGAAGTGCCACCCTTTCTTTTTGGAATACCTCATTAAGAGAAAACAAAAAAACAAAAACGAGAGGCACTCCTCTTTCCAACAGTCAGCCCTGGGTTCTGCCCTGCTCCTCAGCAAAGGCGCTCGGGATCTATTAGCATAGGGGTGCTTTGGGTGAGCATGCATGTGACATGGGTCCATTTTCAATGCATCTAGTGATTTCATAGCATCCTCCTCTCAATCAAAAGGCTGGTGAGATGTGAGTCCAAATGTTGCAAGGCCTTGAGCCAACCTCACAGTTTATGTGTACCAAGAAGGCATGCATTATTCATCTTTAGTGTTCTGGAAGAAATAGTCATCAGTGGGAGAAATAAAAGGGTAAAAGAAAATACATTCAAACTTGAAACCTAGTATTTTAAAAATCAAAAGTATCCTTAGTTTCATAGTCATATACATACCTCCTTCCTTTTTTTATTTTTATTTTTGAAGATTTGCTGTTGTCAATATTGATTTTATAAAAGTAGGATAAAAAAGTTTTGAAAGTTAAAAATTCATTATCAGGAAGGGGCCAGTTTTATAAGCTTACCTTCTTAAGGCAGGAACAATATTTCTTACTAATTATTTAAGGCATCATTATTAATGTTTTTTGAAGCATCATTATTGATACTTTTTGAAGCTCCAATCAGGAAGTTTACATTTTAGTTTCAGGTTTCTCACCCAAAGGAGTGTTAACATGTGACTAATAGAATTTGTATAATTTTTTAAAATATTAGTTAAATGTATGCTTTCCATGCCACATAAAGAAACCCAGCAGATTTCCTGATGGACAACGTGAATGTTTCATATCCAGTTTACTCTTAAGATTAAGAAAGACTAAAATTGTCACCACTCAGCTAGTAAAAGCTTCATGGAGCTCCCTGAATGAAACTGGAGAGAATTTCACATCTGGAAGGGATCTCTCGCAGCACTGCTGGATAAATTCCATAAAAACTATAGACCATCATGCTGTATTTTAATTATAGCACAACTCACACAACAGTATTTTTCAGTATTATTTTTAGGCTTAATTGAGACTTTATGATGCATTTGAAATATGTTTGAAACAGAATGTAATTATCACTCTTATGATTGCTAGAGCAATTTCATGTCTCTGCAGATTGAGAAGTAGAGAAAAAAGATTAAAATGATAATTTTTTTGGTTTTAACAGAAGCACATACTAACATTCTTTGCCTGATTTTATGACACTTCTCAGCCAATGAATGAGGCCAAATAATTTCAAATTAATGTCATCTGAAAGAGATTTAATGTTGAGAGTTTGTTCTAACACTGGAGATAATTGGAGACATCCTGTAACACTAAAAAATTAGGGTTCAGAATTATGATGTTGGCTATTTACAAGGGACACAGCAGTTAGAATCCAGATTTGGTTTTATACATGAAAAATGTCAGCTGAGATTGTTCCGCATTGAATTTTAGCCTTTATCTCCATGACAACAAGAACTTGTATGAAAGCGAAACAAATTCATCTAAACTGGATAACATATCTCCTTTACCCATTTCTCTCACCCCACACTGTATTCATTAGCCAAACCTGCTTTCTCTGTGCTTCAAAAATATCATAGATTTTTGAAAGCTCCATCACATCTTCCCTGGATTAAGGTAACTAAAACTGCTTTACCTTTCCCCCACTCCAATAGGTCTCTTCTTATTTAAAATACATAAATTAAAAATACATACCTTATATCACCTTTATGGTCAAACATGCTAACAATATTCTAACACATTTAAAATAGAATTAAAGTTCTAACCAGATCTACCAGAGCCTATTTACCCTTTGCCTAACACCCCGACTCAATCTCCTACGACACTTTTCCCCAACTCATTCTTTTGTAACCATGGTGGTCTTTTTCCCCTTCTTCAAATGCTCCAAGTTCATTCCTGCATCACAACCTTGTCCTTGTGGTTGCCTCTGTTCAGAACACTCTTTCCTCAGCACTTGGCTTTTTGATGCATGCGGGTCTCTCTGCTCAATGTCAATTTTGATGGACTACTCTATGTCCTTCCTACTCCATGTCACAAAACCTGGTCCTAATTTACTTTTCTTCAGATAGTTTTTTCTCCACTAGAAAATCTAGTATTTCATGGTATTCACTGTTACATAAATAACTGTTGTCAACTATTAAACAATATAAAAAAAATGTGGAAAATTTTTTGTTCATTGCTGTATTCTGAGAATCTGTAACAGTTCCTAGCTCAGCGGATAGGTGTTGCATGATGAGACTAGTCTTGGTGTCAGTATTGGGAATACTAGTCTTAGTTCATCTTTGGAATATGGGTAAAATGATTTGTCAGACTCTGCATGGACATTTTGGCAGATATTTTCAGTTCTAAGGATTAGTACACATTTGTTCTTTCTTGGTAAAATCTGAATTGTCTTCAGGTTGTTTATTTCAGGAGTTGACTTTTTTAAAAAAAATAAAAACAGATGGTGTGAAAAAATTTTTTAATGTTTTAATAATCATAGTTCGCAGAGCCCGATGTCACCATTTTTATGTTGGCTCCCATAACTGATATCAGCTTGTTAAATGGCTTAGGGAATATGTAGAAATCTTTGAGAAGATGTTTGCTCACTGATTAAGGACATTTTCCATAAAATATGTTCTTGTTTTATTTATAGTTTCTGTTTTCTGTTAATTCATTAAACAACTTCCATATAATAACATAGCCATTCTGTGAGGAGAAAAATATGAAGCATTTCAGTGTTTGAAAATTAAAGGCAATTTACATAACTAATGATCATGAAATTAAAATGGCCTTAAAATTAATCATATTTCATTTTTTAATGATGCAGAATTTACTTTGTTCAAATTTAACTATGTCAGTATTTGAAATTTTTATTTGACTACTTCAAATAATAATTAGCACTATAACTTTGGGGTCTTGCTTTTTAATTAAAATACCTTTGGATGTGTTTCAAAAACTGGGGGTTATCCCTCTGTTGAGCTGATATTTCTACATACTAAAGAATTGCTCAAGACTTGGCTTATCCTTCCTACAAATGACCTCTGTTCACCATAAATTGAACTTGAAATGTTCCATTTTTTTCCTCAATGTATGTCCATTCCTTGCAGGATTTTAAATATTTTTGTTTTTTTCTCTATATGGGAGCATTCCTTCTGAGAATCGTTCATTCATTAAGTTAATCAAACATGCTTTGAGCCATTGTCTATAGGACACTAGAAATATATCAATGCATAAACTCAGTATCGATTTTTGTAACAAGAGTATAGATGTTCTTTAAATTGAAATTCTTTATAAAAAGCACCGAAGGGCAATGAAATTTAAAAAACAGCAAAATTAAAGAGTGAAGTTGACAGTTCAGGGGGCTTTAGAGAATGAAATAAGACTTTGCAATCTTCAGTGCATAGTTAGGATTTTCTGTATGGGTTCTAATCTATGTGTTTATGACCAAAAAAAAAAAAAACCCCTAAAAAACCAGAATGGCAGCAGTTATATATTGTGTATTTACTATCTGCCAGGAACTAATTTATGCTTTACTTATTTAAAGCTATAAGTATCACACCACAGAAGGTGTTATTAGCCCAATATTGTAGAAAAGAAAACTACAACTTAAAAGGTAAGTAACTTAGACAAGGTCCCACAGAAAGTTACTGTATTTCACCCATTTTAAGATGCACATATTTCCACATTTTTAATGTATTTGAAATTGGGATATGCCATACAACTGATATGAACACTACTACCAGCTGGCAGTAGTGATGTATTTGCTATTGCTTACATCCATGTGAACATCTAAAACATCAGCGGCCAAATGTACAGATGGATACCAATATCTTTTAGTTCAAGGAGCTAAGTGGTAGCAAGGATTGAAAGAGGGGTGAGGTATTAAATTGGGGGTGTTTAGCAACAATCTTGAAGAGGGATTGAAAGTAGGCTATCTTAATGCCAGTGCAAAGTGGGCTTAAATAACTAGCACAAATAGCTTTACTTCTTTTAGGGAACTGTTTCAGAAATTATGTTATCACTAATATTCTGATGGCACAGAGGACATTATTCTATGGAAAAACATGAACACTGGCAACTCTGAGTTGAAAATGGTTTAGAAAAGCTTTAACTAGTCTAGGTTAGTTATGCTTTTATTTTTTGGCTGCACAAGAATGAACTATAATAATAAAACTCTGCATCTAGTTAAGTCTGAAAGTCCTCTCTCAATAAGAATAAAGCACAAAGTTATAATATTGCAGAAGAATTAAATTGGAAGTATTTTTTCTCTCTTATTGGTAAATAAAATAATGGTTCATCTTAAATCTGACGGCATCTTAGATTCAATGGAGAACTGCCAAGCTGGAGCTAGAATTCAGATCCCTCTGAATACAAGTCCGACTTCTGACTAGTATGGTTTCTACCTGGTTGAGTCTACAAACTCAGTGCTGTACAGAGCCAACAATTTGAACAAACAGATATAGTTTTAGACATTAGATCATGAGAAACCATGAACCTTGCAATAATCCTTGCTTTTCCATACCTTTCTTCTCTTCCACCCCTGTGTCTGATTTGAGGGTGTGGCTGCTGCTATGGAGAGAATCTTTTGAATCTTCATTTTCATCCAGGACCCCTGCGAAGCTGATCTTCCTTTCATATCTGTGCCGGTCCAACTCAGGATCCAGACGAAGTCTGCAGCTCTCCAAGTCCTGAAATGTCAGTGAGGAGCACGTGCGTGCTGGTATCTCCCAGCGCTGCATTGGTCTTGTGGCAAGCCTCCCTCGAATCCCACACAACTGCATTCAAACAACCAAATTCTTTTGTCTATTGCTAATTTTAGATTATGGCCATGAAAAACTATTTTCGAATTGGAAAATAAATAACATCTTCCCTAACTTGTAGTTTTCCTCTTCTTTCGTGTTTATGTTCCCAAAACAGACTTTGTCCCAAATCTAGAACTTACTTCCTTACCCTCTAATTCTTTGTCCATAGTTGTAGCTGCATCATTGGCGTGTATCTATTTATGAATCACTCACTGAGTATGAATGTGTTAGATACTGCATGATAGATGAGAAATGGTTCTTTCCCTAAAGGAACTCAGAATTCCGAAAAAAGGAGGGGTAGGAAAGAACAGAAGTACTTTGAATTAGACAAAGGGAAGGGATGGGGGATGGGAATAGGAAAGACAGTGAAATAAATTGGACAGAATTTTCCTATGTTTATATATGAACACATGATGCATATAACTCCACATCATGTACAACCACAAGAATGGGAAGTCATACTCCATGTGTGTATGTCAAAATACATTCTACTTTCATGAATAACTAAAGTTGAACAAATAAAAATTTTTAAAAAATGTGAAGACATCAATGAAAAATTTCGAGACTGAGAGATAGAGCAGGGTCTTAGAAGTCAGACTTGCAGACTGTGGTTGGCAGAACAATGGCCCTCAAAGATGTCCACATCCTAATCCCTGGGATCTGAAAATGCGTTTCCATACATGGCAACAGGGACTTTATTTATAGCTGTAATTAAGGTTAACATCTTAATATGGAAGATTATCCTGCATAAGCTAAATGTGCTCAATTTAATTTCAAGAATCTTTAAAGGTAGAGGACCTTTCCAGGTTGTGGTCAAGGAAAAGCATCAGATGTTGTTTGCAGCTTTGAAGATGGAGGAAGGGGACACAATTAAGGAATGCAGGTGGCCTCTTTAAGATGGAAAAAAGGTAAGGAAGGAGATTCTTCCTTAGTGCCACAAATAGGAAGGCAAACTTACCAGTACCTTAAAGTTAGCCTAGCAAACTGACCTGCAGAACTAAGAAAATATGTTTGAACTGTTGTGAACAACTACATTTGTAGCAGTTTGTTATATCAGACCCCCTCCCCCCAAAAAAATGACTATGGAGGTGATGTTCAAGTTAAATTTTGTGGATTATGTACCGTTGCTTGTACAGGTGTGAGGAAGTCAATTTAGGTTTAAGAAACATCACATGTGAGTGCCAGAAACTCAAAGCAGAATCATGCACTGGGGAATTTCTTACTCCCTTCTAGGAGGAACAAAGTAGAAGAGGAGCTCCAACTTTAGCAAAGCCAATGAACAGAATGATCCCATAACCTAAAGTAAGCAAGCCCTGGAGACTATAATTATTTAGTCGCATTTGGCCTACAAGATCCCAAATTAAAAATTTGACCTGTTTTGTGTTTAATTATTCATCTATAATAAGGAAGAATTGAAAAATAGAAAATATAAAAATGCTGGCTTTATTTTGTTCAGTATTTTTCAAAAATTATACCATAACTATTCTTCAGGATGAAGTAGATACGAGAAAAAATATTTTTAAAAATCCAATTTGCACAAGGTTAAAATCTCATGCTTTGATTGCCAACAAGATGAGATTTTAATCTCTACATGTTGTTCTAATGTTGTTTCTTCCTTTCCTTTTGGATAAACAACAAGTTACACTTTGGTACTTAGAAAATTAGAGCATGACTAGGAAAATAAAGGAGCCAAATGGAATCTATTCTAACATTTTAAAAAATGTTCTAGGTGTAGAATTGCTTCCCAGAAATTAATCCCTTTTAGGAAAAATAGCCTAATCTACTTTCCACTTTGGTAATATTTCTATAGAAATTAGGGAAATTACTAAAGAAAAAATTTTTTTTTACAGAAACTCTTTACTGGCTCTGACTTATTAAGAGCTCATCCATGCATTTTATAGGAATTTTTTGTTTGAATTCCAAGTTTCTTTGTCATTGGTTATTGATTTTTATTAACTCAATTGGGAAAAATTTTAGTAGACCATTATCTTTATGAACAACATTCTCTGTTTTTCAAATATTCCTTTGTTGTTCTCATTTGGATGACAACATTGAAAGAAAAATTTGTGCTCTTACATTATAAATATGCTGTGTTATTAATCTTGTAACAATGCTTTTTTTCTATTTTTTGATGTATATTTTTGATGGTTTATAAAAAATAGTTAATAAAAATGCTAACAGAAGTTGTTTTTTGGGGGGGTGGGGGAGAAGCACACTAATTAAGTTATCTCTAGGGATTTACCTGAGAATAAAATTATTATTCATTATTATTTTACTATTCTGATATAAATTTTCTTTTCTTTTACTAGCCATTGCCTACCCATCTGGTGCCTTTTTGGATTTTTCCAACTTCTAGGAAATAATTACGGTTTAAAAAACTAATATTTTGTTCTAGTTATTATATTAAAATTCTTTTGCTTTTTATTCTAGTTCTTAGAACTTTTTCAAGCAAATATTCACATGCAAATCTGACTCACACATTGGAAATCACCTTATGCACTCTATGAGAACGATTTTTTTTTCTTGGTAGAAAGTTTGTGTTTTTGATTCTTTCCTATCCCAAAGCCTCAAATTTCAGAATAATTTTAGCTTCTCATATGATTATTATACTACCTTATATTATTCTCCACATCAAGGTAACGATTTTTAGTGCACTAAGAATGTTACTGTACTAGCAGTGTTTTGTTTAAAATTTAGCCTATTTCATTTTGGCTATAAATATGCTTAGTCTTTAAAATTACTATTCAGGACAGTTTCTTTAAAAAACTATTTAGCCTGTAAAAAAGAAGGAAATCCTGTCATCTGCAACAACATGGATGAACCTTGAGGACAATATGCTGAGTAAAATAAGCCAGTTACACAAAAACAAATACTTTATGGGGCTGGGGTTGTGGCTGAGCGGTAGAGTGCTAGCCTGGCATGTTCAAGACTCTGGTTAGATCCTCAGCACCACATAAAAATAAATAAAATAAAGATATTTTGTCCAACTACAACTAAAAAAAATTTTTAAAAATTACTACATAATTGCATTTATATGAAGTATCTAAAATAAGCAAATTTGGGGCTGGGGATGTGGCTCAAGCGATAGTGTGCTCTCCTGGCATGAGTGGGGCACTGGGTTCGATGCTCAGCACCACATAAAAAATAAAATAAAGATGCTGTGTCCACCGAAAACTAAAAAATAAATATTAAAAAATTCTCTCTCTCTCTCTCTCTCTCTCTCTCTCTCTCTCTCTCTCTCTCTCTCTTTCTCTCAAAACATAAAAATAAAATAAAATAAGCAAATTCATAGTATCAAAAAGCAGAATGGTGGTTGCTAGGAGCAGCAGGAAAGGGAAAACAGGGAGTGACTAATGATGAGTATAAAAATTCAGAGAGATAAATATGGAGCTGGGCATGGTGGTACACACCTGTAATCCCAGTGACTCAGGAGGTTGAAGCAGGAAGATCACAAGTTTGAGGCCAGCCTCAGCAATTAACAAGGTCCCAAACAATTTAGCAAGAGCTTGATTCAAAATAAAAAGTGCTAGGCATGTAGCTCAGTGGCAAAGCACCCCTGGGTTCAATTCCCAATGAGAGAGAGAGAGAGAGAGAGAGAGAGAGACAGAGACAGAGACAGAGACAGAGACAGAGACAGAGAATGTGCATTAAGAGATTTGCAGTACAACATTGTACTTACAATGCTTTTCATGCTAGGTGTTCTTGGCAAAATTTTTTAAAAGGAAATGATTTTAAGAATTTTCATGTTGGTAAAACAGTTTTATGATACTCATTGATATTTCTATAGTTAGAATGTGGCTTGAGTTTTCTTTGTTATCAAATATAATTAGATAGCTTAAATATGGGGGGAAAAATCTTTCTCCTTTATTTTTCAAAGAAGACATCCCAGCACAATACACAAACCTGAACAATGAGAATGTTGATGTAATGACTAAAAGACTTCTGAGATCTAGTTAAAGGTGACAAAGAAGTAAACATTTTCCTCTGGTGACCAAATGATTACAGATCCTGTCTTAGCTTCCTTTCTTGGCATATTCTACAGATCTGCCGATTGGTTATATACTATTTTTTTTTAAAGATTTGATTGACTGATTAAAAGACTGAAATTTGTCATGATGATAAGAGGCATTAAATGATATATTTAAAGAGTTAAAGGGAGAACAAAGTAACTGAGGCAAACTAGATTCTTACATATATTTTTATCACAATGGATCAAAATGGTGACCAATAAAAATCTGAAAACTTAAAATCTGATGTACTCCATGTTTTTGTAAAGAATTTAGTATAATTAGGGGTTGAATAACACTACACAGGCCTACAGATCAGATGTTTTGTTACACTTGACTGTAATTTAAATTAAGTACATATGTTGAGGGGCCTTGATTTGACTTCACAGAGTAGTCTCAATTTCATGAAAAATTAGAAAGTTAAAGATCCAGGTTAAGATGAAGTTACATTAGGGCAGTAGGAGAAATTTTCTTTTCCAATATTCAATTATGTACATTTTCACAGTTTAAGTGTGGGTCTGTTTCTGTTGAAAAAAATACATTTTACTCACAAATATTTCCAACTTGAAAACACCCATTTTATGTTTAAGCATATAAGAAAATAGACTTTTTAGAACATTGAAAAACCAAAAGGCAGAGATACAGCTCCATGATACTGGAACACTGATTCTTTTGCTCCAGAGTGGGGTGCTACCTAATTCATGCTGTGTTGGTTTAAAAAGCAGAAGTGGTGGTCCATTGTAAAATTTGCTTAAATTTTAAAATTTGCACAGATTGCTAGTATGACCATTTTTCTGGGACAATAGAATGTGCTTTGTGTAAAGGTTTTGTGGGGGGGAGACTGTGTCTGTCTCCTCACTCTGGCTGGATGCTGCCTATGATGCAAGAACCACTGGACACTTGGTGTCCACTGTGGAACTAGAGGCCAGGTTGCCCTGAGACCACTCACTCTGTGAAAACTCCTGAAGCTTTTGCATACTATATGTATCCACAGTAAAACAATATTACTCTGTAATACATAGTATATGAGTGTGTGTGTGTAATGTTTTCTATCCATGATCCATTAGAAATGGAACATGACAGGATATAAAAGTCAACATTCATAAATCAAATGCATTCCTATACATTGGTGATGTATACACTGAAAGAGAAATTAGGAAAACTACCCCATTCACAATAGCCTAACAAAAGAATAAAGTATTTGGGAATCAATCTAACAAAGAGGTGAAAGACCTCTACAATGAAAACTACAGAACATTTAAGAAAGAAATTAAAGAAGACTTTAGAAGATGGAAAGATCTCCCATGTTCTCAGATAGGCAGAATTAACATTGTCAAAATATCCATACTACCAAAAGCATTATAAAGATTTAATGCAATTCCTATGAAAATCTCAGTGACATTCTTCATAGAAATAGAAAAAGCAATCACGAAATTCATTTGCAAAAGTAAGAGACACAGAATAGCCAAAGTACTCCTTAGCAAGAAAAATGAAGCAAGAGGCATCACAATACCAGACCTTAATGATACTACAGAGCCATAGTAACAAAAATGGCATGGTATTGGCAACAAAACAGATTCAAGGACCAATGGTACAAAATAAAAGGCACAGAGACAAATCCACATAAATACAGTTATTTCATACCAAACAAAGGCATCAAAAACTATACACTGGAGAAAAGATAGCCTCTTCAACAAATGGTGCTGAGAAAACTGGAAATCTTTATATAGCAAAATAAAATTATACCCCTATCTCTCACCCTACAGAAAAAAATAAACTCAAAGTGGATCAAGGACTTAGGCACTAGAACAGAGATCCTGCACCTAACAGAAGAAAAAGTGGGCCCAAATCTTCACCATGTTGGCTTAGGAATTGACTTTCTTAACAAGACTCTTATGCTTAGTGAAGCTAGCCAATCCCTAAAAAACAAATACCAAATGTCTTCTTTGATATAATGAGAATAACCAGGAACAGAGCAGGGAGGAAGAGCAGGAAGAAAAGATCAACATTAAACAGATACAATAGGTGGGAGGGAAAGAGAGAGAAAAGGGAAATTGCATAGGAATGGAGGGAGACGCTCATTGTTATACTAAATCACACATAAGAGGTTGCGAGGGGAATGGGTAAATAAACAAGGAGAGAAGTGAAATACAGTAGATGGGGTAGAGAGACAAGATGGGAGGGGAGGGGAGGGGGGATAGTAGAGGATAGGAAAGGGAGCAGAATACAACAGTTACTAATAGGGCATTATGTAAAAATGTGGATATGTAACAGATGTGATTCTGCAATCTGTATTTGGGGTAAAAATGGGAGTTCATAACCAACTTGAATCTAATGTATGAAACATGATATGTCAAAAGCTTTGTAATGTTTTGAACAACCAATAAAAAAAATTTATATATGGAAAAAAAAAGAAGTAAAATCAAGAATCAATAAATGGGATGGAATCAAACTAAAAACCTTCTTCACAGCAAAGAAAACAATAATGTGAAGATAGAAAAAATCTTCACCATACATACCTGAAACACAGCACTAATCTTCAGGATATATAAAGAACTCAAAAAAGCTAACATCCCCCCCAAAAAAAAACCCAAATAATCCAATCAATAAATGGGCTAAGGAACTAAACAGACACTTCACAGAAGAAAAAATACAATTGATCAACAAATATACGAAAAAACGTTCAACATCTCTAGCAATTAGAGAGGTGCAAATCAAAACTACTCTAATATTCATCTCACTCCAGTCAGAATGGCAATTACAAAGAATACAAGCAACAATAAATGTTGGCGAGGATGCGGGGAAAAAGGTACACTCATACATTGCAGGTGATACTGCAAATTGGTGCAACCACTTTGGAAAGCAGTATGAAGATTCCTCAGAAAACTTAGGATGGAACCACCATTTGACCCAGTTATCCCACTCCTCAATTTATACCCAAAGAACTTAAAATTAGCATACTATAGAGATGCAACCACATCAATGTTTATAGCAGCTCAATTCACCTATGGAATCAACCTAGGTGCCCTTCAACAGATGAATGGATAAAGAAAATGTGGTATATATACACAATGGAATATTACTCAGCCTTAAAGAAGAATGAAATGATGGCATTTTCCAGTAAACTGGAAAATATCATGCCAAGTGAAGTGAGCCAATCCCAAAGAACCAAAAACCAAATGTTTTCTCTGATATGTGGATGCTAATTCACAATGCAGCAGGGAGGCTAGGGAAGAATAGAGGTACTTTGGATTAAACAGAGGGGCATGAAAGGAGGGGAGGGTGTATGAAGGTAGGAATGATAGTAGAATGAATCAGACACTATCACCCTGTGTGCATAATGATTATACAACTGGTAGAACTCTTCACTACGTACAACCAGAAGAATGAAAAGCTATACTTCTTTTATGTATGATGTGTTCAAATGCATTCTACTGTCATGTATAACTAATTAGAACAAATAAAAAATAACAATTTTCCAGAGTTAGGAAAAATAAAAAAGAAATGCTACATTAATAACAATATATGGGGATGTTTAGACACTAAACACTGAAGTCTTTCAACCCGTAATTTAAACGAAAATACTCATGAAAAGCACATTTCTATATAAACTCATAAATAGATGGTAGCAAAAATTTTTTTAAAAAAGAATCTTCCAGTGATTTCTGGAGAGGGTTGGCCATGACACTCCTCACAGTTAGCAAAGTAAGGGAACCTAAATGCTCTTAGATATTTCCAGTATAACTGATGGTGATCAACCATGGTGCTGTCTCTGCTGATCTCTAAGTCAACTTTGGTGTTATTGTTTTAATAGAGAAGAGAACATTTATTTTTATATATGAAATTCCATGGCCGAATTTTTAAATTACGTGATGCATCTGGCCATTGGGAGTTTAAAGAAATTGTGAATACCAGAAAACTACCCATCCGTCTGGCTTTTCCAGGTAGCCTGATTATTAATATACATGCTTTAACTTACCCCCAGTGGCTCAGTACGAGGTCTGGGCAGGCAAGAAAAGGTCTCTCTCAGGAAGGTGGTAATCTCCAGGAGAAGCTGACAAGCTGCCATCTTCAAGGCAAAGGGGCAGCCACATTTAGAGGGGTTCACAGTACCTAAGGAATTAAGGAGGTCTTCGATTAGAAGAGAAACCAATAACATATACAGACAGGCACGGTTTGATGGACCTAGGTACATGCATGCAAAATCAAATTTCATGAGACTGTTACCTATACAAGTTCAATCTACCAATTGCACATAATGTATGCATTGCATACACCTCTCTTCTTCATTTTGCAATTCTTTAAGGACTACTTCAGTATTAAAATATCAGACCATACTCTTATTTCTATTTAGATCAGATATCAGACTTTTTACTAAAATAGCACACAAGCAGAACTAAATTATTCATCTTAAAACCTTGTAGAGTGGGGCTGGGGTTGTGGCTCAGTGGTGGAGCACTTGCCTAGCACAAGTGAGGCACTGGGTTCATCCTCAGTACCACATTAAAAAAAAAAAAAGGAAGACACTATTGTGGTTAAATTAAAAAAAATTAAAAAATACCTTTTAGAGTAATAAAATATAACCCCAGTAAACTAGAAAATGTTTTAATAAAAAGAGAAATACAAAGTACTCATACATTCAATCAGATATAGACTATGTAAATGGCAATGAACTAGACTGAGAACTACAACAATCCTGTCAGCTCATTTTATGAAAGGATGTTAGTCTTAATGTTCTGGGGTAGTGAAGTTGTTTCCGCTCTACTCCAGTTATGTTTGTGCAACACAGACAAGAGAAAACACACTTACCAGGTCACCTATATCACATCATTATTACAAGGTAGTCTATTTTAGTAGACTACAGCTACTTTAGAAGTATGCCAAAGTTCTTTTTTGCTCTAAAGAACAGTGGATTTTAAGTTAGTAAGACATTGTATCCACCATATGCCAACTAATGGATTTTATCCACCATATGCCAAATAATGGCCATTGTGACACACAGACACTATAAAAATTCTCTTCTCAGATATGTGTCACCACAAATCACACAGAAATGTACTAATTAGTGTTCAGCATAAAGTCAAAAACTATGTAGTGTTCTGCCTCTTATGAAAGAAAAAAAGTTATCTATTTTGAGTGAATCAAGAAATCAGGAAATCTCAATATCATTACATGGCAATATACTAAAAATATCTCTAAAATGTATCCTGAATGTTAAGCTTTCTTAATTAGATAGCATATAGACTTCATGATTTCTGTTGACATAGAGAGAAATCATGGTCTTCTGATGATATCTGGGATATTGCTTCTTGCTGAAAACCATTATTTGCTCTCCAGAGTTAATATGCAACTGGAAACTTTGCTTCTCATTAAGAATGGAAGAGACGAGCTCCTGTAGAACTTTCAAACTGAAATTTGCCTGCACTGTATTTAGCTTTTAAGTGCAAGATAAGCTAATCTCAAGATGACTTTAAACTAAATCACACATATCATTTTTATATTCAGTGGAGTATGGTTTTAAAAATGCCTAGATGTGCAAGACTGTTTAAAAAATAATAGAACACTTTCTGGATCTGTCCTATTCAGACTCTTCCTATCAGTTGGGTAAACAGTAAACCTAGTCTTAATCTACGATCTTTCATGATTGACATCTGAAATACTCTGTGGCAGTGATCAAGGATTGACTTCTACATGGCCTCAACAAAAAGCTGACATATGAGACAGAACATATCAGTAATTGATACTTTTGTGGTCTAATGGAAATTTGAGTTCACTTTGGCATAAAAGGGTACATCCATTTAGTGTTGCTCTCTCAGGGCTCTTGGGATCCCCAAGGCAGTTTTGGGGTGCCATTTGGATGGTTGGGTGTTATATAAGGCCTTCTCTAGGTTTTGTGATTGCTGGATAGTCCTCCAGTCTTCCTGTGGGTTAAATTCAATTCCATGAATCATTTTAAGATAGACTCAACTATATCCGGGGTCAACTTTCATCATTAAGCTGAAATACTAGTGTGAAAATTTGGTATTTTGTCAACAGCTAAGTCTAGAAGATTTGCTAATTTGATAAGGTCTTAGAAGAGCAAATTAGAGGGAATTTTTAAAAAATCATACGAATTCTCTTTGATTATTGCTGTCCAAAGTTATACTTCTTTCACATCCCATGTCTACAGAAAGGCAATGGATTTGACATGAATTAACTAACAGCAACCCTTAAAATATAACTAGGGAGCTTGAATTTCAAACCAGAAGGGAAGGTTAAAAGGACAGTGTGTCACAATCATCTTCATATAAAGACCCTAATTTTATAACCATAATTGGAATTTCATCTCCATATAAGGCAGTGGCGCACATACACACAAGCTAGTATGGTATGGAGCACACACATGAACAAAATGTTGTTGGAGACTATGAACTGGAATTCCTTTGTCTCTACTCTTCTATGATGAATATAATAAACAAATACAGTACTGCAGAAATTCATAGCTTAAGCAAATTATTTTAGTATTTCAATTTCATGTCAAACACCATAATACAGTCTGATTAAGTAACTGAATATTTTAGTGATTTGGAAAGCATGTCCTGTTCAGTTCTATTTTATCACTTTCTTATTTCCAAAAGCAATAACAACACAAAAAAAAAATGACAAAATCTCATCTGGAACAGCAATTGTTTATAACTAGATTTTCTCAGAGAGGTTGAATACCAAGCTATGTTTAATAGCAGGAGTCAGAGACTAAACAGTAATGGGTTTTGCACATTGCCTACAGCGCTTTGCCCTTGTCTGTCTTCTCTTTCTGGTTTATGCCCTCTCTCTGTGTGGCTTAATGCACATGCTTACGTCCATGCATAGGAGACAGGCGGAAAGGCGCAGTGCGGGGGACATGGGAGGGTGGCAAGAGGATGAGAGAAGAAAGAGAAATATTAAGAGCTCCTAAAGCAGAGGTTCTTACAAGCAGGGGTTCTTGTAGTAAAGGGAGTCTCCTTACTGTCATCTAAAAAGTCTTCCTCCTCATCCTCCTTTCTCAGTCTCCTCTTGGTCTCCTCATCATAAATGAGGCCTAGCAGGTTGGCTGGGCTCTCACTCTCCCCATGACACAGCTCATTCAACCGGACGCCAATTGCCTGCCATGGGAAGAAAAGAATAAAACAGTACAAAGTATGTTAGACTCCAACATCTGTTACAGAGGATATAATCAACCAATGAATGGGGATTATTTCCAGCATAAGCGTCTTTTGCAGGATGTAGTGTGCACCACTATATCTGCCAATAAAGAAACCAAGGTAGAAGGCATTGACCTTATCTCTAGGATCCTTTAGTATGAAGTCTTGTAGAAACTGGAATGACATTTTTGTGTACTAATAAAGAAGCTGTTTTGTTTTTTTTCTCTGACAGCATGTCCATTTCCTCAAAGGTCATTTATTTTACAGATCTATTATTAGGGAATATACAGCTACTTTTACTGTGGTATAAAATGAGAAGGCACTGTTCCTCAGAGTGCTTCTGATTATGCTAGTTTATGAGAATATCGGTTTAGAAGTTGGCAAGAATTCTGGTCCTGCAGTTTTATTTATATCTGCCGTTATGTATGTGCTTATTGGCTTTTATAGACTGTTTTCCCCCTTCCACAATACTCCACAAATTAGTAAAAAGTATTAGCTTCTCTTTTCGTAGAGTACCTAATGACTATATTAGAAACATGACTTTTAATAACTGCACACATTGGACTGGGGTTGTGGCTCAGTGGCAGAGCATATGCCTCAGCACCATATAAAAATAAATAAAACAAAATAAAGATATTCTGTCCATGTATAACTAAAACAAATATTTAAAAAATAACTGCACACATTGACAATATCAGCTTTTATGTTATATTAATAAAATCAATATCCTTGCTAACTGTTCTTCCGAATCACCATGCACTGTTATATGATTTATCAAGAAGAGACAAAAAACCTCTATCTATATCCTTCTACATCCCAACTCTATAGAATATGCAACAGTAAAAGAACCTGGGCTTAGGGAGGAGAGTCAGGGAAAAGGCTAAGCTGAGTACTGAACTTGAGGTTTGACCATTTGGTTCTCTGTGTATTAGCAAGAACAAATTTCACCTAATTTTGTTCTTTCCTCCAATATCATACATTTTAAAAATAATTAGAAAATTTACTAAATACTGGGTATTCAAAGTATTAGACTCAACATTAGAAACTAACATTCAAACACTACTGGATATGCAAAGTATATCCAGAACTCTTTAAATAAAAACACAAATTTTTTGAATATCTTAGAAAACTTGAAACAAATAGGTATCCTTAAACTCTATAAAATTACTTGACAAGCTACAAACCAAGAAGCATAAACCACATTAACAAGAAAGTACTATGAAAAGATATCACCACGGGATCCTGGGATTTTAGCTAACCTGGGAAGTTTTAAGTAAACAAAACAAAATATAAAAACAAAACCAACTAGTACTTCCATCTCAAAAGACCTTATTCTGAGGATGAGACAGGCAATTATGAGGCTGCATCATAAGACTCAAAGGGGGAATTTATTGTATCAATCTTTCTGGGATATTGTAACTAAATAATTAAGTTAATCCACAGTTTATAAAGCAGAAAGCATTATGAAAAATAAATTTGGGCTAAATTTCAAATCAATTAGAGCTCTACACCTTATTTTTTCTTTCTTCCCTTTCTTCCTTCATGCATCAAGTATTTATAGAGTGAGGTAATTTGTAAGGTATAAAATAGAACACTAAATTTGGTTAGCTGTATAATATAGTAGTATCTTTGTTTAATGTGCCCTAGTAGATTATACTTCCACATACAGCAGGGTTGCTGTTGGGAAAATAGGAAGGTTAGAAAGGTCAAGAGACTTGCAGACAGTTGCTCAGCAGACTGTGAAATGGGATTCAAACACAAGAGTGTCTATGTCTATATAATATTTTTTCCTCCATGACTTACAGTCTATTGAGGAGGTAATAAAATACTGAAATAATGCAATAGGAGACTGAAAACAATTAGTTCAGAAGATAGGTTAAATTCATTCAAAGAGTCTTACTGCTGTAGACTCTGAGGAATTGGAGTTTTGATTGATGGAGACTGGAGAGTGAATATGTTCAGTTGCAGGGCCCTAAAAGATCCACATTCAGGGAAAGGCACCACGTATTCAGAGATTGATAGGTAGGTCACTTGGTTGAATCCCAATTTTATGAGAGGAAAGAAACAATGTGCAGAAAGAATAGAAAGGTAGGTTAGAACTAGGTAACCTGATCACTGTCTCAGGGACATTGCGATAGCTGCCCAGGTATGCAGAGACAAGACAAGCAGCCTGCTTTAAAAAAAAATTATTTAATGACCTATTGTTATTAAACATATCTTAGGTACAAAGTCTTAAGACAAACATTAGGTGCATTAGCTCATTTGACTTTGTCATACATAATCTTGAGTGGTTTGAGCAAAGATTCTGCAGTGGGCAGTGATGCCAGATTAAGCAATGTTAAGATTTAAGCCAGAGGAAAAGGAGGGCCAAGGCATTTTAAGCAGGTAGAAACATGTTCTGATTTGCATTTTAGCCCAATCACTGCCAGAAAGTTTGGAGAATGACTTGAAGGGGGCATGTCTGGTGGCTGGGAAACCAGTATGAATGCTGTTTGGGAAAGGCTGTGCCTTGGGGAGATCACTTTACCAGCAGTGTATAGGATGGATTAGATGTGGGAAGACTGAGGAGGAGACCAAATGGGAAAATGATTTAATGAAGAATGATGTAATGATTTAATGAAAATGATGTAATGAAGATCTCACCTATGGAATTCAGTGAATGGGAGAGATAGGATCAATAGGGGATGAAGGTTTGCAATATGTTCAAAGATTGTCATGTAAGATGATTGTGGTACTATTAATAAGAATACAAAGCTCAAGGATGGTTGCAGGCAGGATGTGTTCATTTGGATAGAAGAGTTTTATTTAGGTAAAAGTGAGTTTCTGGGTATCAAGTGAATGCCCCCGAATTGGCAATGAAAGAAAAAAAAAAATCTAAAAAGTGCTAGGGTGCTATGGATAGAAAAGTCTGTGCTACTGGCACACAGGAAATAGCTGGAAACACAGGAATAATGAACCTTGGAGGAAATAACTCAGGAAGAAATTACAAGAGATCCTGAGTATTATCCGCATTCACGGAGAGGGAGGAGGCAGAGGACTGGGGAGAAGACAGAGGATGGGGCACTGAGAGGCCAGGAAACTCTGGAGCACAGTGGTTATGGAAGACAAAAGGAAGGAAAAGGTCAAGGCAGTCAGCTGAGTCAACAGCTGCAAAAATGTTAGAAGGCATTAATCATGAAAGTATTTATTTGGAAAGTCCTTTGGTTAAAACCCTACAAATCGGAAACCATCATATGTTTAGCACTTACTTGATTTCCCCTTCTTGTGGGAAGCCCATAGGATTAGAAATTGGAACTGCTTTTTTCAGAGATATCACTTAAAACAGACCCAGAATGAGGTAGGTAATAAATGGGGGTCACCACATCTCTGTGCATTGAAGAAAGGGTCTGTTTTATGCAAAACCCACTTTTGTCCTCAAATTCACAATAATTGTGGGAATGAAAATTGCTCACACTTTTAGAAAACAAAAAGGAGAAAAGACAAAGATATCTTATCAGTGGAGGACTATAACGGGTAACTGTTGTATCAGAAAGTTTTTTAATACTACTTTAGAAAGAACTTAAAAAGTATATCCTAAAGGGAAAATAAAGTTAAAAATCTGACAACTGGTCTAATTATCTATCTTAGTGACCACAAATCTTATTGTTTATTTTAGGAGATCCCAAATTAGGTCTATCTCAGACCAGGGAGTCATCCCTGATTTCATTAATGTTCTTGTACCTGTAGAATGAAAGATGGGAATGATTCAGAATTCCAATAGACTGGCTACATGGAGCAACAAGCTCATTTGCCTGGGAGATTTTTGCAGCACTGGAGGAGGTGGATTGGAAGGGCAGCATGGAGAGCAGCTTTGTAATTTTTTTAACAGAATTTGTCTCCTCTGTTATGGACCTTTTCTACCTAAATGAGATGAAAACAAACCAATTGTATTTGTCATTTTACTAAATTAATAAAACATGAAGAAATATTAGGATTACAATAACATCACTATAAACATAGTGATTATCAATGGAAGAGTTTTAAGTGATGGTCTACAACCTGTTGAAATTAAAGGTAATGTGCTTGGTAATGGTTAACTGTTCTTCTTATTAAATCAATATTCTCATTGAGTTGGTAAGTATATGTTATCTATGTTTTTAGGTATGCATAATTTTATATATGCATATATAAATATACGATATATATTTATTATATATAATATATATCGTATATTTATTGCATATATAACATAAATATATATGATTTTATATATACATACTTGTATTAAAAGAACTATTTTGGAAATCTGTTGCAGGGACAACTCTGTTTCAGGGATAATACTATTTCTGGTTTTTTTGGGGGGTACCAAGGATTGAACTCAGGGGCACTCGACCACTGAGCCACATTCCCAGCCCTATTTTGTTAGAGACAGGGTCTCACTGAGTTGTTTAGTACCTCGCTGAGGCTGGCTTTGAACTCATGTTCCTCCTGTATCTGCCTCCCAAACTGCTGGGATTACAGGCATAAGCCACCATGCCAGGCTATGCTATTTAGTAATATTAACAAAGAAGGGAAGAATCTATTTAGGAAATGCTTTTGAATTAAAGTAGCAGTGATATTAGGAATTTTTAATTGCTTGTCTTATTTTGCCTGAAAAAAATTAAAAGAGTCAAAATACCCCTCTCCTTAAAAGAATTGTACAATTGAAGAAAAATACTTTATGTCTCCAATTTCCCAGAGAGAAGGTGTGTTCAGAATTACCTGGTTCTTTGTGGAAAAAGGAAGACAACTTTTCACCAGTGGAGTGCTGAATCATTTTTAATGTGATATTGGATACAAAATAATGGGTGTAGGGGATAACAACCCTTCATCTGCTCTCTGCCACTTGTGAACTCAATTTTACATCTGATTGTTTTATTTTAAGAGTAAAAAGTTTGGTGTCTCCCAGGAAATGTCATTCTGCTTTTAGTATGGTCATGAAACAGCACCCACAAAGCTGGGTCATTAGAAATATCACTCACTGTTTTAATGACAGAAATATAAATCTGAAAGAGATAAAATGCATTTTGCATGCGTGTTTAGTGGGAAAGCTTGGGTTATAACTTGATCATCATCTTGTCAGAGGAGAGAGTAGGTTGTAATAATCAAGATGAGGGAGTCCTGAGATTGGGGGTGAGAGGTTCCTGTACAATTGGTTAGAAGAACCTAGAGCCAAAAGACAATGGACCCTCCAATTACCTGCCCTTGCTTTCCTATAATCTTACTTACGCACTTCTTCCTCCAGCATCTTATCATAGTGACTAACCCTCATGTAAACATGCTTTACAAATTATTTTAAGGCACCACCCTTGAAGAACGTGCTTAGGGCCAGCCACCCTCCCCACTCTCCACCCACACCCTAGTTTTGTTTCATCTCTCAATGCCAATGTTTTGTCCACTGTGACATTTGTTCTAAGATTTCTTGTTATCTAGCTATTTTATAAGCAAATTTAGGGGAAAATTCCTATTTTCTATGAAAAGAGATGTATTAGAACTTTGCACATAAGCCAAGGGAAACCTTCAAAGAGAGGAGATAAAATATCCATCCTCACAAGGAAATATTAAGGCACTGGAGTGATAATCGATGCCGTTATTCAGGATATCAAAGGATAGGCTGGAACATTGGTGACAAGAGTCAAGAAGGGCTGAAGTGTGATCTAGCCATGGTGAAGAAAAGAATAGCATTCCAAATGAGCAGAGCCCTGTGGCAAAGTCTACTTAAAGGATGAGAAATTTTTACCTACATTCTAAGAAAGACAGTGGTAAAGGTATATCATTTGTTAATTAAGTATTTAGTTTCACAGATAAAATAGTCTCAGGTGTATCATGAGAATATCTTGCCTTCTCTCAGATATTTGTGGCAAATACCCAACTTTTGGATATGAACTTCCCTAATAAGGTTTGATTAGAATTCCTAATGAAGATTCATTTATTTTTGTTCACTTATACACATATGTAGGTACATGAGTAACTATAACATGTAGTTATTTCTGAAGGCTTTCGGGTAACTAAGAGATGGCATATAAACAAAAAAGAAAATTCTGTTAAAAAACTGGGATTAAAAAAAAACATGTCCTGGGAAAACATAAATTAGAATAGAAAGCCAAAATGGGATGTAAGCATTAACTATTACCAACAATAATTTTCACAAAGATGATTCTTGATGAATATAGCAATTGAAAGCAAAAATTTGGAATCCCGAGTGGGAGATGGAATACCAGTCCCTCCTTGTACCAGATATGCAAACTCTGGCAAATAGCTTGACATATGTTAACATCAGTTTTGATGATTTAGTAATCTCTCACCTCATAGATTTATTTATTGGAAAGATTAAATGAGTGGTTCATTTCCCCACTAAGTGTTTCATTCAGTGCCTGGTATATAACAATGAATTGTCTTCAAAACCAAACACAATCAAAAACTCCACTCAAGTACTCTAAGTTTGACAGAAGAAAATTCAAAGCTCACGTCTCCCCACTGGTAGAAGAGCTTGGCAGCATTCCACTGCAGCTTCTGGTTCCGCTTGTTGCCCACGATGGGGGACCGTCCCCGGGAAAGGCCCTTCTTAGTAATGTTCACATGGTGCCCTTTCATCCACTCTGGCCAGTTGCCTCTGTTGCAGCGGTGAACAAAACGGGCACATTCCAGGAACAAGGCTGCTCGGGCCACCACAGGGGCTTCCTGAGTAGGGTTGAGGAGGAAATAGTAATGTATGGTTAATGACCAATACCTTTAATTTAACTTATAAAAAGAATATTGTGGGATTAATAAACAGTATCTCTATGTTGACAATATTTCTGTGAATTTAGTTTATTTTAGCTTCCATGTTTGGATTTAGCTTGGCCATATTACCCAAGTGATGTCAGCACAGTCATGGAAAATCTGAAAAATGTAACCACAAAGGCAAATCTTAGAAATTAGACTTTCTAAGCAGGTTTCTATGCTTTATTCCTTCTGAGGAATCTCAAGTAATTACATGCTTCCATTTTGCATTTCAAGGGCAATTGGGATTTGGATATAATAGGGAGTTTTTTATGTTTTTAAATATGAAACATTTTAAATATAAAATCTTTTTTTTAAAACCTAAAATCTTAACATGAAGGAAACACTTATTACATTTCTAGAACTAGTCTATTTCAATCAAGGGTGTTGTGATGTTGTACCATTGACAATCTTTTATCTATGACCATTCATACATTTCAAGGGGGTAAAATTGCTTACTGCACATTTTGTTGAGTTACTCTTTATTTTTTTTAATACTGTCATTGAATAAGAGATCAAATTCTGTCTAATAGGCCTGGTTTCAATGGAAAATGTTTGACAAAGAGAGAATTATTTTTTGGTAAATTAAAAAGCAGAACATTTCTTCATGAAAATAAAATTATGCACCATCTTGTCATGTCAAGATATGGTTGAAAAAATAAAAGATGATACACTTTGTTGTTGATACCCAGAAACTGGTGTGAAAATGAGATGCTCTATTGAATATTTAAAAGATTTTTAAGATCTTTTACAGGTGACATGTCCCATAGCTTAACAGGTCATAAGAAAAATATACATGAAGTATTAATGTGTATTTTGAATTGTGCCAGTTTTGAAATACATATTACAATATTAGCCAGTAATTCATGATTACTTAATAACCATGGGTTACTCAGAAATGTCAGATTTTCAAATTGAAGCCATAGTATTCTTAACAATACATTGATCCATGAGGTTAAATAGGGGTTAATATGTAGAGAGAGTCATGTAGCAGTTAACTTTCTTTTATAAATTATAATATATAACAACCCCATGATGTAGAAATAATATCTTTGCTTTAAGATTTTAAAAACAAGATATAATTTTCCCACTTTCACATAGCTGGGAAGAGGTGCACACAGGATCTTTTTGTAAGTTTTTTTTAGTTATACATGGACATAATACATTTATTTTGTTTGTTTATTTTTATGTGGTGCTGAGGATTGAACCCAGCACCTCACATGTGCAAGGCAAGTGCCACTGAGCCCCCAACTCTAGTCTGCACACAGGATCTTTGATGCCCAGATCTATACTAGTTCCATTTTGGTATCTAAATTCTCTCAACTTATATAAATCTTAGTAAAAGATGATTTTTAGAATGTCAATTGACATTATTTTATTTTATTTATTTTTTGAAATTAATTTAAAATGGGACATTGGTCCCATGTGATATTATTTTTTAAAACAAATATATGATCATATTCTTTCCCAATTCCAAATCTATTACAAGATCCATCTACCTCAATTTGGTTTCTTTCTTTCTATTCCCATCTCAAGTGCTCTATAACCCAGTCATATCAAAGTAGTTGTGGTCTCCAAATAGAGACCACATATACCTTATGTTGTTTCCCTGAACTTGCAGAACCTTTAAACTCCTTTTCCACCTGGAAAATTCCCACTTTTAAGATTCAGGTTAGGTACCTCTTCCCCTGAGAAGCTTTCTTTATTCCCATCCCCTTTCAGGCAGATTTCGTTGCTTCATGGTTTTGAGTACCACAGTATTTCAAACACTAGACAACTCAAGTATTTTTTTTTTTTACTTTAGCCCCTTAAGCATTGTCTCATTGTCTATGGCTTAAATGTAGCATCGAGAATATTTTTAGGGAGGGGCTTAATTTTACAAAGCATGTTACATAGTGCCACAGTTCAAAAGGCAATCTCTAAGAAAAGGCAGAATGCAAAAATAAACACTAAGGGTGAGAATCTGTCCTTAACACATCGGACACAAATGACAAGAATCAATCATTACCTCCGTGGGGCCAAGACTTGGGAAGAGGTCACTGGGATAGTGATCTTGAATTACATTACAAAGCATCAAATAAAGGATTTTCTGCATTAAGCTCATAAATATTGTGGTGCTTTTCCATATAGTATAAATATCTTACTTATATATTCTTATATTAATTGGTATTTATTTTACTAAACATGTCAGATATGCTTGTCTGTGTCTGGAAAAGCCTGGAACATCTGTCTTTAAAAACGAACACCAGTCTGGAGGGCAAGGCAAGCGATGTAATTTATTTTTAGCCTGTCACATTGTGACACGTTCTCAATATAAAGTGATGTGAATTCAATGCTTAATGACAGGGAGACAGAAATAACATCGCTTGAGTAGCATTATGTCATGAACTTTGCCTCCTCAGGATTAAAAAGGGTGAAACTCTTCTAGATCAGGACTGAGGGGTCAAAGATCTTTCCATTGCCCCTAACCATGATATGGCAGCTGAGAGGATCAACGGTGGATGAACCACTCAAATCGTGGTATGTGAGGCTGTTTAGGAAGCTCAAGGCATTTTATGAATGAAAAGAAATTTAAAATTCTTTGCTCTCCGAAATTTCTCATGATAAAACTTAGATGTTATCAGTATATAGTTATTGGCCCTGGGAATTCTAAATTATAATTGGACTTGAGATGATTATGAAAAGAATTCCCATTAACTGTACAGCACGATATTAAGGGAAAGGTTGGCTATTTTCTGATGAATTTGACCCATGTAAAGTACCAAACTCAGTATTATTTGGAAATGTCACTGTTTGCAATAAGGAAGGATGACAGGAAGTCATTCAAACATTGTCCCTTTATAATAATTCTCATGAACCTGGGGGCTGACAGCAGTCTTGGAGTTCCATATTCAAGATGGCAGTACATTTTACCAATTTCTGGGGAAGAGAACTGTGCATATTATTGTCCAGAAAACTAAGAGATATTGAGGCACAGAGCCAAGGTCACTACTCTGCATCCTAATGGAAGACACTTAGCAACAAGAACGGACTCACACTGCATGTGCAACAGCATTTAAAGCATTCTAGTGTGAGCAGGCCTGGGGTGATTTTTTAAAAAAATTTTTAGTTCCTTTCAGAGTGTAGTTTAGAAAGTACTGATTTTAGGGACAGGGTAATGAGTTACTTTGGGCAAAGAGTTCTTTGAATACATGAAGGAAAATCAGTTTCCTTCTTCTGAGGGAGTTTACCTCTCAAGGCTCAGTGCAATCTGAAGTAAAAGCAAGAAAGGGAGGCATGGCATAATGGATAAGGATGGACTCATACTATGGGCAAAACCAAGCATCACTGGAGAAAAAATGAATCAGAAGAATGCTGGATGCTGCAAATAACCATAGAATGTCAGAGGCACCATTATAAGTGAACAGCTGAACAAAAATGGACACCATTGACATGTCACAGAAAATGTGCCGGTGGTCCTAAAAGAAAAATAGGTATATGAAAAATGTCTCTTTCTTAACTTGTCTGCCTATGTCACTTTTTTAGGCACTAATTAATGAGACAGAATTGCTTCCTTTCCATTTCATCATAACTTCATAGTTTATACAAAAGCAAGAATAAACTAGGAAGACAAAGATATTAGGTTGAATCGTATGGAATTTCCAAATACAAAGGACAAAAGTAAGTCATACACCAGCAGTTTCATAATGGTTTACCCCATCTTATGTAAGGTGTTCTCTGCAATAGTTACAGTTGTCTAGTTAAAATTACAAGAATTCATGAGAATGTCGTTAATGCAGTCTGTATTTCTCTAATATTCTGCACCTAAAACCCTTTGAGCATCCATCTACTTTCCTTGACTTCCTTTGACATTTCCCCATGAATTTTATAAGATTGTTATGTATATTAAATGTTTCCTTTATGAAAGTGAAGCAGAGAATTGGGATACTAATCTAAGCAGCTGTGCTTTCTTTTGCCTGGGGACTTAGAAAATATTGTTAGCAAGATACGATGGTTAATTGAAGGTTATAATTGCAATGCATTCCTTTCCCTGAGGGACTATATCTAAGCTTATTATGTGAGAAGAAACCTTGACTGATCCTGAAAACTCATATAACACTGGACAGGAACTAACTGTTTTTAAGGACTAAATATTTTATGGTCATCCCTGGGGAATTACATATTTTTTATTGCCTTACAATAAAATAAAAAGGGCTAGCGGGTACAAGATATCTGTTTATTTAAAGCCAATGGGAATAAGCAGTTATTGTGGGTCTCAGTATGTATTGGGACCTTCTTTGCTAGAGGGCATGTGTTCTGAGTCAGTATTTATTACTTGGCTTGTATTGAATTCTCTGCTTGACTAAGATCATTAACTAACAGGCACATAAGCCAAAGGACTGCCCTGTCCCTGCTCATTTCTACAGTAGCTATGTGCAGACGGGAGGCAGGTATTATTGTTTAGCCCATGATCTGGATGGCTAGTCATTTTAACACCTACTCAGATCATGGTAATATTTTGAATATTTTAAAAATGAAATGAGGTCTTCTATTTCTGAAAATATAATAGATTAGGTGCAAAGATGAACTTCTTTTGGTTTAAAACACTTTAAAAATACTGAATAAAATATTCAAAAAATTCTTTATTTTGATTTTTGCTTTGTTTCTAGAGCAATGTACAAGAACTTTGAAGAATAAAAAGTACACGAAAGTGCAATTCTGGGGTGGGGGTGGAAATGAGCTAGCATAGATATTTTGTCCTAAGGGTTTCTGTTGACCATACAGAGACAAGAGCATGGGTGTTTAATGGGCCACAAGCTAAATATCTAGGCCCAAACATGTGGGAGGTGAGGTCAAAAATTCCTGTGCAAAGCTACGACCTCAGGTAGGAGCCCTCTCAGAAGATGGATGAGAAAAAATATACCCTCCACAGAAGCTGT